TCGGAGGAAGCGGCCTCGCCAGGGATCCAGATGAATGAACTGGGCTCCGATCCGCAGCCTCCGGCGAAAGAAGGTGTAAGGATTCCAGGAGAGAGTGAGCCTCCTCTGGTGTAGCCACAGAGTGACTGCGGCCCTGGTAGGTGAAGGTGAGGCGGAACGGAAAGCCCCAGGTGTATTTAATACTATGTTTCACCAGGACCGAAGTGAAGGGCTTCAACTGGCAGCGCTTTTGAAGAGTGGTCTGGGAGAGGTCCGCGAAGAGCTGATAGCGATGCCCCTGGAAGTTGAGATCAGGTTTATTTCTGGCCGCCAAGAGGATGGTTTCCTTAGTGCGGTAATAAGTGAACTTGATGATAATGTCTCTCGGGGGGCCCATCCGGTCGTCTGGGGCCCAATGCACGATGTATGCGATCAAATTCAAGACGGTCAATGGGAATGGCGGACGTCAGCTCCTGGAACAGAGCAGTCGCAGTGGAGGTAAGATCCGTAACCGTTTCTGGGATACCCCTTAACCGCAAATTGCCACGGCGGGAACGATTTTCAAAATCCTCAAGCCGTAGCAGCGCGTCCGCCAATTCTTTCTTGAGGTCGCATAAATCCTGTTCGTGATTTTCAAGGACCGTAGCCGCAGCATCCATTTTATCTTCAAGGTCGTTCGTCCGACTGCCCAACTCCCGAATTTCCCGTGAGAGACGGTCGGCCAGCTTGGAGGTAGCGGAGGACAATTCTGATTGTAACATAAACTGGAAGTGGCGCAGGAGCTCAGCATCCCGCAGAGATGGCATGGGAGACTGCTGGGATGGCTCCAATGGCATGGGAGACTGCTGGGACGGGTCCTCCACACTGCCATGATCCGACCCACCTGCAGATGGTGATGGCATGGGACCCAAAATTGCGGCTGGGGCTCCATTTAAGGTCTCCGGCGGGAGCCACGAATCCGCGGCCGGGGTCCTGGAAGTGTTCGTCGGCCGGCCCAAAATCAAGGCCCCGGCTTCAGCCGTGATCTCCGGCGGGTAGGCCGCAAACTTCGGAACGGCCCGCCGGGAGCTGGAGGCACGGGCGGCCGGCGTTTTTTTGCCCATCAGGGCACCAGGGAGACATGGGGCCAGTGAGGAAACAGGGGGACCCCCCCTGGAGGGCGAAATTCGGCCGATGTGTCCGGCGGCCAAAGAACAGATTTAGAAGGCAGCCATCCTGGCTGCTGCTCACGAGCGCCCCCCTTGATATGATTTTTAAATAAAAAATGCAGTGGGCAATGTTGCAAAAAGCAAATCTGTAAATTCTGTCTGACAAACTCATCATATATATCAGTGCTTGAAAAAGCTGCTCGTCCGCTCGCCAAATGCGAGGAGAAATTCCTCTGTGGTGAGCACAGATGAAGCATGGAGCGACTGCACCTGCACTCCAAGCCTCATTGTGAAGCCAAGTTCCGGTTTACAACTTCCGGTTTCTAGCTTCTTCGGCACCACCGCTGAGGGGGACAGGTGCAGGAGAGGTCCACTCTCCTCCACTGAGAAAAGACACCCTCTCGACCGCCGAAGGGGACTCGAAGGGACTAGGAGTAAGTACTGTATACAACATGTCATATCACTATAATGGAGTACACGGGAGCTGGGATATACATTACTGTGTACAGTTTTATATTTTGGACATTTTATTCTAAAGAAAAATTTTTATTTCATAAGCTTTAAGGGGGCGTGGTTGGGGGTGGGCCTGGGGGTGGGGGAACTGGTGGAGAGTAAGTTTTGTGACCCGCTAGTAGGTCTGGACTCGAAATTTTAACCCCTGATATATATTAATAGTAATAACAAACACAATTGTACCAAACACAAATGGTAACAATATTGCCTCAAAATCTCTACAATGCCTGTTGTGAACAAGGGAATTTACAACTTAGTCTCAAATATTTGCATAAAAGACTTAAACAGACCACTCCTTATAAAATCAATAATATTCAAAAGAAAGTTGACACTTCAAAAACAAATACATATTTATTCCTATGCATTTACCATGCTCTTAATTTTTATCCTTAGTAATAAATACTGTTTTTAGAGGAAACAGTTCTATTTATTATATTGAATATTTTGTTGGAATGTGAAGTTTTTTGGTATATGATTAGTTTTGAGGACTGGCCTGGTGAAGTCTTTTCTGCAGGTTTTTTTAGATTAAAGTTATATACAGTATGTAATATAGCGGAGCGTCCAGACCTGGTTAGGAGGCACTGACTTTTTCTTTTGTTGAACATGGATGTCTGCTGTAAAAGTAGACATCCATAGGTCCCAAAAAGTCTAGATTTAGAAACATGTTAGCTGCAGGTAATATGAGATTGCTGCATCAAGAGTGGAAGGTGTCATCTAAAGCTGTTTCACTCTATTGTCTCCTGAAGTTATATGTTTTCGTTTATCCAAATAGAATGGACCTTATACGGCTCATACTGCTTTAATTATTTGCTTAACAAAGATATTGCAGTGTAAAACATGTGTGCTATTTGTGAAATAAGAATGACTTTACTCATTATCATGTTTTTAAGTGACTCATGTCAATCCTCTCGATATCCCATCTACAAGTTACTTATATAGAGACTGCTGTAATCTCTTTATTGATCCCTCTCTCTAATGTTACAGCTCTCTAGCAGTCCCTAGATAGCAGCTGTGAAAACTCTGAAAACTCTGTAAAAACTTCACTCCACTTCAATCACTTTCACAGTAGATTTCCTCATCCCTCTTTTCTCCAATGGCTGGAACCATTTCTTTTTTACTGGCTCACCTCAATCAATCTACATAGGTATGTATAGATGGGATAGCATAAGGAATGTGGGCGTTTTCTAATATTCTTGATCTTCTGACCTAAGAATAGTTCCGGTTTACAACTTCCGGTTTCTAGCTTCTTCGGCACCACCGCTGAGGGGACAGGTGCAGGAGAGGTCCACTCTCCTCCACTGAGAAAAGACACCCTCTCGACCGCCGAAGGGGACTCGAAGGGACTAGGAGTAAGTACTGTATACAACATGTCATATCACTATAATGGAGTACACGGGAGCTGGGATATACATTACTGTGTACAGTTTTATATTTTGGACATTTTATTCTAAAGAAAAATTTTATTTCATAAGCTTTAAGGGGGCGTGGTTGGGGGTGGGCCTGGGGGTGGGGGAACTGGTGGAGAGTAAGTTTTGTGACCCGCTAGTAGGTCTGGACTCGAAATTTTAACCCCTGATATATATTAATAGTAATAACAAACACAATTGTACCAAACACAAATGGTAACAATATTGCCTCAAAATCTCTACAATGCCTGTTGTGAACAAGGGAATTTACAACTTAGTCTCAAATATTTGCATAAAAGACTTAAACAGACCACTCCTTATAAAATCAATAATATTCAAAAGAAAGTTGACACTTCAAAAACAAATACATATTTATTCCTATGCATTTACCATGCTCTTAATTTTTATCCTTAGTAATAAATACTGTTTTTAGAGGAAACAGTTCTATTTATTATATTGAATATTTTGTTGGAATGTGAAGTTTTTTGGTATATGATTAGTTTTGAGGACTGGCCTGGTGAAGTCTTTTCTGCAGGTTTTTTTAGATTAAAGTTATATACAGTATGTAATATAGCGGAGCGTCCAGACCTGGTTAGGAGGCACTGACTTTTTCTTTTGTTGAACATGGATGTCTGCTGTAAAAGTAGACATCCATAGGTCCCAAAAAGTCTAGATTTAGAAACATGTTAGCTGCAGGTAATATGAGATTGCTGCATCAAGAGTGGAAGGTGTCATCTAAAGCTGTTTCACTCTATTGTCTCCTGAAGTTATATGTTTTCGTTTATCCAAATAGAATGGACCTTATACGGCTCATACTGCTTTAATTATTTGCTTAACAAAGGATATTGCAGTGTAAAACATGTGTGCTATTTGTGAAATAAGAATGACTTTACTCATTATCATGTTTTTAAGTGACTCATGTCAATCCTCTCGATATCCCATCTACAAGTTACTTATATAGAGACTGCTGTAATCTCTTTATTGATCCCTCTCTCTAATGTTACAGCTCTCTAGCAGTCCCTAGATAGCAGCTGTGAAAACTCTGAAAACTCTGTAAAAAACTTCACTCCACTTCAATCACTTTCACAGTAGATTTCCTCATCCCTCTTTTCTCCAATGGCTGGAACCATTTCTTTTTTACTGGCTCACCTCAATCAATCTACATAGGTATGTATAGATGGGATAGCATAAGGAATGTGGGCGTTTTCTAATATTCTTGATCTTCTGACCTAAGAATAAAGGTGATTTTTTGGGACTAACATAATATGAGGATAAGTGTTGTCTTATATCTTATTTTTTCTTCATTTCCAGTATATTGTTTTTAAAGATTGGGTCAGTTATCCAAACAATATCATGACCTTATACAGCCATACACAGGTTGCTTTTTATGTATAAGTTGTATAAGAATAAATATTGCCTCTTAGCTTTACTGACTTTGTCTGAGAGTAAATCTGAATTTTCCCAGCTCTTACAGCTGCCCTGGCTACTACCTGTCTTCATACTGATAAACACATACTGGTTCTTGACTCATGCATCATCCATAATGTCCAGAACCAAATAACATAAAAATGAGGTGCTCTGGCAGGGTAAACATGGGAATTAAAACAATTAGAGGCACTAAGAATAAGGTTTGCTGGTGCAGGAACAGGGAGATGGCGCTTATTATCTGATTGAGGTCAGGCAGGAGATAGAGTGTCAGCTCTGATCAGATTAACCTCTGAACTAATTAAATTATAGATAAAGTGAAATATAAATAAAGGAACAAATATATATATTATTCAAGAGCTGGACCGCACTTATACAAGTTAAAAGTTTGCATTTCTACAAAACATGTTCTCTTTAGGAAATCAAGATAGTTAATAAATACAATATATAAAACTGTTGATTTCACTTTCAAATTATTTTGGTAGGAATGAAAATATATTTATCAGTTCCTATAACTTGTGAAGATAACCTTGTATCTGCGGATAGCCAGCTTCCTCTTCCTGGTCTCACTGTTCTTCTGTAACAATGCATTACACATCTGGAACACCTGCTGCATCACTGCGTCTTGCCTAAGATCATCCCGGCCCTTTGAAAGTAAATATACAAAAATCTCAAGGACAATACAATGTACAAGCTATTTAGGAAAGCTCTATTACGCAAAACAATTCCAAGAAACATGGTAAATCTTTCAGTGAACAGCTGATGATATCCAGGAACAATGGTGCTGAGGTCAGAGGTCAGAACATTTACTGAATTCACCTTAATCTGTATTCCATGTAAAACAAGCAGTCAGAATCTAGGCAACACTACACATGTAGGGTTGGTCGGTCAGCTTCCTGAATATATGATGTGCAATTTCCTCCCTCTCTGATAGTTGTACTGAGAATGTGATGTTATCAGGCATTCTGTGCACCAGCAATCACCAATAATAAAGCTGAGGGGAAAAGTCGACTTTTGCAGCAAATCACTCTGTTCTGTCACATTTAAAATTTAGTAGGACTGCAGCCAAGTTTAGTTCTCCAAACTGTGAATGTTATGCCAACAAAGTATTCCAGTGTTTTCCCAAGTCAGTACTCCTCTTGAACACACGCCATCAGTCTCAGAATCATTTTAAACTTTTGGTGTTGAGAAGAGATAAAAGTTCAGTGTCAGCAGAATGTAAATGTCAAACAAGGAGATTGCGGTCTGGCTCTAGCTGCTGTTCTAACATGAGAAGTTTCAGAAGTTATTTTCTTTCGTCGTTTACTGTACTAATGTCCAGCTTACTGGGTCATTTTTAGAAAGTGATGTTACTTTTCAGCTAAAGACAAGGAAAAGTAAGCAAGACAAGAGAAGAACGTTTAAGTCAACCTTGCAGAGCGTGCTGGGAGAAGGTGTTCCCTGGCTGATATTGAGCCATGTATGAATCATCATCTTTTTTCTTTTTTTTTTTAATAATCTAGTTATTTTCAACAATTGGCCATTAAAAAGGCGCTGGAGTGAAAAAAGGGGAAAGCTTCCAAGCAGTAATAAAGTCCCTTTGCCTAATAATTACATTTTCTGTGCACCAGGTCCTCGGCTCCACCAGCGTTTCCCAAGCAATATGGCTACTTTAAGATAAATAAATAGAAAGTGAGTGCTCCAAAACCAGCAGCTAGAGCACTCAAGGTAATCTCAGCAAATCTTCAACATAGAAACTTAAATAGAAGTGCAGCGCTAGATATAGTTAATAAATAAAAAATTAATAACGATAATATAAAAAAATCATAAAATAATAAATGTCCCATACATGTTAAAACATGCATAATATAATAAATCAGTTAATAAATAACAAGTAATCCACTAGATGTAGCCGTATGCCAGGAGAAGCTTTGTCTGGAACATGTGATAAAAATGCGCACTCACCGGACGCGCTATAATCAAGTGCATGTAATCAATATCCACTCGGATCCTTAGAAAGGGTGGAGAAGGTGAGCATCCATCTAGAGGTAAGTGATCCTGGTATTCTGTCTCAGTGGTATACAGTGAAGGCTTCTAGATCCAGAGATCCCCTTAGGGTTGAATGGGTGCATGTACTGGATACAGAGCTCCCTCCCTCTGGTGGTGGTTAGTAGGGAGATGTCCTGGAATTCAATTAGCTCCAATGGGAGCCAGAAACGGTGCTCATAGTGTAGTAAGGTTAAAGACTTTATTCCAAAAAAGTACAGTATAAAACATGGTAGTAAACACTCCCAATGTATAAATAATAGATGCAGAGTAGTACTGACCCTAAATAAAAATGGCCGCCGGGCCTCCTCGTGGCTCCGGGCGGCTGTGACGTCGCGCTCTGTTGGCTCCTCCTAAGGCCTTTCGTGCAATGCACATCATCAGAGGGGAGGCCTCCCATCTGATGATGTGCATTGCACAAAAGGCCTTAGGAGGAGCCAACAGAGAGTGACGTCACAGCCGCCCGGAGCCACGAGGAGGCCCGGCGGCCATTTTTATTTAGGGTCAGTACTACTCTGCATTATTTATACATTGGGAGTGTTTATTCCAAAAAGGTACAGTATAAAACAGGGTAGTAAAGTCTTTAACCTTACTACACTATGGGCACCGTGAAAGGGGATGGTGTCAGTATTCAAAGGTGTAAGAGCATTATCAAAGAGAAGGAAAGGCATGGCTCACCACCCCAGAGCATTAGTATGTAGATGATTGTGGCCTCTGTGACCAAGCACCAATGGGTGGGGCGAAACATGTCAGAAGACATGGCCGGAGCGATGCTGGCTTAGGCCACATTCATCTACATACTAATGCACTGGGTTGGTGAGCAGCGCGGTTTCTTCTTTGATAAAAAACAGTAGCTGAAGTTGTATCTCTCACCCCTCCTCTGCCCCTTTATTCTCATATCAGCAACCAATTTAGGCACTTCCAGTCAGCTGATATTCACTGAATAAAAACTGCTGTTCAATTTAAAAGTTCCTTTTGGGATGCATACTAGTGGTGGAGGAGTTAGGCTGCAAGTAGAATAAAATACTCTGTTCTTTATCCTTGACCTACAATTGAGGAAACATTACAGAGGGCTACTTACTTATCCTCTTATTGACCTCTAGAAGGTTTTACCCCCTTCATGACCATGGTGTTTTTGCTATTCAGCACTGTGCTAGTTTATCTGCCAATTGCACCAGACATTCAACACTGTACGTGATGAATGTCTGGTGCATATGTATATTGTTTTTTTTTCACACAAATGAGCTTTCTTTTGGTGGTGTTTGATCACCATTGGGATTTTTATTTTTATTATATCATTGAACGAAGACTGAAAAAAAAAAAAAAAAAAGTTCTACTTTGTTATTAAAAAAAATCCAATAAAAAAAAATCCTATGTCTTCATAAATTTAGGACACAATGTACTCTGCTACATGTCTTTGGTAAAAAAAAAAAAAATAATCCCAATATGTGTATATTAATTGATTTGTGCAAAAGTTATAGTGTCTACAAACTATTATTATTATTCATAATACAGGTACTTATATAGCGGCATCAATTTACGCAGCTCTTTTTGGTACAAATACTTGAATTTACGCAGCTATGACACTAAACTGGTTATGGCGGTGATCAGCAACTTATAGTGGGACTGCTAAAGTGTGGTGGGCAATCTGGCGCTAGCTGGGAGGTACACTAACTGACTGACATTAATAGTGACACTAATACAGTGATCAATGCTAATACTGTATACTGGGTCAGTGAGGTCAAATAAAAAAAATAACTTTTACATTCACTATAAAGCCCTTCCCCTTGTCCCAATCAATAGAGTCCCATTGAAAGAAATGAAGGAAAAGCACCCTGACACTGATTATAGTGCCGACCACTAAGTGCCTCTTGATTTGTTGTTGGCTTATGTTTTCCCATTTCAGCTTCTATCATCGTTCTCTGCACAAGTGCCATCTTAAGCCACTCCATAATAGCAAGTGCTAACTCTCATTTTGTAGTAGTAGTAGTAGCAGTAGTAGTAATAGATTTGAGCAGACCTAAAATTGTTTTAATTTGCACAAGATGATTGTATCTCATTTTTGTAATAAGTGGCCATTACTTTTTGTATAAAAAGGAGGGAGTTTTTTTGTTAGGATTGTTTACTTTATTCAAACTTTGTTTATGTCATATATGTATGAAGAAATCCAATTTCAATAAAATAAAGTACATATGTTCATTCCATGCACAGTGTTTATGTGAATATTTCTGTGGAGGGGGACTTTCCTTAAAATCCTTTGTTGGTAATGACATCTTCAAGACGCCTCCTGTATGGAGAAACTAGTTGCATGCATTGCTCAGGTGTAATTTTGGCCCATTCTTCCACACAAATTTCCATGGCTTTGTGTTTGGGATCATAGTCTTGCTGAAATGTCCACCTTGTTTCATCTTCATCAGCCTGGTAGATGGCAGCAGATTTTTATCAAGACAGTCTTGGTACATTTTTCCATTTATCCCTCCTTCAATAGGATGAAGTTTGCCAGTAATGTATGTTGTAAAACAGACCCACACCATGATATTCCCACCTCCAAACTTTACTGTTGGTATGTTGTTTTTGGGGTGATGTGCAGTGCCATTTGACCTCCAAACATGGTGTGAATTATGGCATCCAAAGAGATCAATTTTGGTTTCATCTGACCAGACTATATTCTCCCAGTATTTCACAGGCTTGTCTAAATGTTGTGCAGCAAACTTTAAACAAGCTTCAACATGCTTCTTCAGCAATGGAGTCTTGCATGGTGAGCGTGCACACAGGCCATGGTGGTTGAGTGCATTACTTATTGTTTTTTTTTTGGCTCTTGGACAACTCTTCTCACTCCTCTGTCAGAAATCTTGCGAGTAGCACCTGGTCGTGGGTGGTGAATGGTGAAATTATGTTCTTTCCACTTCTGGATTATGGTCCCTACAGTGCTCACTGGAACATTCAGAAGTTTAGAAATCCTTCTGTAACCGATGCTATCAGTATGTTCTGCAACAATAAGGCTGTGAAGGTCATGAGAGAGCTCTTTGCTTTTGCCCATCATGAGATGTTGCTTGTGTGAAACCTTGGTAATGAGACACCTTTTTAAAGGCCATCCGTTGAGAATGAACCAGCTGATATTAATTTACACTGACCAAGGGCAGGATTGCTTTCTAATTATTGACAGATTTCAGCTGGTGTCTTGGCTTTCCATGCCTTTTTGCACCTCCCTTTCCTCATGTGTTCAATACCTTTTCCCTGTGTCATTCCATTTTACTACACATAACTTAGTTTCTAAATTTATTTGTTTTGGTTTCTTTGTATGTCTGGATTGCATGGCTTGTTACGGACATGTGGTGAAAATTTCATGTCATTAGCACCTTTAGAAATATATTTACAGAACAAAATGGTGACATTTTCAATACTTATTTTACCCACAGTATATAAACTATATTGCCAAATGTATTGGGACACTCCTCCAAATCATTGGATTCAGGTGTTCCCATAACTTCTATGGTAACAGTGTATAAACTCAAGCATCTAGGCATACAGACTGCTTCTACAAACATTTATGAAAGAATGGGCCGCTCTCAGTAGCTCAGTGAAGTCAATAGCTAAAGACCTTTAAACTTCAAGTGGCCTTCAGATTAGCAAAACAGTGCATGGAGAGCTTCATGGAATGGGTTTCCATGGCCGAGCAGCTACATCCAAGCCGTACATCACCAAGTGCAATGCAAAGCGTCGGATGCAGTGGTGTAAAGCATACCACCACTGGACTCTAGAGCAGTGGAGACGGGTTCTCTGGAGTGACTAATCATGCTTCTCTGTCTGGCAATCCGATGGACGTGTCTGGGTTTGGCAGTTTCCAGGAGAACAGTACTTGCCTGACTGCATTGTGACAAGTGTAAAGTTTGGTGAAGGGGAATTATGGCATGGGGTTGTTTTTCAGGGGTTGGGCCAGCCCCTTTAGTTCCAGTGAAGGGAACTCTTAAGGCGTCAGCATACCAAGACATTTTGGACCATTTCATACTCCCAACTTTGTGAGAACAGTTTGGGGATGGCCCTTTCCTATTCCAACATGACTGCGCACCAGTGCACAAAGCAAGGTCCATAAAGACATGGATGAGCGGGTTTGGGGTGGAGGAACTTGACTGGCCTGCACAGGGTCTTCAACCCAATAGAACACCTTTGGGATGAAATAGTGCGGAGACCGAGAGACAAGCCTTCTCGTCGGACATTGGTGCCTGACCTCACAAATGCGATTCTGGAAGAATGAACTTCATGTCCATGTAAAGACAGGCGTCCCAATACTTTTGGCAATATAGTGTGTGTATATATATACATATATATATATATATATATATATACATACACACACTATATTTATTGGAAATCCATTCCAGAAAATTGCTGAAACTCAGACAGAACACCCAATAATACATTTCCAGAAGTGGAATAAAGGCCAGGTCAAAAAATAAACAGTATCATCACTACCTTGACAAGCTGTCTCCTCTCTCTCCCATCTGAGCCCACACAGTCTATTATTTTCGGCAGATTTAGACCTCCAGCCAGGCAGAACTCAAGCTTGAATGATTGAATTGTCACCAAGTTCTCATACTTCCCGCTGGGATCAACCTGTATATATGAAAGGGAAGATGCTTAAGAAAAAGAAACCTGTCATTTTACCAGTTCACACCAGTTATAGCATTGGACATGAAAACTATATTGCCAGCATTGAAATGTAATGATTTGCGACAAAACACAACAGGTCCTCTGTGCCTCTGACAGCATATTGACTGCTTGTAGAACACTGCTATGTATCCAGACATAGGGAATTACAGTGCTGGCCAAATACAAATAAAACATTGCCATTAAATGTTCTGAAACTTACAGAAAAAAATATTCGTCATAATTCAGTTTAGGCTTCTGGACAGTTTACTTGTGTATCTTTTCTTAAAGTGTATTCATTGACCTTATTTATTATATGTGCATACAAACACCAACAACGAGCTACTCTTATTTGCAACAATTTGGTCTAGGTAGAATTCTAGAAGAGAAAGGGGTGATCAATGGGGGACCAGGCTAGGGGTTAGAGATGGAGTCTACAGCATACTTGTCCTTCTGTGCCCCTGAAAACTATATTATGGGGGCGCATGCGCGGCCGAGCTTGATGGCGGACGCTGTGTGAGTTAGCTCCGTCCACCCGTGGCTCCCCTGCTCCGCTACATAAACCTCCGCCACACCGGGTGAGCCACACAAATATAAGTGCACGGCCCGGCAACAAAGTATGGGAAAGATTGGGCGCTGGAAGCCCCCCTCTCCGCTGAACACAGACCCGCGGCCCTCTCCGCTCCAGCGGTTCCTATCCAGGCCGGCATCCCTTGCCTCTGGTAACGCCCGCAGAGGAGCTCCGGACATTAGATGGCGGGTGGGGACACATCTGGCCAGCCCCTCTCTGCTCCTACAGCTACCACATCTCCCAGCAGCAGCAAGATGGAGGACCCCAGCTGCTCAGCAATAGAGGGGACATCAGACCATCCCTCTCCAGAGCATCCTATCCCTCCATCCTCTGATTCAGCAGTGCAGCATCCCTCCTCTATTCTCACAGTCTCTTCCTTTGACGACAAACTGCAAGTATTTTTGCAAAGTATCACTGCCACTATATTTGCTGAGGTGGGGAAGCTGGCCCTGGATCTCAGGGGGGAGATCGCTCAGATGGGGGAGCGCACTATCCAATTGGAGACCGAATTTGATGACTTGACCCAATACGTTCACGTCTTAGAAAAAGATAATGCATGCCTGAAGCATTCTATGTCACAAATGCAGCTCCAACAAGAGGACCTGGAAAATAGAGAACGGCGCCAGAACATCCGTATTCGCGGTATGTCGGAGGCAACTTCTGATTCTCAACTTCGACACGCTTGCTATCCTTCTTTACCGCAACCGATGGATAGGGCGCATTGTTCCCTAGGCCCGAAAGCTCTGGAGGGCACCAGATCTCGTGATGTCATTGTCCGTTTTCATTTTTTTTTAAAGCAAAGAGGCCTTGCTATCCTCCGCATGCACCGGGTCTTCTCTGGAGTTCAAGGGGGACAGACTTCAGCTCTTCAGTGACCTATCTCCAATACCCCTGGCCAAACGGCGCGCTCTGAAACTGGTCACCATCCATCTTCAACAACATCATATCCCCTATCGTTGGGGATTTCCTTTCAAGTTGGTCGTCTCCAAGGACAACTCCCAAGTTATCCTACGTGACCTTCCTGAGGCGGACTCCTTCCTCAGACAACTGGGACTTCCCCCTCTACCTGATGATGCGTCTTCATTGCCGCCCACTCCCTCATGCCCCTCCACCACGCCAAACAAGATCTGGACTCCAGCTCGTAACGCCAGGAAGTGCCTCTCTCGTACTCTGCAGCGCCCATGACCTCCTGCATCGGGTGATGTATACGTCTGATGGCCCTCCTGGGTATTCTATTGGGGCATTTCAGGAACTGCCCACTTCCCCAATAACTGCACCATTATTGTTTTGTGTTCACTATCGTGCCTTGGTGGTGCACTTTCATTATGTCTTTGTGCCAGGATTGTTACTTTTTGAGATGTGTCGGTTACCATGCTGCCCCCGAACCCGTCTAGCCCTAGGCCTGGACGACTTGGGTTTTTTCTATTGTCCCAAGTTTATATCTTTAATGATATCTTTGGTTTTCTCTGTAACTCTTACAGTCTATGTTTTCTGTGTTACATTCTTGTATTGGTTTCCTGTTTATAGGTTTGCCTCATCGATGATACCTTCATTTTTTTCTATACGGGTACATTTGTTATCCAATGATGACTTTACGGTTATTATCATACAATGTCAAAGGTCTTAACTCCATCCAAAAACGGTGGATGGCTTTGAAGGAATTCAGATCCTCCAGAGCAGACATTTTTGTCCAGGAGACCCATTTTAAATCAACTGGCTTTTCATTTTGCCTCGAGGTTTTTTTCCCAATCCTACACGGCTTTTGATCCTACTGGGAAAGCCGGAGTGGCTATTCTGATCCGGGCACACTGCTCCCTTCGGGTCATTTCCTCCAAGGTCGACCCACGGGGACGTTATATCATTTTGGAATGTATGTTTGCTGGTTCTCCCCTTATTCTGTTAAACTTGTATGCCCCGAACGCGGGTCAACTACAATTCCTCTCCCAAACCCTAGCCAAATTGACTGCTTTTACCACACCACATATAATCATTGGAGTTGATTTTAATTTAATCATGTCCCTTCACAAGGATAGGAAGGTACTTTTCGAATCTGCTCCCTCGAAGCGGCAATGTTCCTCTTCCAAATCCTTTCGCAAATTGATAAGGGAACATCGTCTCTTTGATGCTTGGCGGATCAAGCATCCCCTTCATAAACAGTTTACTTTCTATTCCACTCCACATTGTAGTTTCTCCCGCTTGGACCATTTGTTTGTCTCTGCCCCCTTACTCCCTCTTTTGGTTTCATCTGAAATCAATTCTATTACATGGTCCGATCACGCCTCTTTGACTCTGAATCTCTTTTTTCCGGATTCTTTACCGAAAGCTTGTCACTGGCGTCTCAATGAGACCTTTCTCACAACGGCCCATCTCCGTGAGGAACTCTCTCAGGGATTGGGTATGTACTTCCAACACAACGTTGGTTCGGTGACTTCTTCCTCGACCCCTTGGGAGGCCCATAAGGCCGTTTTCCAGGGAATATGTATGTCTTTGCGCTCTAGGGGAGGCTTGGGAGTGCCGGATATTGTGACCTATTACTATGCCACCCACCTTCGATCTCTGCTCTCCTGGTCCACCCAACGCCCTCCTAACAAATGGACTGAGATTGAAACCTTACAACTAACTCCGACCCATCCATGCTCTTTGTTCTTGGATATGCCAAGGGCGGTCGCCGATTCTTACCGACGCCTTTTACTTGGACCCATGCAATTTTCCTTGTCCATCTGGAGAAGATGCAAGGTTAAATTCGCTCTGTCCTCAGTTTGCTCCCCTCTGATTAATGTTCTTCTTAATCCCTCCCTGCTGGATAGTTTGTCTTTGCACCGCATGTTCCCATGGGTATCTGCTGGTCTCTTCCAACTGCGTCCCCTGGTCCATCCTGTAACCCGGAAATTTAAATCTTTCTCTGATATCCAAAAAAATACACACATACCTTCCCAACACTTCTCTGTCTATTTGCAGATATGCCATTTTTTTTTCCATCTGGTCACCCTCATTGACTCTGGAACAGCCTACACCCTTCGAGTGCCTGTGTATTCAGGGCCCACATCAAAAGGTTATAACCTCCACTACATATAAGCTCCTTATGGATGTCCCTCCCTTAACTAATGATACCCATCGCTACATGCGTAAGTGGCCCCAGTTTTTTCGCTGTGATATTGACTTATTGCAGTGGAAGAAAATATGGGAAAACGCATCCAGATCCTCTCGTGCGTAGTTTATAAAGAAAAAGTTTATAAAATTATAATGTTGTAGTATCGAACCCCTGATGTGCGCCATGCTCGTAACCCGAGTGCTTCTCCTGTCGGCTCCCTGTTTCATATTTTTTGGGAATGTAGGTTAATCACTCTTTTCTGGTAAGAGGTTCTGGTCTTGTTACAGTTAGTATTACGCACCTCCCTCCGTTTTGAGCCTATTTATTTTTTACTGGGCCTGCCCTTCCCAGGTCTCTCTGGACTGTTGAGGAGACTCTCCGTGCATATCTTGACGGCGGCCAGGAGAAGCATTCCTATGAGCTGGCTCTCCTCTACTCCCCCCTCAATGTTGACATTTTATAAGATTATTGCAGATATCAGAAAAATGGAATACCTAACCACTTTACATGCTGATTCTGTTATCTCATTTGAAGCAATATGGAACCCGTGGGATGTTTATACCTCTGTTCAACCTGCTTGACATGTGTGGCCTTGATTATCCTTCCACTGTTGTTTTCTTGTCATTGTATGCTACTATTTTTTTTTTTTTCTTTCTGCTTATGTTATCATCGATGGTCCTTTTCCTTCTCTTTATTTTTCCTTAAAATATCATGTACATGTGTACGTGTGGAAAAGTTAATAAAAATGTTAATTACAAAAAAAAAAAGAAAACTATTTTATCAATGGGTTCCAAACACCCCGAAGGGCTCCATCCTGTCATTTTGCACAACAGATCATTTTTTCATTAGTTATTTTCCATGAAAGTTTAATTTTTACCAATTCTGAAGGAGGAATGGATGGTGTCTTCCCGGATCTTGCAATGGTTAATTAAGTGCTATAAAAATGAGGGAGATCAGCCTTCTGGAGTATGTCCGGGCATCTGCCCGCTAAACTTGTTAATCAGCGATTTGGATGGGTAATTGCTAAGATTTCTTTAGGTGACACAGTATATGAGATTATATATTCTAATTCAGAATCTCTGGATCTTTTGGAAAGTCCACCATATATGTTGAGCTGTGCCTTCCGGTCCACATCCAATGTGAAAATCAGGTGAAGCATTGGATACGTGGATGGCTAAGTGGGCTGGGATCTTATAATTTGTTTTGATTATTTTATGAATGTCTTAGATGTCATAGTGACTAGTTAATGCCATTACACCAATTCCATCTCCTCCCCCAGGTTCTGTTCCCATGTTTCCATATAGGGTAATTTTTTTTAGAAACTGACGTTAAAGTAGAACTAAAGGCAAAACCTTTTTTCCCATTATGGATAGAGCAAAAGAGGTTATAACCCCTGTCAGATTTTTTTTTTTCGCCATCTGTGTCCCATTGGGGAGATTTCCATTCACTTCCTGTCCTATAGCCAAACTGGAAGTGAGAGGAAATTCCTGCAAATTAAGGAAATTCCCCAGGGACCCCAGTTCCCCAGAACTAGCGTCGCTATATAAGATTTCTCCCTCTATTACTTTTCTGGGGACAACCCAAAATTTGGGATTTTCTTTTACCTTCACTTTCAATGATAATGCTAAACAGGACATATAGTCTTCCCTAATGGGGGTACAGACAGCAATAAAAACTGACAAGTGTTTGAATCCTGGGGAGAACATGCAACCTAGAATACAACCTCCCAAAAACTATGAAGGTGGGGTACGAGCGTTTTTTGAATAAAGGAGCTTAATTACTCTGATCCAGACTTGGGACAGAAAATGTCAATTTGATCCCCAGGTAAGGACAGGATTCAGATTACTAAAGTGAATAGAACATTAGCCTGGCACATTAACTCTAGCCATTAGCACATAGTTTGATTGTCCAGATTAATGTTTATGGCCTGTGATTTATAATGATTAGAAACCCTGAAATGGAAGAGCATTGTGAAGATTTGGGATTGTGGTAATTGGAAATGTGATCATCACAAGGATGTCATCCGCAAAAAGGGACCATTTATATTGCTGATCTCTGCATGGGATGAATGTTATGTACTTGTAATTACAGTAATTATTTTTTAACTAGACTCTATATAATAGCAGGCAATACCTGCTCACCTTTTAATCAAACGGATTCAACAGGATTGGATACAAGAGGAGACAAGGAGCATAATAAACAATTTGAAACATACAGCATTTTTTTTTTATTTTGCTATATTTACAAATAAATAACAGAAGAAAAAAAGTTGTATCCTTTACACAGACAATATACTCATACCTTCAGTTCCATGGTTGGAATAACAACATCTTGTAAATTGTTCAGTTTAGTGATGGGTTGATCTGATGGTATGGGGATAGCTTCTATAAAAAGATTGAGGGAAAAAAAAAATAAAAAAAAAAAAAATAAATAAAAGCCCTTAAATAGCTAATAAAACGAATTAAACTAAATTACCACTAACCACGTGTGCTACCCATGCTGGAGAAAGATACCCCCTTAAGAGACATAATTCCTTTTTTCTCTATATATCTGATGTTTTTATGCCTATATTCTTTACATGCTTTCTTCAGTTTTGATCTGCTTTTACAACCCAAGTGTAAAGATTGGGTAAGTAACAATCATTGCACCTGATCTTCAATACAGAAGCAATAAAGTAAAAAAAAAAAAAAAGTTTACTTTTCCTTCCTATACCCTTTGCTGTCTTTAAAGTATTAAAAGGAAAGGCAATGTAATATGTAATAAAAACAAACAAAAAAAAACCAAGACCAAAAGTGATATATGATCAATAAATTCAACCCCTAGTTAATAGAGTTCCACAAGTAGACACAGAACTTCAGTATTGTTAGGAAAACATTGTTTATATTACTAAGGGATTCAATAAGACCCCATTCATGGCTAAGCATTTTTTAGTGTGTTTCCTTATGTTTGACTTGGTTCAACATGCAGAATCCCATTATTTGTAATTGTGCCCGTTCACATACAATGTCGCTTGTATGCTCAAAGTAGCACAAGCTGACTGGATCCCCAATGTTTCTATAAAGAATACCTGTCACCTGCCCAATACTGTCACATGGGGTTTGTTAACCCCTTGTGATAGCAATAAAGCTAAATTGTAAAGTAACAAAAATAAAAAAAAAAAAGAAAATGTTTAAAAAAAAAATGTAACCACTTGCTGACCTGCATACACCTACAAATGCAAATCTAGGGTGCACACGTGTATGCAAACCACAATTGCACCACACATGCAAGGTATTGCTGTGAATGTTTGAAGGAGAACAAAAATTCTAGCACCAGAGCTCATAGTTAACGCTATACTGATGAGCTGTTAAGGCTTTTTAAGTGTTGTCTATGGAGATTTTTGGGTAAATTTTCACATCAGAGGCGCATGCAAATTTAAGACTTGTCAGTTTTATATTTTATCAAAACTGGGTATTATATTGTGTTGGTGTGCACTAAAAATCATTTTATTGTATTTTTTCCTGAAATGATGCGACTGACAAACAGCTGGACAAATATCTTACCACAAAAACACATTTTTATTCTATAGGTCCTCTGAGGAAAACATATGATTTTCTGGGGATTTAAGTAATAGCGGAAAATGCTGATTTTTACCAGTGTGCTAAAAAATGAAAAAAATTGCTCAAGTACCGAAGTGGATAAATGGGAATTTTTGGACCCAGAGACTTCAATAGAAGCACCTGAAAAAGGGTGACACGTGCGTCTTCTCACTTGAAGAACTGCTTTCATCCTCTAGAACTCCTCTCCTACCCTTGCCCAGCTCAGTAAACAAATGGCTAAAGTTGGGAACGTGCAAATATGCTAGCATGAAGATTGTAAAACAGTTTATAAATGTCTCATCAAATGCTCCAAAATCACCAGGAATACAGTGTTTTCAGGTGTGAATGCAGGCTAAAGCCCATGTTTCAGTAATAACTGGGGCAAGATTTACACTGGTCATAGAAGGGAGGATGGAGGCTGTACTATCTGGCCATCCCCACATCAATACTGAACACACACTGCTTATGAAGCTCACAGGCTATTGTGATGTCTGAAGGTGGTTGACCATACTTGCAGTTTACAGAATTGAGAGTAATGCTAGGTGATTGAGTACATCTATTTTTTTCATCCAAAAATATTTTGTTTTAAGTAAAGGAAAGCTATCAAAACTAATAATCACTGACAGCTTCTGAGCTGTTCCTGATCATGTGATCACTTTATTAGCTGTGACATAGTCATCACATGCAAGTTGAAGTCTTCATTCAGATAAAATGATCTCAGCTTCCAGGAGCAGCTACAGTCCCTTCTCCCTACCCCTCCCTCCCTTTGCAACCTGAACAACATTTTTTCAATTACACAATTTTGTTTTCAAGACATAAGCTTCTATGAGCAGCGTCCTCCCAACCCTCTTATATTAAATAGTATTGCACCTGTTCCATCTTCTTTTATTTGAAAAGCAAACACTTGGTGCTAAAAAAATCCTGTATAATAATAACAATTGAGACAGAGCAATGTAATTAGTGGGGTTTTCAGCTGGTCTTTGCACCATGTTTAATGGAGGGGCCTGCAGGCTCCTGTAAACTTTAGCCAGAGTGTTTTATGAAAGAACACATCCCCAGCATCCCTTTAGACTTGCATGCTCCTCCCCTCTGGCCACTGCTGCAAACTTTAGCTGTACAGTCTGCTGCTCAGTTGCTTGTTTGTAATCCATGATTGAGAGCGTTTAGACAGAAAATGAAGGCTCAAGATAAGCTGGGGTTATATTGTGGAGAGACATGTGGGGAAAAGGGTAAGGCTGTTAAAATGGAAAAAAAAAAGTCAGCCTATAACAAAAACACTTTTACTAAAACACTAAAGCAAAGAAAAACAATAAGTATGCAAATTAGTTATTGTGAATTTAACCAATGCATGCTGCTGTTGCTAAATGTACCCAGGGAATTTAGGCATCAACATCTGGAGATAAAAGGATTAAATGGCTTCGATATAAAAGCAGTGTCTTATTAAACTTCTTAGTACTGTACTTCCATTGTACTGGCACTGTTTACACCAAAGTAAATATCTATATGCGAGTACCCAGAAGTACCCAAGAAAAATATTTAAAAAAATCTTGTATAATATTTATTTTAGTTATTTAAATAGTGGAATTATATTCTGCTTGCTCTTCAGAGAACAGTGAGTCATTTGCCTCAGACCCAAATGCTTTGTGCTCTCATTACCATTTAAATGTCATATTACAAAAATAAAGCAGTACTTACTGCGCTGGGCTTTCCAATGGCTGGCATCCATGTTGGCCAAAATTATGTATGCATCACAGAGCCTCTCCACATCACGCACCATGTGTGTTCTGCACTTCTTTATTGTATTCACAATACTGCGTGCAGCCTCCATCCGATCCTAACAAAAATAAACACTTTTTTAAAATTTCTTACCACAGAGAAAATTTCTTGTTCACAAGTATTTAAATTAATCCTGACAGTACCTCGTTAACCCTTCAGCCAGCAGGGTAAACTCATCCATCCATGCTCCTTTGCTGCATCCCACCTGTCAGTACACCTTGAGTAAACGTGATGTGGATGACACGACTGAATCCTAACACGTGACAGTGTTCAGGCCTGACAGTTGGGCGCTCAGGCCCAAGAACTGTAATGTGGGTGTGGTCACATCCTCCCATATGCCCAGAAGCCTTACTCCATTAAGCCCAGGTTCCCACCAATGCGGTGCAGGAAACAATGTGAATCCGGTGCGTTTCCCGCACTGCATTGCAATCGCATCACGTTCATGCGATCTGGTGCGGGTGTCAATGATAAATCAATGACACTCAGATTGCAAAATGCAATGCGATTCAGGTACGGGAGGGAGGGGGGAAGGGGGAGTGCTGGAGGTCTACTCAATGTTTTTTTGCCTTTATACAGAGAATGCATTAAGGTAAAAACCTTTTGACTTTACAACCACTTTAACCCCTTCACGCCTGTGCCTCCTGGCCCTTTAAGGGGGGGCGTTGGGAGGCGGAGCGGGGTTTAAGGTCATGTGACCACCGTGATTGGCTATCATGGCAATCACATGATCGGAAAGGTCCCGATCACAAGGAGAGATCGGGACCTTTCCATGGGACACTCACACATGTGCTGGAAGCGTGCAAGGCATGCACCTGTTTGTTTACAAATGGTACGCAAATATGTGGCCGCTTGGTATCAAAGCCCAGCCACCGAGAAGCCGCATATTTGCGTACGCTCGGCATAAAGAGGTTAGCGAATACTGGGGAGAGCTGGTGCATTACAACTGTGTCTGGATAGAAAACAAAACAAAAAAAAAACTAAGTCTTAGGCATGTAATAAGATTTAGTTTTCTATCCTGAGAGTGTATAGCTCTCTATTTCAGTGGGATTAACCTTTAAGGAACAAGTTGACATGCCAATCATTTTACCACAAAATATAATTTTAGTAAAGTGCTGGGCAAACTGTTGGCGCTATATAAATTCTGTATAATAATAAATGTAGAATGTTGAGAATAGTACAGATTGATTATATTTAGCCTACAGCCTCATTAGAATAAATCAGGAAATAAAAATACTACCTCATCAGTCTGAGATATCTTCTTTGGGACATTCTTTGTAAGGCGGCTCTTTTTCATGGTGTCTGATTTCATTACCATGTCATCTTTGTCGGCGTTTGCCAGAGCCAAGATAATGAACAGCGTATGGTATGGGTGATCCAAAGAGGTTCTGCTGATCAGCTGGTAAAGAATAAAGGAATACATATTTATCACTGCCCTATTTATCAACAAATATGAAAAACCGGGGGCTTAACTCAACACAGTGCAACAGGTTACCAAGTCCACAAATCTACAGTATTCAATTACGTATCAGACTACATTGACTTAGTGATTCAAGCTAATGAAAACCAATTTCTGACTAATATGAATTACAGCACATCACTGCTTTTTACAGTATGTCAGAGAAACCCCAATTGTAGGTCAGTATGTAATCTCAATGCGTGCCGACAGTGTTTCTTTTTTTCTTCTTTCTTGTAATAATTACCTTTAAACTAAGAAGCTGTTCGGGCTCGATTACACTAGCTTCAAGACATGGAATTGGACACAATTTTTTAAAGCACACTGAACACCAATCAAAGCACCCATCACCAAATTACATGGTTAGCTTATAGTTCTATTTACACATTGTGTTTGCTTTGTTTAAAAAATATATACCCCATGACGATTTTGTGGTACTTCAAAGCGTCTCCAAAGCAAAGTCTATGACAAAGCTCAATTACAGAACCGGCAGCTTTTGAGAAGCTATTATTCAGCTTTAGCTTTGCTTTGTTTTGGAGGTATTGCAGGCATGAGATATCAACACAAACACACAGGGCATCTGCCATCTTCAAAAAAGCGCTATAGAGGCATCGCAGAAGCATCAAAAAGCATGAAGCAGTAGGCGCTTTAATGTGTGTTGAAGTTGAAGCAAGTGTAAACGAGAACTTAAAGTTGTTGTAAACCTTTACATATACCTAGTGAAGTGACTGGCCTGGTGATACACAGAGATGAAACAATTCCTCCTACACGAGTTGTACCTGTTTATCTGAGTCTTCTCTTTTACACATCTGTTCATAGTGATGAATTTTTAAAGCTCGTCTGCGTTGTTAGAAAAAAACAGAAAAAATAGCGCTGCACCGTTTCTAGAAATGCTTGCTTGACAATCTCCAACGACCACCTTGTTAATTTAAATTGAGGAGCAACCTTGTTAATTTAAGTTGAGAGAAAGTCAGACAAAAGTGCATGGTAGGAGTGTCTGCAGCATTGCCCTGTGTTCTGGACCCAACATAGTCCCTTTGTGAATTCTCAATTTAAATGAACAAGGTGGTTGTTGGAGATTGTCAAGCAAGCATTTCTGCTCTGATCTGGTCATTCCAGGGAACACACTTCACCAATAAAAGCTAGTTTGACTCTTAAACCATACAAGCTAAGAGTCCATTGTGTTTGGTGAGTGTGGATTGTACCAGAAGGTGATCACGGATGGTGTGGGGATATTATTTAAAGAACACATTTTGTTTTGGCACCGTTTTTTGATTGGAGCACTGAATCACCGTTTATTTGGGACATTGGACTTTTTATTATTGTTTCATCACTGTTGATTTAATCACTATTGTCTGTTTGATTCTTGCGCTGTAATATTATATTTTTATGTTTGGTGGGTCTTTTACCTTATGAATAGCAGCATTAATTATTTGGAGTATATAATAATTTTAAAATAATTTTTGTTAGGCGCAGGTTAATTTATACACATGCTTCACTATATGGCCAAAAGTATGTAAACACCTGACCATCAGTTCTATATGAGCATGTTGAACATACCATTTTAAAACAATGGACAGCCTCTTTAACAGCCTGTACTTTTCTGGGAAGGCTTTGAGGGTATGTTCACACCAGGTGTTGTAGGACTGCGTTAGGCAGCTATTCCAGTGCAGTCCAACCACAAGACAAGGCAAAATGCAATGTCTCCTGTGTGGCTGGTTCCCCTATGTGGTGTGCTCTGGAAAAATTGACAGCAGGCCATACATTTGTACATTATTCCAGTGCAGAAATCTCCCCAATAAGACAGAAAGAGCAAATAACCTTCCCAGGCATACAAAAAAGGTTTTGGCTATGCTAACTTTAAATTGGTAAAAAGGTTTGCATTAATGTAAATTTCTTAACAGCCAAAGATTCATAATTGTACTTTTATTCAGCCATTTCTGCTAACCAGGTACCACTGCCAGGCAGCACAACATAGTCCTTAACTTTCTTCCACCTCTCAGTGCTGGACGGCTCTGTGCAATGTGGCGGATTCAGATTGGCTCAAAAGTGCAACCATTCCCAGTAAAGTGCTGCTGAGCATAAAAATACAGGAGGCTAGTGTCAAGACATATACTGTATGCCAAGACCTGTTTTAAGACAAGTATGTATGGTAGTCCCACATAAAATGATGCTGGTCCATTAGTGAATTCTAAGCTGGCGTATTAGATCTGCTAGTTCAGATTGAAAAGCCTTGCTGGGATGGATAAAAATATGTATTTTATATGTTTGTATATTTATAGATTATAAATTCCCACATACTGTAGATAAAATATAATAAACATCACACATATATATTACAGCTTAGATACCACCTAGATAATGAAATATGTTACAGACATCACAGATTTAAACCTGTTCCATACAAAGCATTGAAGCTGTTCAATATTATTTAATTTAGAATCGTAGCATAAGAACACTAAATTAGGGTTGCAATAACATGTTATTTCTCCCTATATAGGAACCTAAAACTGGAAATACAAGATTACCACTTAAGGCAATGGCTCATTGTAGATGCATCACTGATTTAGGCTGGATAATTACATTAATGAGTACTTCATGAAACTCCTGTCTCCCCATGTTCTTGGTCCCCATGCGAGCAGCCAGCTGGTACATTAGAGGGAGGAACTTGTGGGAGGGAATCTTTTCTGACTCCACCTACACAGAAAAGGATCGTAAACAATAAGTTTATACACGTGTTGCAGCGAAGGCAGAAATGCTTAAAAACATATATATCACACACAATCAGTGAGCTGCATTGTAAGGTGGACCCAAGATGTTTTTTAATGCTAGTATTAGGGAAGGATATAGTTTTACAAAAGTGAGCAGAAGGTTAAATGATATATATATATATATATCACAGTGAAAACACCCAACATCAAGAAAAAAAAAACCGGTCATAGTTTTAAAAACTAGTTTTATTAGTCAGGTTTGATTAATCCAGGGGGAGTCAATTTCCTATTACAGCCCCCTTCCTGCTTGCATAACATCTTCCCCTTGTCAATTAGTGTATTTATACACCCTGTGCTGGCCCAGCTACTCTGCCTCCCCCTCACCAACCTATATAATCTTTCTTATGTAGCTGCTAGGGAAGAAGCAAAGTGGTGTATCACTAGAGTGGCAGCTCTCACATCATGTACTAGATGGCATCGTCCAGTAGTGGTGTCAGGCTATTTGGATGTAATAACATGCAAAAATATGTAAATGCACATATAGTTGTATGGGAAGAGTTCTGTGGAAATGAAGGTTCTTTAAAGTGTTACTAAACCCACAACAGTAAAATCAGTCTGCATATGCAGTAAAGCATGCTTGTTAAGCTCACTATGGAACCTAAGGGGTTAATCCTCTGTACTGTGTAAAAAGGCTGATTGATCCTGACTTCTCTGATCCTCCCCTTCTTCCAGTGTCCCCCCTCTTAACTCCTGATAAGACATATGTTGTGGAGTCACTCTGCACATGCTCAATTTAGTGAGTATTGCTAGAGATGTTTTTGTTTTTCTTGGGAGAGTGCATGTGATCAGCACAGGGCAGATCAGCACAGGGCCAATCAGCACTATCCAGACAGATGTCAGGGGTCCTGCATCTTCCTAGAGCAAAATGAAAACTCCTCCTACAAGCTTTAACCAGTGCTCTGCTAGACATTGATAGAAGTCACAAGACTATCTGTTGACAAAAAAAGGTATTTAGTAGTTACATTTTACTAAAATAATTGCACTTACATGTTGTGTGTACTATGGGAAACAAATACAGTAAATGTAGGTTCATGACTTTAGCTTTTCGTTGTATGCGCATGGAGGGAATATTAAAATGTTACTAATTTACAGACTGATGGGAAGGGGTTGAGATTCAAGCCTACTTTTATTTTTGCACTCTCTGTTTCACCTGCACATACCAAAAAATGTAACCTTGTGGAGACATGGCAGAAGTAGGGTATACATGAGCAACCTCTCCACATCAGTTAAGTTAATTTTATGAACGTTAGATGAAAAAAAGAACCTTCATAATGTTGTTAACTTCAGGCACCCGGGAATTCTCCAGCCAGAGAGAGCACAGGCGGAAGATCCACATGTTGTATTCCTCTCCAGACACCAGACAGCTAATATAGTTCTTTATAGCTGTACACAAAAAACGCTTCTGGTCTTCTATCAATGCTGCAATTTCACATTCATCCAACTCCAGCTCTCTTTGCACCTTCACAGTATACCTGTTAGGCAAATCACATTTTCACTGGATTGTAATGGTTACGTTGTAAAGAAAATTAAGCGTTAATAGACAAGCTCGGGATTTATTAAAGGACAAAAAAAAAAAATCGCCAGGCCTCTCCCACCTCTGCCCGATGGTGGCATCCTCCTGTAGCATTTACAGCCTCTTCTTGTCCAGGGCTGCTGACTCCTGCACAGTAGTCCCCCCTCTTAGGTCTGGTTTAGATCTATGCGGGAATCTCAGTGAATCCAGCACCCGCAACCACCCACAGGCAAAATGCTCTGCTGTTTGAACAGGTATGGCGCTGCCATTCATTCTGAATGCCACCCCCACATATCTAAAAACGCAGCGCATTTGCGGGTGCAGAAACAACAGGGAAATCGAATGTGTTCAAAAGCACTATGCTGCAATTTCCCAACTGTTGCATTTTTAGAAAGGTGCTGGAATCTTTTTCTGGCTGGAAATACAGCCCCGTGTAAACATAAGCTGCAAACATAGATTTGAATCAGGTTTTCTAGATTTGAGGAAAGGCAACGATCACCAGGTGGGTGGGGGGAAGGCTGAAGCTTAGAATAGATTAAAGGGCTAAGAGCCGGGTGTTAGTAGTTTTTTTTTTTTTGTAACTCCTAAACCTGTTCTTGTACGTACACACCAGGGACCTCTCTATTTAGGTTTCTTTATTCATCCATTGTGTTCCTTAGTGGATGGAAGGACCAGAATGCAAAAGTGATAATTTGCTATGTTTTAACCAGTACCTTGAAAGAAGTACTCTTTGTCCAGAATCTTCACTGAAAGTACCAGTGCTCTTTCTTGTATGCGAGGATGCCATGAATTCCTGTACTAACAATCTCATGGCTGCATTTCTCTAGAGAAAGATTTAAGGTACTGGTGTGAGGACACATTGGATGCCTGCAGCTGCAATTGTGCGCTTGCTGGGCTTTTGATGCTTTCCTGTGCCTCTAAGGAGGAATGGGATCCCACCAGGCAAATCTGTCCTAAATTTGTCTTCAGCTATATGTGTTACAATTTAGAGACCCCCAAAATCATATTATCAGAACTGCAGTATACAGAGGAGCCTTGGCGAGGCACTGTGGCGTTCACATATATATATATGCAAATGTGTGCAACTAAACCCTCTGTTTTTAATGTGAATTGTTAGATGGGGTCAATTGTTGTTTTTGCAGGCTAGCTGGTAAGTGTACTGGAAAATTTTCTGCAAAGCTCTTCCATGTGCACGTTAGTGCAAAGGCTAGTTATAGATTGGGGTGGTTGCCACAATTCTGTGCCTCTAAGGTACTGTGCTTCTGACTTCTAGATTCAGGAAATTTGCAGAAGTAACTGCTGTACTGCTCACTGCTCTACTTGCTACAGGATTTAGCATTGGGAAACCCCGCCTCTAACATTATGGTTGCTTCCACAGTGAGACATTGCAGAATAAGGCATGGTAAGAGAATAAACAATAAATCCATTAAAAAAAAAAAATAATATATAAATGCACATTTTTTTCAGTTAAAAAAAAATGTGGATTTATTATTTTTTTCCTAGGAGCCGGCAGAGCATTGTACCCGTGATCAGATCGTGTTTGCAATGTCAGGCTCTAGCAGATTGTCATACAGCCATTTACTGTACAGGCAGGCAGTTACTGAAGTTCAGGAAGATTAATGAACTACGAGAGTGCTCACCAGAGGCCTCACAGTTCATTGAGAACTACAAGCTGTCTGCAGTGGTGGCAGACAGAACTGTTAGTAGTTTATTCATTCAGAACTCTGAATAAATGAGGCAGCAGTGTGGCCACGTTGTTTTTGAATTGTGATACCAGGTATAAGGAGAGGATCCCCAGCCCGCTGTCACAACGGGGGATCGGTTCGGGGTGCGGGCAGGTGCTTGAGTAACATGTAATACCCTATGGGTGTAACATATAGCATGTTAGTAAAGGTGAACTTATTCTTTAATGGGAAAAATCAGCTGCAGGAAGAACACGTAATACTGGGGATTATTTATTTGCCTGCCTGTACTGGGCATCATTCCCTTTAATGCAAATCTACCACTACTTAAAATGACTATATCTAGCTTGTCTAATGAAAGGTTCCCCAAAAAGCTCAATAACGACACCACAAAGGTCAGTGTGACTATCCAAGTAAATAATAAAATCTCTGGGGTCAGTAAATGTCCAGAGGTGAATAGCTGGTTGATAAATGATAGAAGATTGGCTAGGGTCGAGTAATCTAGGTACAATTCAATCCTGTACTACATGGTCAAGTAATCTTTTAAGGGTCTCTGTGGAGCTCCACACCAGTCCCTAGTCCTGAAGGGGAGATAAACTGCCATTGCTGGCCAATCCTAGGTAGCATTGAGTGGTAGCTGTCAGTTGTGTGTTGTTACAGGCCTCTTTCACTAGTGTGCTTTGTGTTGTGTGTCTGTGACCATCCACCCTACCCTTCCCAGGAAGGATATAAGTGTTTACTTCCCATACTAAGCATACTTCCTCACCTCAAACTCTGTTGGAGAGCCTATGAGTACGCCTATAGTGATAAGCAGAGCAAAAAGAATTCATTGCTGTACATTTACGTATATTTCAGCATTGTAACAACCATAAGTCTACGGTCACATCAAGCCCGGCTTTGAAATCGTGCGACTAACAGTGAAGTCGCACGATTTCAAAGTCGGGGGACATGCCGATTTCAGCTGCGATTTGCAAGACATCTGACACAGAGGTCTATGCAAATCACACGAAAAGCAGTGCATGTACTACTGTAGAAATTGGTGCGGCTCCGACCAAGTTGGAACTGCACTGATTTGACCGCTGTAATTGCAGACAATAGGGTATGACTTGGAATACAATTTGCAAATTGTATGGCATGCAAATTGCATGCCAAGTCGCACCCAGTGCGACTGGGGTGTTATAGCAGCAGCTGATACCAAGGGGAAATTTCAACAATGATTATAATTAATTTTATGAATACTGAATTCATAGCAGTAGTGGTATTTATTAAATTATTTTCAAATAAAAAATGTTTAGGGGTCAATGAATAATTTGAAATTTCATGAAAGGGTAGATAAGCTGAAGGGTTTGTGAGCTAATGGTCTAAAGATTTCTCATGCGACAACACAGTGACTGATAAGCAGAGATGGGTTTGCCATAAACTGCAAGATTTCCCGTGGGCTGAATGAGAAGAAAATCATATGTTTCCTCCATCCATGCTAAACAGCATGGATAGATGTATCTGGACTTTCGGCTACTGTATTCAAGCAGCCACAGCACCTGCAGCTGTCTGAACACCTAAGCAATAACTGCATCTGATAGGATGCAATCACTGTCCAGCTGATAATATTGCACCAGGCTCAGTCAATTATTAAGCACTTCAGCTCTCACATCTGTTTATTCCCCATGAACCAGACCATATTTTCACATTTGTATTCATGAGTCTTTAACTCTGTAATTACTTAGGATACAAAATTGATAATTATATATTTTTTTTTTAATGGGGCTTTTTTTGATCCGAAGATCTCCTGAGAATGTTTTACTTATTTTGCATTTTAAAGGGAAAAAACAAGTATATAGCTAATAGTTCTATTTACCACAACACTAAATTAAGTTTTTGGTGCAAAGCATGTCAAAGTTATTTACAAAAGAATTTTTTTTTTATTTTAACATTTTGCATATATTTCACTTTTCTCATAATGCATCACTAATTGAAATTTAAAATGGAAAAATGGAACAGGAGAGGAAATAGTTAAATAGTGCTTATACAGGGTGATCTACTGAAATGAATGGGTTAAATAGTTAAAGGTTAAATAAGGCATGTATGGGTTAATTAAAGGTTAACTAATTACCTGTGCACAGTGAACATTCTTCTGTGCTAGCTGCAGCATTCTTAGGGCTCATTCAAACTTGGCTGTTTTACCAACGCTTGCCAAACACCCCTATAGCGTTTGGCAAGCGTTGGTCCGGCGTTTGCGGAGCGTTTTTTTTAACGCTCGGCAAACGCCACATGCGCGGTTTAGCGGCGGTTGCAAGGCGTTTGCTGAGCGTTAAAAACGCCCCACAAATGCCTATAATGCAGTTTGAATGGTGTTACCTCTCCGCAGACGTGACGCATTACGACGCAAACGCTCCCGTTAGAACAGCACCATGTGCTGTAATGTGCAGAATTGGAACAAGGGTTTGGGAAGCGGTAAAAACGCTTCCCAAACGCCTCTCTGCCGCCTGCACACAACGCTAGTGTGAACGTAGCCTAACTCACAGATAACTGTATGTCAGAGAACTGAGGAGATAAGACAGGTACTGTGTTACTTTTGTTATTGTTTGGCACACTGATTAACCACTTGCCCTCCAGAGGATTTACCCCCTTCCTGACCAGGCAATTTTTTGCTATACCACGCTGTGTTATTTTAACTGACAGTTGTGCTGTCATACAACGCTGCACCCAAATTAAATTTATGTCCTTTTTTTCCCCCATGGTATTTGATTGCCTGTGCATTTTTTATTTTTTGTGCTATTAAAAAAAAAAAAGACAATTTTGAGGAAAAAAAACAATACTTTTGACTTTTTGCTATTTAAACATTCTGCTACATGTTTTTGCGAAGAAAAAAATTACAATACATGTAAATTAATTGGTTTATGTGAAAGTTATAGCGTTTACATATACTGGAAATTTTATTTTTATTTTTACTAGTAATGGCAGCGATCAGCGACTTATAGCAGGACTGCGGCAGGTATTCTGACACTGGGGGGAACTGACTTGGTGTCACTGACATCACCAGTGACACCAATACAGTGATCAGTGCTAATAAAGAGCACTGACACTGTACTAATGGCACTGGGCAGGAAGGAGTTAACATGTGGGGCGATCAAAGGATTAACTGTGTGATGTTTTACTCTGTGCTGTCTGTGCTTTCAACTGTAAGCACACTGTTTTGTATGGCTGTGCTATGCAGAGCCATACAAAGCAGTGTGCAGGAGCTGACAGGGGAGAAAACTGTTTTGTTTACATACAGTTCTCTCCCTCTGTTGGTAATGCTCTGCGATCACCGGGTGTGGGCGAGCAATCATCGTCTGGGACCTGGTGATTGACAGCCGAGGCTGCGAATAGAAGCACGAGTAGGGCGTGCGCCCCCTACCCGGAAATGCAAAATCATGCATATACATACACGTGATTTTGCGCACCCCTGCCACCATGTAGCAGCATATCTGCTATAGGATATCTGAAAAGCGGTTAATCACTGTGATTGGCTGTCACGGTGATCATTGAATGAGGAAGGCTTCAGATTGGTTGCCAATCGTAGGACTGCGATCTCCCCTTTCTACAGACACCAGTTCTCACGGGGCTGCGCACAGGAAGGAGCAGGGGAGAGGAGAAACTGCAGGCAATCTCCTGGATGTACAGGAGACGCCTTGTCTTCAGAGGTGTAGATTGTTACGAACGTGTACAACATGCCGAAAGTAGGCAACTGGTTAAACTGAGTGGTGCTGACAATTTAAACCCTGTATGGCTAGCAATACAAACCACATGCTCACATTTACAGACAGAGCTTCTACAAGCATGTATAGAAAATATGTATATTAAAAACATGGAAAAGAAAGCATGTAAAATGTGATGGTCACATCTACTTTCATACGGTGCGCACACATGTCAAAAATAAACTCTATTTTTTAAAAAAGATCCATATAAGTCAGATAGGAATAAACACCCACCTGTTAGTCTGAACCTTGTGCTGTCGTATTAGTTCTACCTCTTGTTTGGCCTTTGCAAGTAATGCCTGCTTATTTTCAAACTCTGATGACTTCATATATTTATCAATTCTCTGATATTGGGCATCTGAAAAACGAGCTAGTGAGAGGAATGCCTTCATCCGTACCTCCTGGAGCTCATCACTGCTACCACTGCTGAAGTCTTCTGCAACTTCTACAGCCTGTAACATGGAAAAACAAACTGGCTAGATCTGAGTTTTAACAAATATGATCTTGTTTTAGAAACACATAAAAATTAGGGCAAGCTTTCTGGACCAAGGCAAGCATGTCTGATGACATTCAAAATTTCAAACAGCTGCATTCCTGACCTACACCTAACCCTAAACCTTGAACTTCTAACACTGATCCAATTAAGAGCTTTGTGAAATACCCAGCATCAAATATATATTATCAGGTGCAAGCCTGTTAAGTAATATGTAAGTGTAACACTTCCTTAGCCTTAAATATACACAGTGAAGTGACTAGCCTAAGGTCATACACAGAGATGAAAGTCCTATACGAGTTGTACCTGTTTATCTAGAGTCTTCTCTTCATCTATTCAAAGTGCTGAAGTTATAAAGCTGTTTGAGAGGTCAGAACACACACACACCTGCGGCTGTCGGTCTGCTGGAGGTCCCTCCCCTGTCACCATTTTTCTCTTGGTGTCAGGAAAACTTGTCATAAGTGACTCATGCTGATAGCAGAGGAACAAAGCAGCAGACAGAAATGACACTTAGTGCTCTTAATTGAGACAAGCAGACACTATAGAGGGATATGCTTTGTTCATATTTCATGTCTGAGATTTACATCCACTTTAAACCCTGAGCTTCTGCCTTCTGCCCTTGAGCTTCCTTTCTAGCTCTAAACCTTGAGCTTCTGCCGCTGATCCAAGTTAGATTTTAGTGAAGTACCTAGTATCAGATATATATTTTCATGTGCAAGCATGCAAATAATATGCAAGTGAAACACTTCCTGGTATTTTATTCTCTTTCACACACAGATATATAAAGTGAGAAACTACACGAAGGTTTAAAAAAAAAACAGCTGCAAGCGTGCTAGTCGATATTTACCATAGCATACAAATCAGTAAGAAGTAATGTGCTGTGCTTAATAAATATAGAAAACACATTACCATTATAGACTCTGTGGTGTGTGTGTGAGATGTGTGTGTGAGATGTGTGTGTGTGTGTGGTGTGTGATGGTGTGGTGTGTGAGGTGTGTGTGTGTGTGTGTGAGGTATGTGTGTGAAATGTGTGTCTGTCTGTTGTCCTTGTTCCCCTTTGTCTCCCTTGATCCAACTATCTGCTAACTTTCCTCCCCCAAACCTAGACGGGCAAAGCTTATCTCGCCTAATTATGATGTCACTCAAGCTGTCCATTTTCTTTACTAAATGATCCCATTTACCTAAAGGGGGAAAATGTAGGATTAGAAATAATTTTGGGAGAGAAAAAAAAGATTGAATATAGTAATATAAATAAAAAAAATTACTTAATTAGGCAAGTATTCACTTCATGCAATAATAATACTACAACTGACATTTTTGATAAAATAATCCTGTCACATAATAACACCATATACAAGGTAAATTTTAATACAAAATCTTTTTCCAGATGTTGATGTCCTTTGTTACGTCCAAGACATGGCCTTCTCAATTAATCTTGCAAATTGGTACCATGATCAGTCCTTATCCAGTGACAACAATACCCCCCACATTTACAACCTGGGAAAGTTTGCTGTAAGAAACTGAGAATGTCTGAGGCTAAAGTCTTTTTTCAGAAACCATGACCTTAGATTCACCTTTTATACTAAAGGAATATAAAGAACAAAATGGCTTACAGCATGCCCATGTTACAATATGTAGAGATAAGTTCAGGCCTTCTGTGAGCACAGAAAGTTTCAACAGCATGACCATATAAATTATAAAAAAAAGTCATGTATGGCATATGCTATTATGCAGATCCACTGCAATGGCACACTTCAGGAACCACCCACTAATTGTAGGCTGGACACAGGTTCATTTGAAGGCACACTGACATTTTTTACTTTGGGATCTTTGTGATTTTTTACATGGAATTTCTTTATACTGTTATCTAGCACAGTGGTGTTTTCTATATTTATTAAGCGCAGCACATTACTGATTACTCCTAAAAATATCTTCATCTGCTTTTTCTCTCCAAAAAAAATAGAGCTCTCTTTGTTCATGCAAAGTCCAGGTTCAACATCTACTTCCTAGACTGAAATGCTAACTCAGAAATAACAATTGTGTAAATCCTGTTGCCTGTGCAATGTCTGACACAGAACTGCCCGTGCTAGACTTGCTACAAATTGCATTGTTGCAGTCTGATCACTGGGGATAAGGAGAATGAGAAAATGAGTGCCCTGCCTTAAGCATATGGAGAATTTGGAGAGGTCTGTTACCTGAGCTATAGAAACCTGCAATTCATCTGGTTTTGAAGCGGAACACCTACCAGTATTCAGAGGTGATCATATACTACAAGAAAATAAGATCAATCATCTAATCAATATAAAGTTGTGTGGTGTCACTGCCTTTTATTATGCCGATTGTCTTATGGTAAATATGACTTTGGTCTTGATATGACTTGTATGATGTAAAGATGTACAGTTGTGCTCAAACGGTTGCATACTCGGGCAGAAATTGTGCAATTTTGGCATTGATATTGAAAATATGACTGATCATGCCAAAAAATGCTATTTTATTGAAGGTTGATGATCATATGAAGCCATTTCTTATCAAATAGTTGTTTGACTACTTTTTAAAATCATAAGGATAACAGAAATCACCCAAATGGCCATGATCAAAAGTTTACATAGCCTGGAATGTTTAGTCTTGGTACAGACACACAAGGTGACACACACCGGTTAAAATGCCAAATAGAGGTTAATGTCCCACATGTCTGGCTTTGTAAATTGCAATTAGTGTCAGTGTATAGTCAATGAGTTTGTTAGTGCTTATGTGGATGCACTGACTAGGCTAGATACTGAGCCATGGGGATCAGAAAAGAACTGTGAAAAGTCCTGCATAACAAGGTAATGGAACTTTATAAAAATGGAAAAGGACATAAAAAGATGTCCAAAGCCTTGAATATGCTAATCAGTACGGTTAAATCACCTATTAAGAAGCGGAAAGTTTGGGGATCTCTTGATACCAAGCCAAGGTCAGGTAGACCAAGAAAGATTGCAGCCATAACTGCCAGAAGAATTGTCCGGGACTCAAAGAAAAACCCACAAGCAACCTCAAAAGATATACAGGCTACTCTGGAAAAAGATGGTGTGGTTGTTTTTAAGGAGTACAATACGGTTATACTTGAACAAAAATGAGCTGTTTGGTCAAGGTGCCAGAAAGAAGCTTTTACTGCACCAATGCCACAAATCCCGGACAATTCTTCTGTCAGTTATGGCTGCAATCTTTCTTGGTCTACCTGACCTTGGCTTGGTATCAAGAGATCCCTGAACTTTCCACTTCTTAATAGGTGATTTAACAGTACTGATTGGCATAAGTAAGGCTTTGGACATCTTTTTATGTCCTCTTCCATCTTTATAAAGTTCCATTACCTTGTTACGCAGGACTTTTGACAGTTCTTTTCTGATACCCATGGCTCAGTATCTGGCTCAGTATCTAGCCTAGTCAGTGCTAGTTTTACAAAAACTTTCAAAGTAGCCTGATTGCTGGGAGACATTTAGTAAACCACGTACCACAAAACTGCCAGGAACCATACATAAGTAAATAAACTGGTAGAATAAATAGGCCTCAACATTACCGAACCGTTCTTTAGTATTTTTCATTATCTGCATCCTTCATTTATTACTGGAGTCAACATCCCTCAGAACCATTTTGAACATATTCCCAGGTCAACTTTAATGTCTTCATAGCTGTGATCATAGCCAAGAAATGCCAACAAGATATAAGCCAATAGACAGAAATACATTGGTCAACCAATATATAATTGTTTAACATGTAAGGCCAGTATTTAGATACACTAACTAAATGCACAGCACAGTGGCTAAATGGTTAGCACTTCCACCTGGCAGTACTAGGGTCGTCGGTTCGAATCCCAACCACGGCACCACCTACCTGGAGTTTGCATGTTCTCCCTGTGCCTGCGTGGGTTTCCTCCAGGTACTCCGGTTTCCTCCCACACTCCAAAGACATGCTGGTAGGTGAATTGGATCCTGTCTAAATTGGCCCTAGTATGTGTATGTATGAATGTGAGTTAGGGACCTTAGATTGTAAACCCCTTGAGGGTTAGGGACGGATGTGAATGTACAATATATATGTAAAGCGCTGCGTAAATTGATGGCGCTATATATAATTACCTAAAATAAATTATTTATCCTGGAATATACCGTATAGTGTACAGTCAGGACCAAAACCCAGGTTACCATTGACTGTTATACACTGTGCCATTTTCACAAGAAATCCAGCTACTTCTTACCTTTTCCAGATAGTTTTTCATAATGACTGTAGGATTTGCCAGACACGTTTCTGAAAGCCAGTTGCCACTTAACCTCAGGCACTCCACATAAATCAGCTGAAGAGTTGGGTCATTCTCAACCTTGAAATAAAAGCATTAGTCAGCTTTATGAAATGCCTTCAAAATATCACTTACATCAGGATATCAAGAGGGCTGATGACATAGAACAACGTACCTCTAAACTGTTTGATTCCAGCTTGTCCACCATTTGACTAAGAATCCCTAAAGCAAGACTCTGCTCCTTTTTAGCCCAAAACACTTGTGCCTCTTCTAGCTGCCATTCAGATACTATAAAACGTGCCGAGCTGTATTGCTTAACCTTGAAAATTGCCTTTTCTGGGAGCTGGGGAAAAACAGCAAACTTTATAAGCCTCAGATCTTGGCGGGAAAAAAAATGTTTAGGAGAAAATTATGCTCGATTAAAGTAAGGAAGGTGAATCAATTATTGTTGTTTGGTGTAGGTTTTGTTAATGGGTTCGGATTTTAAGGTCTGAAATATCTGATAAAAAATAAGTCAAAATTCAACACAAGGACAGTTGATGATGCTATTGTATACTGAAACTTAGAAAACTGCATTTAAAAGAGAAGTAAGGTCATGAAGCTTCCAGTTGACTGGTACCATAGTAAATCTATTAAACTTTGGACCCTACTGGAAAATAACCTGATCTCCTCAGAACTCATGTCTTTACCATGGACATATCCTGTCCACAGACCCTGTACTGATGTTATGCCCCTCATAACTTCCACCATGTTACAGATTTGGGACAAATACCTTTCCAGTGGTCTACTCTCATCACGACTGAGCCCCTTGACTCCACTCTTTGGGAACGCATCCCCCCCCCCCCCCGACTTTTACTAGCTCTAAATTCCTTTCTTGGCAAAAGTCTGATGTCCCACTTCTATGCCATATGCTTCACAGCGAGAACCTAATCCCTCTCTCTCCCAAATACTTTCCTCTTGTCAAAGTCCCTCGGGGGTGTGGTTTGAACATACTCAACACATTTTCTAGGTAAGATTCCAGGCATAGACGTTTTGACCAGGCCACTTACAGACTGAGTCGTTTGCTCTCCCAGTACACTAGACCAGACCACTCACTATCTCAGCTTTATTGAATCATCTTAAATGCTTCTCATCCAGATCCTCCACTATTCCTATCTAAATGGGAAAGAGAGCTAAATATGTTACCTGACGACATGGACAGGGACAAAACACTGGCGCTTTCCTTTCAACTTTGTTTATCATCCCCACGCCCAGGAATGTAATTATCGTATTTTTTCTTGGTGGTATTGATGCCCTACTCTCCTACATAGAATAGACCCTACTATCCCAGATATGTGATATTTACAGGCCCCTGACACCATGACACAAATTTGGGGCACCTGCCCACGTATTATCCCTTTCTGGGATAAAATACTAGTTATATGACAAACTTGCGGGGGGACAAATTCCCAAAAGAACGTCGCATAAGTATACTTTCTATGTTGCCAGGCTCCTATAAACCAGTTAAGAAAAGCTTAATTTGACATTTCCTCACAGCAGCCCACTGTGATTGCTAGACATTGGCGGCAACTGTCTATACCCTTTTTGGCTGACTGGGCTTGTGAAATGGACAGGATCGAACACCTGGAACGCATGATAGCTTGGAAGAATTACAAGACTGACCCCTACAAATTTACATGGATGGTCTGGTCATATTTCTGGTTTTCCTTCAATGTTGTGGTCATTGTAGCTGTTCCTTCTGGGGCCTCTCCGGTATAGTCGGAATCCTCCCTTACCTCATTCTTCCTCCTGTGTTTCTTTTCCCCCTCCCTCCAATTGTATATTTATTTTTTACTTTCTCCTCTAATTTGTTTTCTTCTTTTCTTTCTGGACTTAGCATCTTTAATTTATTTTTCCATTTACATGGTGCTCTGGATCGTATTGTTCAGTTTCTTATATAGATGGTAACACCATTATGCTTTTTTTCATTGAGATTTTTCCCATTGAAATATCAGATGGTTCTGGAGTTAACTGTATCTACCATTGCTCTACTAGTTTTACTATGTCTTAATGACCTTTACTTTATCGAGACCTTATGATGATTTCTCTTGCATTATACTGGTCAATATGTAATTCTGTACACTTACTGGCAATAGACATGTATTGTTACGGTTATGCTTTGTACTGTTTGAAAACTGAATAAAACCATTTCAACTTAAAAGAGAAGTATGGGAAAAGTTATTTTTTAAAAATCATAATTACCAAGGTAGATGCAGCATCGTTTCGATGCTGCATCTGTCCCCCCGATGGCTTTAATGGTGAGAACTCAGTGATCACATGACTGCTGAGTTCTCACAACCACTGTAAGCAGAGTGGTGACTGTCAGTCACCGTTGCCTGCTCTGCTTCTTCCTTATGCTCACTGGAGCGCTGGGCCGTGGAGGGAGAGGGAGCGCTGGCTCAAACTCTCAGCAGATCGCTGACAGGCTGAGCCAGGTGCTGCTCCAGACTCTGGGGTGGATCCTGACTTTAAAGTGATCTTTTCTCAGCCAGGACTGGCTGAGTGATATCAGCCCGCTGTCAACTGAAAACAGGTCACAGGAGTGCAGAACAAACTGCACTCCTGTGATCCACAGGAAAAGTACAGCCAAAAGAGCTTTCGAATCAAATACATGTCAATGATCGGTTTAAAAAAAGAAAAATCTAAATCAAGGCAAAGGTTTAGCATAAGGTTCATCTCCCAGAGGCTTCAGCCTGTAAAACATTTGCCTGAAAAGCAACAAGATCAGCCCTGAAAGGCAAAGCAAAGTGTGCTTCAAACAAGCGATTTGTAGCTTTCAGCAAGCAACATTTTTTAAAGCATGAATACTCAGCGCTTCAACTATCTTAATGTCATCCAGTTAATGTTTAAATGTATGGTCTAAAGAAAATCTATGGTCTAAATGTAAAATCATATTAATTTCCATGTAGTACTTCAATTATTTGTAGCCTTTTTAGATTATTTCTGAACAATCTTGACATTGGTAAACTTTCTTTGTGAAGATCCCCACACATTTAATTCCTTGAATTCACTATATCCTATGAGTAGGCACTGCTGTGTCACATAATTCACAGAACCTGCCTTCTGAATTGCAGAGGTGCTTATAACGAATGTGGTGCCTGGCCCCTGTCCTTTTCACCAGCTCATGACAGAGCGACTGTCTGCGCTGGGTTAATTAGGTGATTAAAACTTTAACTGTCACCACCACCTATTTACCGAAAAGGAGAAAATGCACCATCTTAGCAACAACTATGATTTTAAAATAAACGTCTGTAACATGCACTGTCACCACAGACAGGTATGTTGATAGATTTATACTGCAGCAGCACTCCTCAAGACACAGGGATTCTTTTAGTTTGCATTAAAAGCCTTCGAGACAGTTTTAACACTTTTCAAAATTTGGTTTAATAATAATGAAAAGTCAAAGGGGTGTAAATAAAATATGGTAATGAGGGATTCAGTGAGCGCTAACCGACACAGCAGCTGATACACTAAAAAGGAAAACCATCAACCTTCAAATAAACAATATAAGATAAATAGTGCAGCGCTTGATGTTATATGACTGTACCAGTATTGAAGATGGTACAATATCCCTTACTTAAATGTCAGCAGATGTGGACCATACGCATTATATGTGACCAAAACCACACTATATGTGATCCTCCCACAAGTTGGAAACAGGAGGGGGAGAAGGAATGACATGAGCTCCAACAATTTTCACTTCACAATACAAAATGCACAATATAAATGCACAGTATAGTCCAATCATCAAAGAAACACAGATGAGTGTATCCCGATGAGATCTTTGTTATAAGGAGTAGCCCTTGCTAGCCGTGACGCTAAACCGCCGGATCAAAGGGGGGGTCTTCTCCCCCTCCTGTTTCCAACTTGTGGGAGGATCACATATATATGTGTGTTTGGTCACATATAATGCGTATGGTCCACATCTGCTGACATTTAAGTAAGGGATATTGTACCATCTTCAATACTGGTACAGTCATATAACATCAAGCGCTGCACTATTTATCTTATAGTGTAAATAAAATATTTACAGAAAAAAGGGGTGCTACAAAGATACAATAAAGCAACAGAAAAATAAAAAGTAGTTGAAAATGAAGAATACTGGCAAACTGGTTTGGTTTTAGCAGAGTCCAATGAATAACCAAAAATGGCACAGTGGCTCTCTCAAGTCTGGTTATTATTATTATTATACAGTATTTATAAAGCGCCAATGGTTCGCTCAGTGCTGTACATTACAAAGGGGGACAGAACATGTGACAGAACAATACCAATACAATGTAAAACATGAGGGGATCGAGGGCCCTGCTCTTTCGAGCTTACAATCTAGGAGGGAGGGGATAGTGGTACAGGAGGAGAAAGCTGTGGGAGATGGAGTGGTAGGAAGAGTGGAGGAGGTCGGTAGGTTAGGAGGGGGTGGTGTAGGCTTCCCTGAAGAGATGGGTTTTCAGGGTGCGCCTAAAGGAGAGGAGAGTAGGTGATGGGTTGGGGCAGGGAGCTCCAGAGGATGGGTGACACCTTGGAGAAGTCTTGGAGGCGGGCATGGGGAGGAGGAGACCAGGGAACTAGAGAGAAGGAGGTCTTGTGAGGAGCGGAGTGTGCGTGTTTGGTGGTACTTGGATATTAGGTCAGCGATGTAGTACTGGCCAGTATGGTGGACAGCTTTGTACGTCAGTGTTAGGATTTTAAATTTGATCCGTTGCGCAATCGGAAGCCAGTGGAGGGATTGGCAGAGGGGGGTGGCGGAGATGGAGTGGTTGGAAAGGTGAATGAGTCTGGCAGCCGTATTCAGGATCGACTGAAGCGGGGATAGCCAGCGGCGAAGCAGGCCAGTGAGGAGGGAGTTGCAGTAGTCGAGTCGTGATATGATGAGGGAGTGGATGAGCTGTTTAGTGGTTTCTGGGGTTAGGAACATGCGTATTTTGGCAATGTTGCGGAGGTGGAGTCTGCACGAGTTTGTTAAAGATTGGACTTTGGGCTGGAAGGATAGGTTGGAGTCCAGAATGACACCAAGTACTCTGGCCTGCGGGGCGGGTTTGATGGTGGCATTGTTGGATGTGACGGAGAAGTCAATGGGGGGTGGTATCCGGGCTGGGGGGAAGACAAGAAACTCTGTTTTGGAGAGGTTCAGTTTAAGGAAGTGGAGCGACATCCAGTCTGGTTAGGTGTTTCTTAGGTGGAAGCTCCGCTTATTTGCCTCCTCCCCCCTTCTCCACTGCCATATTTGGCAAATTTGTGGGGGGGGGGGGGGGGGCAGGTACTTGGTTATGACAGGTGCCCGCTCCCACTTCAGGCTCAGTTTTCCGCAGCGAAGTGAGCCGGAAGATTGGCCCCCTCTTCCCTCCTGCAGTCTCCTGGGAACTTTCAAAGGTTTTAGGAAACTGCCAGACCAATTAGGAAGAGCAGTGCGACTCGCTCATGTGCAGTGGCCACCAGGCTGTGAAGTTGTAAGCTGTCACAGCCTGGTGCCTGAAAGGATCTAGATAACCTCCATTTTGTATTATGTACGCCATTTTAAGTATTAAGTATTAAGTTAGCTTTTTGTAGAGATATTAGAAGTTTAATGAAACTGTTTTTGGTTGTTCAAGGATGTATCAACAGAAGCTAACACGACCCTGACAATGTCTTTGTCTGGCTGTTTTCCCAGAAAGTTAGCCAAAATAATTTGTACCAAGAAATGTATATGTTATGTTTCATGTAGTTAGCTTATGATGGAAAGTTACAAGTTACAGTTTTGAAACTCGCTCCCCCCTCCCCTTATTATTATCTGTAGTCTATATAATCTTATTAATGTCTAATAAAGACTTTGAACATCTCTGAACATTAGCTGTCGTGATTTCCGTGTTCAAGGGGTGTGTTCCCAGAATTCTGCTGATAAACCAGGAATCTCTCCACAGACCGGGGGTCTCCACCAGGGGAAAAGAAAATCATTCCTTTTCTGTGCCCACAGTTGGGATGCTGGCACAGTGGAGGAAAGAAGGGGAGAAGGGGCTGCGCGGGTAAGAACATCACTGGAATCCGGGACAGGTAAGTGTGTGTTTATTAAAAGTCAGTAGCTACAGTTTTTGTAACTGCTGACTTTTAATAAACACAAAAAAACAGCTGGAACTCCACTTTAAAATGAGAGCTTGTCAAAATGTCCTGGCATTCCGCTTTTCGGTGGTATCAAAGGGGTGTTGACAAAGTCGACCACGTCACCATGCTTATGACCAAGTCCCAAATACAGTTTCTTATAAGGATTCAGATTTTTGAATACCTACTGTTTACAGTCTGTTACCATGCAAATTATTGTCCAGCATGAAACTGGCTTCAAAATGGATAAAGATACCACAGGTCGTGGATATCTATTTCTCATAGGAGTGTGGAGGCCTAATTCAATCTGGTACTTCCTAGCATAGGGTTTGGGTTCAAAACGCTACAAATTAAGGGAGGGAAATATGTCTTTACTATGGCTGTGCTGTTTGCATTTCAGGAGTTATGAAATATGTTGATTTTTAGAGTCTTGGCTGCTAACCATTCTATCAGAAATGTGGATTGGCTATTCCCTTCATCTAAGCTATTTACGACCGGATACCTATTAGTTCTCTGAATTGCTCGAGCTTGTGAGGGAGATAGTTTTAGTAAGGTTTCCAGACTGAAATTGTGGATTGGGTAATGGAGAGGTCTGTATGTCGGATAAGTGGAGTAGTAAACCCTGGCATCAGTTCACAGTTGTTTATTGTGCCAAGTGGCCTCCTGGGGGGGGGATGTAAAAGGAGACCACTGCTGCCATTTGGCCAGTCATAGGTGAATACCAAACAACATGACTGACACACACATAGCTTTGCGAGGGCCCAGTCCATGTTACCATTACAGTGCTAAGAGGAGGAGTTTCAGGAAGAACAGAACGAAATCACAGCTTGCAGACATAAAGGTACCATGGGATAAGTAGTCTGTAGAAATTGATAGTAAACAGCAGATGAGAAACTGCAAAGCATGTAGGCAGTTGTAGACAGAGATGACCAGCAGACAAGCAGCACTCACAACTTATAGGAGGTTTTTCAAGTATTGCCATTATAATGCTGAAGTTATAAACTAAAAGCATATGCTGTGACCATAGATCTGCTTTAAATATATTGGTGTACTGAGCCATCATACAAAATCACATGTTTGGTTAGTTAGTATGTGGTTCTGCCTTCTCAGCAAGCTGATACAAGAAAGACAGTAGTGTGCTTAAATGAATTAGAAAGCTCTAAATAGGCATCCACTGTGTGTTTAGATTCATTAGTGGCCACAGAAAAGAAAGAAGCAAGTCAGTAGGTACAAAGTCTGCAATGCTACACATATTATTTTTCATATCTTTTAGCAGAAAAAAACAGTTCCAATATACTTGTCAAATATATATTTAGCTGGTCTGTCTGCATCACAATGCAATCATATTAGCAAATGTGGGCTGTAGACCTTTATGTGTTGGAGAGATTTCAGCACACATACCTGTGTGTTGGAGGCTGTTCTGGCAGCCTTAGATAAGTGCACCAAGTGCCTTGTAAAAATAGGCGTGAGAACATTCTGATTAAGGCAATTCTTCTCCAGCATTATCTCCAGGATAACAGAACGCAGAGCCAAGACTGGCTCCTGGAAGCCAAAGTCACTGTCTTTAAGGATCTGGGACTGCTGCTCCCACTTTGTGTACATGTCATTTAACTGACACTCAGTAACTGATCTGAAATGAAGTAATAACAGCACATTACAAATACATTATTACAAGAAAAGATGCTTAGATATAATTACACCAAATGAGATGTGGTAGGACATAAGCACACGACAATAGCTTATACAGTAGATTATATTGCCAAACGTTTGTGAACACCTATCACACCTGTATAAGCTTGTAGGATATTATATTGCAAAACCATGGACATCAATATTGAGTTGCCCCACTTTGATCTATAACAGCCTCACCCTTCAGAAAAAGGCTTTCCACAAGATTTTGGAGTGTGCCTGTAGGAATCTACCAAAAAAAAATATTTGTGAGGATGAGAAGATCTGGCTCACAATTGGCATTCCAATTCGTGCAAAGGTGTTTAATAGGCTTGAGGTCAGGGCTCTATGCAAGATACTCAAATTCTCCTATACAAAACGTACAGACTATGTCTTTATGAACCTGGCTTTGTGCACAAACCTCTTTAATGAATAGGGTCATGGATATAGGTGAATTGATCAGCCATGACACTACAAACTACAGCCACAGCATGTGAGCCCATCATTACAACTTAAGTTAAACAAATGGCAAAGGAAATATACAGTAAAACTGGACATAGACGGTTCGAATCTCGGCCGCTTCAGCAGGGACCGGCCAAGATTCAAACCATGTATGGGCAGGCTGAGTGTATGGATCGATCAACTTGGGTACAAGCCTGTCATATTTTACATGTGATTATTCCTAGAGGATATTATAGATGCTAGCATTGATTACTGTGTTCTCCTGCGGAGAGATTGACAGTGTTTATGGGGGAATCAAGTGATTTTCATCCTGCATCCTGTGGTTGCAGGAAAGAAAATCACTCTCTATGGCTGGCTTAACTGCACTAAGACCTAGTTAAAAAAACAAAAAATTTTGAAATTGGACAATGCTTTTAAGAATATGTAAATAATTTACTGTTTATTATTAGTCTAGGCACAGGTGCGCTTAAAACAGCGCCAATGAAAGGGTTGGGCTTTAAAACAGCTCATTAATAAGTGGATAAACTTGAAATAAGAAGTTGGCCTGAGACATACCTGGAATCATCTGCCCAGCATTTTCTAGTTCTCCAATAGCTTGGAGCCTACACAGTGTGGGATACAGAGAGTACACAGACTCCAGGCTGCCTTTGCACAGCTCTTCTACTTCCTTAAGTCTACAGATAGAGAGCACAAACATTACAAACAATAATTTGCAGGAATTCTGACTTCTATCATTTTGAAAATGCCCTTACTGCAGAAAGATTGATCAATTAAAGTGAACCTAAAATCAATTATAAGAGTATATTTTTCAAACACCCTTTGCTGACAGTAGTGCAATAGCAAAAAAAAAAAAAAACTAGGATTTTTTTTACTCACCCTAAAAAATCCTTTTCATGGAGTCAGTTGAGGGACATGGGACATTTTTTAACTTTGGGTTATACTGCTGTCTGCTGGATTGGACATTGGTAAACGAAAACTGTAGTCCAGCCAGAAAAAGCCCTCCTATTACCAGTGTGCTTCAGTTTTGTAGCAAAGCAGTACCTAGAGCATGACCATATATACACAGAGGCGCAAGATCTGTCTCCCTTAATAGACTCCAAGAAAAGGATGTTGCAAGGAGTTCTAAAATCCTACTTTCGTTGTCTTCTTGTCTAGAGGACAGCACTGCAAAATCTGAGAAATAGTAGCCAAAAATCAAAAAGCCAAAGAAGGTCCCATCAACCTAGAAGAGCATGCTGTACAACCCAATCCTTAAAGGAGAGCTACAGCCAAAGCTCTTTTGGCTGTACTTCCCCTGGGGATTACAGCAGTGCAGTTCGTTCTGCACTCCTATGACCTGTTTTCAGCTGAAAGAGGGCTGAAAGGAAAAGGGGTTGCGAAAAGAAGATCAGATATAAAGAAAAGTCTGTCTACAGAAGCCCTAGAGATGTTAAAATCACTAAAGGATTTAACAATTGAGCTAAAAAAAATTAGGAATTCATTAAAGTATATATCAAGCCTTTATTCAGTTCAGATAGAGAGAGGAAGGATAAGAAATCCTTCAGGTCTTTACTGCTCTCCAAAATATACGATCATTTCGGTCCTGCTGACAAAGGGGAACTCTCCCAGTAGCAACACAGACAAAAATAAAAAGGCTTTTTAGGGAATGGTTAGAACCCCTTTGGGACACACACAGCAAAAAATAATCTGGATGGGGCTTTTATGCTTCCCTACACTACTCAAAACTTAAAAAAAAAAAAAGAAAAAAAAAAAAAAGATGTTAATTTGCATGCACTTTAAAAAAATCATGTAACACTGTATAAAAGGACAGCGTCTGATACGTGTTACTAGGGTAGCATAAAGTCCAACTAGAGCCTTGCATGACTACATTGCTACCAACAATGGGATGTAAGGTTCACTACTACTTGCCTGGCATACTTAATATGGTCATGAAAAGTGGGGAATTCTTTGTCCCTCAGAGACTGTATAGCACGGTAGAGAGATTCATGATAGCCTTGGCCAGGTATGTCACCTCTAAAAAAAACAATTACAGAGACATAAAACATGGAGATAACAACATACAAAGTCATCTTAAGTTATTTTGAAAATCAAAGTTTACTTGTAGGATGGGCTCTGGTCCCACTGCATGTTTCTCCAAGCTGCCTGGAACCGAATCTCCTGGAGCTCAGAAGACCAGTCCGCATTCTCATGCTCAAGGCCTTGCAGGTAGGTGGACAACATGTGACTCAAGCCAAAGTTTTGTAAAGCCTGCAACAGATTTATCAGTTATGAAAGAATGGCTCCTTCTGCTTCCTTCTCCAATCCTAATCCTCAATATCTGCCTGTTGTTTTCACAATCTACATTGTTTTCTACCATCACCTGTTTACTTCATCCTGGATAATGCTATTTTTAACAAAACGTAATAAAAATGACTGAGCCAAAAGATACCTGCATGATCCCAGCCTGGCGGGCAGCAGAGGGAAGACTGGTTTCCAGATCGTAGGTTACTAGGGCTTTTCCCCACATGGCTTCATGTTCATATGTTCGAATCCTGATTAAACACAAATAAAAATGTACATTTAACCACATTTGTCACTAGCACCAGTAGATATGTAGCAATTCGATAATTAGATAGTGTAGCTAATTAGCTTGTCTGTGTCCGGATTACAAAGTGTATCTAAAGCCCAAATGTGTTTTTTTATTTTTTTTTGTCTTGGATAGAGTATGGAAGTGTTAGCCACCCTGTTATTTTGTGGTCTATGTCCAGTCTAGGAAAATTCACCTTCTCTATTTATCCTGGTGACCTGGTCACTGGGATTGATTGTGAGGTAAAATCCAAAATTTTAAATTGTCACCAGAATAGCAACTGCAGTGAAATCTTCCACTGGGAACACCTGTTACAGGGACAATTGTCTAAAAAAACGTTCTCCACTCTTGATCCTGTTGTGTCTTTGGAACAAGGAAATCTCCCCAATGAAGCACAACAGAGAGGGCTTTTAAACTTTCCCTACTCTATCCAAAACTAAAACGTAAAAAAAAAAAAAAAAAAAGGTTTGGCTTTAGATATACTTTACTATTACAATACAATGCCAGATTCTCTTGGGGTGTGGCCAAGTTGTAAATCAGGTTAAAAAAGACATACGATCGCCGAATTCAACCAAAAGACAAAAAAAATTCATTATAAACCTGCATCCTCAGAACTCTAAACCAGCAGATGATCCAGTTAAATGCAAAATAACCATTCTAAAGTACGTTAACTTTTTTCCAACATGGCAAACAATCCTTCGTTATCCACTAAAGCAATTGGATATCCCTGGATTAACAATCCACTGTGTTATTTGTTTATAATAATAGCCAGGAAATCATTCTTTATTTAGAAACACAGTCAGACTTTATTTTTTTAATTAGTTAGAACTAGCTCCTTTTGAAGTCTATTTTACATTTATACTGCTTTTACTGTAAAGGTAATAACTTTGTCATTTGCAATTCCCTTAAAGTCAAATCACTTTGTGCCAGGGTGTGTACAGTAACCAATAACACAGGGTCAACACAAAAAAAAACACAATTTTCATATGAAAATAAAACATTAAACTAGAACTCCAGGCAGATGCAAGACATGCAAAGTATTGCAGCTTATTCAATAGTGCTTCATCAAATGTATTTAGTTTTAATGCAGGCAGTGTAAGTATCTGACTTGGGTTTAGCCTCTTCCAGTTCCTGTACAATAAAACATAGATTGGGAGTTATGGAAGCATCAAAACAAACTAATCAAGTGTGATGCAGGGCAAGGAGCATGCTGATAGGAGAACAGAGAAGTGCGATATGATTAGTGTGCTGTTTCTGCTTTCACTGATGGAACATCACTGGAGGAAACCTTCAGGTGAAAGAGAAACTGCAGCAGAGAAAGATAAGCCTCCTCTCCTGCCAGACAGGACTGTGCAGAGCTGTATAAATTTCGGGGCTGCATGCACAGAACTACAAATACTCTGACAGGTAAATCAGCAATAATGTAGGTGGTTGTTGCAGTCTTCCTTTTATAAATACTAGTTTGCATCCTGTCTTGCTAAATCTTACTTCACCACATTCTGATTTACCTATCCAGGACAAACATGAAACAAGTGAGGTCAGAGTGATATCTGGATCAGCAACCTACTGTCATTAGTGACTCAGAAAGTATCATGAGGTCATCTGGACAGCAGGCAACAATTCTCAGAGGAAGTTACTTCTCTCAGCATGGGTGGACAACTTTACCTGGCGAGTGGATGAAGCATTTTCCCTCCACCACATCCATACAAACTGTCTGGTTCTCCAATACTCCTGTAAATGTCCATCAGAAGGTCCTACATAAGATAAAAAATATACAAATATGGTAATTGGACCAACACATGTAACAAGAATTTGATTACATATAAGTCCAAGGTTTATTTTAAAAAGATGATACAGATTCAAAAACACAAAGGGGGAATTCAAGAAAACTGCTGCGGCACTTTTCTGGTGTTCTACTGCGCCAAATTCATGAAGCATATGCAACACTTTAGACTGACAGTGACAAGTGCACCAAATTCAGGGAGTTCTAAAATTAACCACTTTTACACTGTAGTGTAATATAAAAATAAAATAGCGGCAGTTCATATATCTTACTTAAGTGGAGCCAATTAAGAGCGGCTCTCTTTTGGCTTACAGAGAGAGACCCTGGCACAGACAGATTTTGTGATAATGTCTCACATGCATTCTAAAAGTAGAACCGCATGCTCAGAAATCAAGTACGTGTTCTAGACCGGTACATGATTTGCAGGTTTGAAAGTGACGTTATGTTTAGCGTTGAAAGTGGAAGTGATGTAATGATCTTTTGGCTCTACTGTGTGATGGGACACCTAGTTAACAGGTCGAAAGCCTCACTTTCATCATTCACTGCGTGTGCTGCTAGTGATACGGAGTCATTTTAGAGCTTACTGAGCTTCAGAGAGGGTAAATTGTAGATACTCGCTTAGCTGGTGCCTTTGTGACTGAAGTTGCCAATTTATTTGCTGTGTCGCAGGTACAGTGTCAAAGGTTATGACGACATATACAGTTTCTGGGAAAACGTCATCTGATAAGCATAAGCACGGTCAACATGGTCAGCTGACCAAAAGAGAAAAGGATATTATGCAGCATTGTGCCCCAGAATAAGAAAACAACTGCTGTAAAAGTGACTGCAGAGCTCAAGCTCAGTCTTCACGGGAAAGACAGAAGACTGAGATTGAGCTCTGCAATCACTTTTGCAGCAGTTGTTTTCTTATTCTGGGTCACAATGCTGCACAATATCCTTTTGTCTCTTTTGGTCAATCGACCATGTCGACCGCACTTAGGCTTATCAGATGAAATTTTCATGGAAACTGTATTTGCCATCATAACCTTTGATACTGTACCTCGCAACAAGGCAAATGAATTGGCAACTTCAGTCACAGAAGCACCAGCTAAGCGGGCACCAACAATTTGCACTCTCTGAAGCTCAGTAAGCTCTGACATGACTCCCTATCACTAGTAGCACATGCAGTGAATGATGAAAGTGAAGCTTCCAACCAGTTAGCTAGGTGTCATCACCCAGCAGAGAAGCAAAAAAATGGTTACATCACTTCTGCTTTCAAACAAGCATGTCGTCACTTTCCACTTTCAAACCTGCAAATTATAAAGTGTTCACACTTTTTTGTCTAACACCTGTGTATGTGTGTGTGTGTGTGTGTATATATATATATATACAGTTGCAAGAAAAAGTATGTGAACCCCTTGGGATTACGTGGAGTTTTGCATGAATTGGGCATAAAATGTGCTCTGAACGTCATCTAAGTCACAACAATAGAAGAACACAGTTTGCTGAACATAATACTACACAAACATTAGATGTTGCCATGGTTTAATTGCACATAACATGTAAACATTCACAGTGCAGGGAGGAAAAAAGTATGTGAACCTTTGGACTTAATAACTGGTTGACCCTCCTTTGGCAGCAATAACCTCAACCAAACGTTTCCTGTAGTTGCAGATCAGACCTGCACAACGATCTGGAGTCATTTTGGACCACTCCTCTTCACAAAACTGTTTCAGTGTAGCAATAATATTCTTGGGATGTCTGGTGTGAATCGCTCTCTTAAGGTCATGCCACAGCATTTCAATGGGGTTGAGGTCAGGACTCTGACTGGGCCACTCCAGAAGGCGTATTCTGTGCTGTTGCAGCCATTGTTTTGTTGAATTACTTGTATGCTTTGGGTCATTGTCCTGTTGCATCACCCATCCTCTGCCGAGCTTCAATTGGCGGACAGATGGTTGTACGTTTTCCTGCAAAATGTCTTGATAAACTCTGGAATTCATTTTCCCATCAATGACAACAATCCGTCCAGGCCCTGAGGCAGCAAAGCAGCCCCAAACCATGATGCTCCCTCCGCCATGTTTCACAGTGGGGATGAGGTTTTGATGTTGGTGTGCTGTGCCTTTTTTTCTCCACACATAGTGTTGTGTGTTCTTCCCAAACAACTCAATCTTGGTTTCATCTGTCCACAGTATATTTTGCCAGTAGTGCTGTGGAACATCCAGGTGCTCTTTTGCAAACTTCAAACGTGCTGCAATATTCTTTTTGGACAGCAATGGCTTCCTCCGTGGTGTCCTCCCATGTACTCCATTCTTGTTTAATGTTTTCCTTATTGTAGATGTGTCAACAAAAATGTTAGCATGTGCCAGAGATTTCTGTAGGTCTTTAGCTGACACTCTGGGATTCTTCTTTACCTCATGCAGCATTCTGCGCTGTGCTCTTGCAGTCATTTTTACAGGACGACCACGCCTAGGGAGAGTAGCAACAGTGCTAAACTTTCTCCATTTGTAGACAGTCTGTCTTACCGTGGACACATGAACATCAAGGCTTTTGGAGATACTTTTGTAACCCTTTCCAGCTTCATGCAAGTCACCAATTCTTGATCGTAGGTCTTCTGAGAGCTCTTTTCTGCGAGGCATGGTTCACATCAGACAGTGCTTCTTGAAACCAGTAAACCCAAAACAGGTGTGTGTTTTTTAAGGGCAGGACAGCTGTCAGCAACGCATCCAATATCATCACACTGATTGGAGTCAAGGTTGGCTCACTCCTGGCTCCAATTAGCTCTGGGAGAAGTCATTAAGCTAGGGCCTCACATACTTTTTCCTCCCTGCACTGTGAATGTTTACATGTTATGTGCAATTAAACCATGGCAACATCTAATGTTTTTGTAGTAGTATGTTCTTCTATGTTCAGCAGACTGTGTTAATCTTCTATTGTTGTGACTTAGATGACGTTCAGATAGCACATTTTATGCCCAATTCATGCAAAATCTTACACGTAAAAACAATCATCTACCTGCAAACTGATCCCAGTCTCCTCTTTGCTTTTCTCACTCATGCTGACAATAGTCAGAGTTTGACTCTCTTCTTCAAACCTCAGGGACTTGCGAGCATTGGAAGTGCCCCTAATAAGTTAAAACACACGATAAACTATCAGATTAGAAATTTTGGACAGTTACATTATTTATATAACATGAACACATTCATTTCAAAGCACTCACCTTCTTTGCTCCCCATCCAGCTTGATCTTGTCGGCATAGATTTCAGCATACAGCAAAGCTGTAAAGTGGGCAGAGCAGGACTGTACTGCAGTAGCCACCTCAAGGTAATTAAGATCCAACCAGAAATTGTCATCAAAAGCTGTTCCCTCTCCCTGTCTGCAGAAAGAAGAAAAACTGATACTGAAAATACATAATCAGACAAGCAGGTCTCCTAGTAACTCAGTGCAAAGAGCAACTCAAGAACAAATCTCAAAAGAGATTTAATTTTACTGGTAGCAGATTAGTAAGACATTAATTCTGACGGTTTACATTTTGTGCCATGCTCGGTCTTAAAGTAAAACTAAAAGCAAAACTTTTCTTTTCGTTTTGGATAAAGTGGAGAGGGATTAAAACACGTGTCAGGTTTCTATTACTATCTGTGGCCCTGTCAGGGAGATTCATCTTCTCTATTTGTCCTTTTTACCACTGTCACCAAAAGTGAAAGTAAAAGAAAATCCCAAATTTTAGGTTGTCCCCAGAACAGGAATCGTGGCAATATCTTTCAATGGGAGCACTAGTTCTGGTGACCCTGGTGACAACCAGAGATTTCCTCACTATAGAGGCATTTTCTCACACTTCCTGTTTTGGCTATGGGACAGAAATCGAAAGGAATTCTCCACAAGGGGACACGGATGTTTTTTATATATATATATATATATATATATATATATATATATATATATATATATATATATATATATATACACACACACACACACACACACAAAATAAATATCTCTCTCTCTATATATATTTTTTTTTTTCCCCTTAACGCCCCTTTTGTGCTCACAATCTTAAAGAATAAGGAAACCCAACATATTTTATTCCTGATATGTGCCTGCTGGAGCATGTACTTGCATTAAAAACGATTCTGCTCTCTTAGTATTGCTTCCTATGTGTGAAATCCCTGGTGTTCCTGCCAGTCCCTGTGTTTTCCTATCAAACACTGACCACACCAGAACAGCATGGTGAGATCTCTAGCTGTGCTGAGAACTCAGTGTGCTTTCCTAAAAATAAACAAACGCATGCTGACACAACCACCTCCTCCCCCTCCACCAACAGCCATTAACTGGGAAGCTCAGTGTGCTGCTGTTTCTCCACCTTCACAGCTCTATACACTTTAGAACAGAGGGAATGTGGTCACTTTCACAAAAAAGGGGTACAAAGGCCAAAACAGACATAGCATCATTTGTCAAACAGAGAAGCAAATGAGAGTCCGCAATGCAGGTAGAGTATATTCCCAACAAAGGAGTAGAAGAAGGAATAGTAATACATAATTGCAAGCTTACTTGTATAATTACATAGTTATAGCATTGCATATAGCGAGGAAACTGACAAATAAATTGCAAGCTCTCCAATGAAGGGGAGCACATCCCAATATGCACAAAGTACCAAATGCCCACTTTACCTTTCGGTTCTATAAAGAGATTCTTGTTGAGTTGTTTTACATATACATTAATCTACATCACTTTTTTAACAGCTACCAGCTGACACTTTGCATAGCTGTTTTTTCTAAAACCGCACCAATAACTAGAGACCAATTAGAATGGTTCCCAATCATGTGATCACTATATTCGCTATGAGACTGAGACATCACTTGTTGAAGATGGTGGCAGAAAAATGTATCTCATACTCTTTGATTTTCTATTCTTTCTGACCTGTTTCTTTCTTTCTTTTCTTTTTACTCCTTATTGCTAGACAATCACAAATGTAAAATCAAAGGCCTAACTTTTCAGCATAAGATTTTGGATTTTCTAAATACTTGCAAGGGAAAACAGCTAAAGCACTGAGGTGCCAGGTATCATGCAGTTGGTTGACTGCAAATCAAAGCCTTAGCCTTTGTGTTTTCAGTCTGCTTCACTGTTGCAAATGATAGTTAGTACTTTGCCTACAATACACTGATTTGCAAAATAACCATTTTGTTACATATGCTTCATCATAGGTTTTAATACTCTCTGAAAAATGTTTAGCACGAATACAGAAATACTATACCGTCTCTGTTTTCTCAAATATTCTACGACACTAAGCATTGTCCTTCGGGAGGTGATGTCCACTGTCCCATGAGCCAGACCTTCAGATTCTGAACAGGAAAATACTGTTAAAGTTTTGTTCTTGTCTCTATTATTTGTAATAAACTTTACGAGGACATCTCAAATGTCTTTGATGAAAAAGAAAAAAGTGCATAAAATATTACATTTAAAGTGTGTGTAAACCCATGTTAAAAAGTCCAGCCACAAGAGAAGTAAATTCATTAATTTAATCAATCTGTAGATCTCACTATAAAATATTGTGAAATACCTTCTCTAAGCTGCTCTACATAGTGGTCATGTCATTTCCACAGTTTGCTCTGCATAGCATTGTGTAACCACTAGGTGGCATGGCATTATTGACAAAATGTTCATTAAATGTACAATTAAAATGTAACTCCACATTTGTTGAGTAAACTCTTCTAGGTAACTCAAAGTATGTTGTAAGGATTTTTAAAAACTTTAATTCTGTTTCTGCTCTGAAGGAATAGCTTTTTCTCTTAGATCATGTCTTGTGCAGGACTGATTCTGAATGGTGGTGACTAATTTAATGCAAACAGATGATGCAGTTTTAGTGCTCATGTGAGAAAAGCTGCAGTTTCCTTAGACGTGATTAACCTTAAGGCTAGGTTTACACCTACGCAGGTTGCGTTTGACCCATTTTTGAATTGCGTTTTTGCACCTGCGTTTTTCATACTTTTTTTTTTCTTTTATTTTTCTTGTTGCTAGGGAGATTTAAAATGCAAAATGCACCAAAAAATGCAATACATGCCTTTCTGCAGCATTTCCATTGAAGTCTATAGGACCAAAAAATTCAACTTTTTGAGGTAAAAAAAGTCCCTGACCCTTTCCAAAAAAAGCACTGGGTGAAAATGTGGAGATGTGAACTTGTCCCATAGGAAATCATGTTAAATGGACTGTACTGCGTTTCTGCAAAACAAAACCGCTGCAGAAAAACACATAGATCTGAAACTAGGGTTAGAGTATGGCATTTTTGCTGCAGAAGATGCCTAAAAGCCGACTTGTATCTTAGTGCAGAGTTCTTCACATAAACAGGAAATAACATTTTTGGGGAAGTTCTGTACACCAACAGCATTCACAAGCTAATGTTTCCAGCACCACACACATTGGTTTTGGTATAAACCAGTTAGGCTACCAGTACTTTTAAGACTGTAGGAAGAACCCAGGTTGCCAGGAGGTGCATCCAAAAGTTCTTCATTACACATTTTGCTAATTTTTTAAGAAGTTTTACTTAATTCGAAAGGGCATTACCGGAATCTGAACTTGCTGGAGTCGCTGATCTGCTAGAAGCTGGTGCAGAGCGACAGCAAGACGTGAAAAATCCCTGGATGTGCTTGGAAAGAAGTGTGCGCCATACATTTCTGGAATCTTGCAGGAGAATATTATGTATAAGATAAGGCAACACAGCTTGACAAAAGTCTGGTTTCACCTGCAAACACACAAATCACACAAATTAAAAACAAGCCTGAAACACTTGAAAAATACAGAAATCAACAGCATAATGCAAATTCCAGCTAAAAGATGTTTTTTGTATTTCAATCTATTTATGACATTTTTGTACACGGTCATTCCTGTTTCTTGGGGTACTCTTAGGCCTGGTTCACAGATACGATTTCAGAAGCGACTTGGGTTGCACTGAATTGCATAACAATGGAAATAACATTTCTTCCAATGATATCATTCAGATCAATGGCGCGCATCTGCAATGCAACTTTGGGGAAGGGTCCTGTACTACTTTGGTTTCGATGCAGTGCAATTTTGTGGTCCATAGACTTCAATGGAATTACAACAAAATCATGTGTACATGTCTTTTTGTGTGCAATTTTTGCTGGTTATTAGGAGCCAGCACCCACTGGCATCCTAACAACCAGTTACTCATCCCTGATGCAATCCTTACAATACCAAGTCATCCCTGTTGTATGCGGGAGATTCCCCACAGACAGCACAATGTTAACTAAAGAGTGTGGTTCTTCCCCCACAACCCTGGGGTTGACATTTTTTGGTGAAGTATCCCATACCTTCCCCCTTTCCTATCCAGCATGCTCAGATAACGGTCTGGTATAGATTTTGGGGGCATTTTTTTAAACTGGGTCTGTTATGGATTGGGGATATGGGGGGTTGGGGGGACACTTTTTTTTTTGTTTATTTTTTAATGCCTGCTGTTTTGTTAATATTCTGCTGTCGGTGGGGAATCCTTAACAGCTGATGACTCATCCATGCATGAGTTGATTAGTAAGAACGCATTAAAAAAACATCAAAAACGCACCAAGTCACACTGCAGCTGCACTACAAAATCATGGTGTAAATTTGATAAAGAAATCACACATCAGCCTCGCCTCGCATTATGGGCTCCGGGTAATGAGTTATAACAGACATTCTTCAACTCTAAAGATGGCCATACATGGATAGAAAATCAGCCAGTTCACCCAAGACTGACCAAAATTCATTCAGTGTATGTCAGTCCCATTCAGAGACATGTTGGAAAAATTTTCCTTGATCAGCAGATGCATCCACTGTGCAGCTGTCAGAACACAATGTCCCAGCAGGGAAGGTAGGGGGAGAGATTTCTCTATCCAACTTGTTTGTGTGGATGGAAGAACCTGGCTTTTATTTTTGCAGCAGCAGTGTATTACCAGCTTTACTCAAAATCTCAGTGCTTCAGGATTTCAGTATCAAATTTATCAAACAAAGCAATAAAAGATGCTTTTAACAAAGATCTGCTTCCATACCAAGACTGAGGTCCCCTATGGGTAGTAACGCAGGCCTCATTTAGGTTGGGGGGCTGAAATAGCCTTCTGTCATTCTTTATAAAGCAGCGATGGTTGTCCTTGTTATACATAAAACAAGGAAAACCATTTTCGCAAAAATTTAAGTCTAACCCATTCCTACTCTATTCAAGATAAACTAAAAAGTGTCTAAAAACTTATATGCATGTCACGGCAGACTGGTCAGATTCCAAATGTCCAGTCACCATCTGATGTCTTCGGTTAATTTGATACTTTTGAGGCTTTTTCTGGGGGGCCCCCCTTCCAGATTCCGATAAGCCCCCCCACAACCAACGGCAAGGGTTGTGGAAAGAGGCACCTGTCCTCATCAGCACGGGGAGAAGGTGCTTTGGGTGGGGACCCACCTGCCCCAAAGCACACTCCATGCTGAGGGCATGTGGCCTGGTATGGTCTGGGAAAAGGAGGGGGGGGGGTTGTGCACTCTCCCTCCCCCCCCCCCGCCCCTCCTTCCTGGCCAGCCAGGCTGCATGCTTGTTAAGGGTCTGGTACGGATTATGAGGGGAACCTCCCGCCGTTTTTTTTTAAATTTTTTTTTTCATTGCCGGCAATGTTTTTTTTTTACATTCAGCTGACAGCCGATGACTCAACCATTGTTAAGGACACAGGGGCTGGCTTCTTGGCCCTCTCCTTAACAATGGCCCCGCTTCTAAAGGCTGAAGCTACTAAATGTAACTTATACACTAGTCTAAACAGTGCTAAACATTAGCGTTTTTTATCCACTGTTTCCAAAGCAGTTTTTAGCTTTTCTAGTGTGCATGAGACCTTATAATATGCCATGATTTATTGGCAGCGTTTTACAAAAGAGCCTGTGCATGGACACATAGGATAACATGCTGAGGGGTTTACTGGCTGCAGAAAAAACGTCAAAAGCCAGAAACAGCCGCTGTAAAAACGTGCAGTGTGCATGAGGATTAAGTGATGCCTGTGCTAATGGAACTAAAAGAAAGATTAAAAAAAAAACAAAAAAAAAAAACAAAACTATGACCTAGCAGTAGCAAAGATCAGACACTAGGAGAGTTGTTCAGCCATCTCTAAGTCAATCAAAGCTAGTTTGTCAAGACAAAAAAAAAAAAAAAATAACTTTGCAGTGTTTTTATAAAAGTATAATAGGCAAAGTAAAATAGGCATGCCCCAGCCAATCCATTGATCAAAAAAATAACACCTCTATATGCAAACTCAGAAAAACAGCAAACCAGCTTTACAATCTTTGTATTTATTAATTTGCCTATCCGTAAAAAATCTTGCAGCTGCAGCTTTCAGTTCCACTGCTCAGACACTCACCTCACACAGTGGCTTCAGTAATAAAAGGGTTTCACTTCTCACTCCACCAGACTCTAACAGGACACAAGTTAAGTTCTTTATCCAGTCGTCATGGCTGGTATTTTGTGGGATCCATAAACTATGGTCATCCAATGCATCCATTGTAGAGTCTCCAACATAGGTATTCTCCACATCTAGGAACTGAAAAAAAATTACACAGCAGGTAACAAAACCAGTAATAACAACAAAACAACAGTAGAATGTTACGATTTTTTGATAATCAACATAGACCATTGATAGATACACTGTATCTGTCTTTGTACACAAAAGACAAATAACTGGAGATGATGCTTACTTCTACATATTATAGGTACTATGTAGATGCTTTATTAGATTGATAATGGGGAAACAGAATTGCATTCTAGAATGATTTCAGGGCCCAAGGCTCTCAGTCCACTGGCTAGTAGAAGCTACTATGACAGGGCTCCTGAAAGTCCCTATCTGATTCTTTCAGGTTAATGTTAGGAGACCTCTCTAAGTTACTACATGAAGAACTGTGTTAAAAAAAAGGATTATTTTATTCAAGGCAAAAGCTGTGATCAGCTGTGTTCGTAGGATACATCGATCACCGTCTGAGCGCCGCTGGGGCCGGACAGGGGGGCGTGTTTTGGAATGACATCCATGGACGTCATCCCAGGATTACACAACCACGCTGTAGCCGTCCTTCGGCTATAGCACGGTTGGGAACCGGTTAAATCAACCCCCCCCACCCCACTCAATTTTCTTTTTTTTTTGTCTCTTCCTGTTTTCTTCATTTTTCTTTTCCTTCCATCCTTGGCTTATGCTACCATTAATCTTGAGTATAGCAGCCCTATGGTGGGCCCACTCTAGTTTTTCCGATTGTTAGTGGGAGCTGAATCTGTCAGTGACACCCAGCCTGGTTGATAGAAAGCAGATGCACAAAGTGTCATCCAGTAGTTTTCAAGGAAGAATATTTATTAACGTATTTATGCATATTTAGAGGGGTTAAAGATTAAGTACACCTTTTAGTCAAAAATAATAAATGCACTTTTTTTGCAATTAAAAATATGTGCATTTATTATTTTTGTCTGCAGGAGCCTGGAAAGCATTGCATCAGCAATCACTGGTGCCATGCGGGTCTCCTGCAGACCTGTCAGAATATCTGTCAGAATATCTGCTTGCCAAGGGATGTACGAGCAAGCAGATATTCTGACAGGAAGCTTCAATGAACTACCATGGGGCTCCTCAGCGCCGTAGTAGTTCATTAAAAACTACAAGCCCACAGCCGCTAAGGTTGCCGGGATTTGCAGTTCATTCATTCATGTGTCCGTAAAGGAATGACGCGGCTGTGTGGGCGGAGCTCTGCACTGGCCATGCTGTTTTCAAAATAGACAGATAGTACAAGGAGACTTCTCCCTGTACTAACTGTCAGGGAGGGAAGGGGGGGGGGTGGCTTTTGTGGCTATGGCAACATGTTACATGTTCCACCCTAAAAATGGGTGGAGTATGTAGCATGTTCCCAAAGGTGAACTTATTCTTTACAGCAATATTAAACCCAAAAGCAAATATTTAATATATTGCAGCTTACCAAATTTTAGGTAAGATTGCTGCCTTAGTTTTCTTTTTTAGGCTTATTCTTCTATTTTCACCTGGAGATCTAGCCAGCGAGTCTGTTATTTTTCATCAGAACAAGCTGTCCTAAAGATGTAGCAGTTAGATGGTTGAGACAAACCATTTACCACTGAAAGGGGTGCTTACAATGATCAGCATTTATGTAAAACCTTTATCCCAAAAAGGAAAAAACTATCACTGTAACTGCTTATAAAGTGTTAGCTGGAGTTTCACTTCAATCTAACACTCCCCTCCCCCGTAGACTGGCATTGTTGCTGTACAAAGGTGTCCCCCTGTGCTCTTTCATCCAGAGTGGGGGAACTTTAATACAGGTGGTGTGTTACTGGCCTGATCACCAAGTGATCCCCAGAAGGATAAAAGCTTAAAAAAAAAAACTAATGCAGCCACCACCATCTAATGACTGGTAAACTGCAATATATTATATTTTTGGCTTTGGGTTTAATACCACTATAATGGCTATGACTTTTCATAAAAAAAAAAAAAAAAAAAAAAAAATCACAATAACATTACAAAGTGACCAAATCAAAAGGAGAATTCATATTAAGACACAAAAAAAATTACCTTTTTCTTTGGGGAGCGAAATGGTTGCAGATAAACCAGCATAAGGTCTTCACTCTCTTTGTACATATCCCAAAATTGATTGCCAGTTTTTGTGGCCAGGATATTTTTTAAACATATAGCAGCTGCTGATCGCACATGGATGCTAAAAGGAAAAACAAACACTTAACTAGAGAGGGGATCTCGGCAGCAGTCAATTTCCAAATGTGATATTCTGGCCAGGTAAAAGGGTATTAGGACAAGATCAAGTCTACCTTCCCTGCATGATAAATGGTGAAAAGCTGAAGAGCTCAGTGTCTAGATACCTCAGATGCATACTTAAAAATCTCTGCAGTTTACTCCAAGGACTTTTACAGCACAATAGTGTAAAAAAATGTCTTCATCTGGTCAAATGGTTTACTGGTGACCCACTGCATGGTTGATCACAGCAAAAGAGGTGCTCATTACCAGGGCAAGAAAATTAAGGTAAAAGTGAGAAAACTGTAGGCCAGGTAGTGCCCAGTCAATTGTTGGTTTTAAGGCTTCTAACATGTGGCTGTCATTTCATCAGGTTAGTGAATACTATAGTAGTGCATTTAGCTGAAATCACCTTTGAGATGTCCTAGGATATTGTAAAACTGATGGCCGTGGTTCCAGGAAAACATATTGCTAACACTTGAGACCCTGGCATAGAGGTTATATAATCCTGCCAGTAACCCAAGCAAGTCTCTTTAAAGTAGAACTATAAGAATAACTTTTTTTTCTACCATTTTGGAAAGAGCAAGGGAAGGCTATAACCCCCTGTCAGATCTTGTTTCCACCCTCTGTGTCCCATTGTGGAGATTTGCCTTCATTTCCTATTCCATAGCCAAACAAGAAGTGAGACAAAATCCCTTCAAATTAACAGAATTCCTTGGGGACCCCAAAATCATCAGAACTAGAGTTCCCATTGGAAGCTTTTTCCCCTTACCTTTCTAGGGAAAACCCAAAATTTTGAATTTTCTTTTACTTTCACTTCCAATGATAATGGTAAACAGGACAAACAGAGAGGGTGAATCTCCTTTATGGGGGCACAGACAGCAATAAACTGACAGGTGTTCTAATACCCCTGCATTATATCCAAAACTTAAAAAAAAAAAAAAAAGTTTTGTCTTTAGATATACTTTAACCACCTGACCGTCGGAAGATTTACCCTCTTCATGACCAGGCCATTCTTTTTGCGATACAGCGCTGTATTACTTTAACTGACAATTGCGTGCTCATGTAATGTTGTATTAAAATGAAATTTAAATAATTATTCCCCCCACAAATAGAGCTTTCTTTCAGTGGTAATCACCTCTACAGGTTTTTATTTTTTTGCTATGAATGAAAAAACACCAACATTTAAAAAAAAAAAGAAAAACTTTTTTTTTTACTTTTTTGCTATAAAGCAACATATCCAATTAAAAAATGTAAAAGTCAAACTTCTTCATAAATTTAGGCCAAAATGTATTCTGCTACATATTTTTAGTAAAAAAAAAATCCCAATAAGCGTATATTGATTGGTTTGCGCAAAAACTTATAGCATCTACAAATGGCGATATACATAATGGAATTTTTTTTTAATAATAGTAATGGCAGTGATCAGAGGCTTATAGAGGGAATGCAATATTGTTGCGGACAGTCTGTCATTAACTGACACTTTGTCGGAACCAGCGACAATAACACAGTGATCAGTGCTAGAAACATACAATGACACTGGCTGGATAGGGCTTAAACAACTAGGGCGATCAAAGGGTTAATTGTGTGCCTAGCCAGTGTTTTTGTGAGCACTGTTTACGGTTTGTACTAAGCAATCTGCTAAATTTTATTCCATGAATAAAACCTAGCTGATCGCGGTTGACATAACACAGCTCTTGTTTACATAGGCAGAGCTGTGTTATGTCATTCATTGGCTGCCATCTGTTGATTGGCTTCTGCTGTGTCCAATTACAGAAGAAGCAGCGTACCGGCAGCAGGTGTGCGTCCCCCAGTGGCAGAAGTGCAAAATCATGTTTATATATGTTGCACAGAACTTCTGCCCTGTAGGAGCAAATCTGCTATAAGGCGGAAGGCAAGTGGTTAATATAGCAAAAACCAAAATCTGCCACAGATCCCAGCGTACTTGTAACAGAGACCAGTGCTTTAGTTAACCCATTTATGCCCAAACTCTGGGGTGTTGTGAACAAGCAACGCGCCAACATTTCTGGGGTAATGTTGGAGCTTGTCTGCTTCCTCCTACCCCTATAAAAATTCTAATGGCTCACAATGATGTTGGGCTGCCTCACTGGACAATAACAATCTGTGGGATGCAGGAAGGGGTTAGGTAACCCCCATAATTTAAAGCACTTCATACCTGCAGGAAACATTTTTTCCCCCCAGTAATAATCCCATTTAAAGGAAAAAAGAGAGAAGAGGAGATTTACATGATATTTTCATGCTCAATGCACACGGCTTAAAAAATGCTGCTCCTAAATTAGTTTAGTGTGTTATCTGTAGAAGTAACTGGTATCCTATGTGTCCATGCACATTAAATAGTCTAAGCGTGTTTTTTTAAGCTCAGTGTTTAGAGGCAGAAAAAAAAACCTCTGTTTTGCATTTTTGAAAGCATTTTTTCTAGCAGAAAAAAAAATAAAAGCAAAACACTGCTAAACTCTAGTACAAAAAAACGCTGAAAATTAGCAATTTTTTTTTTCTATCAAGATCACTGGCGTTTTGTTTAAGCCAGTGTGCATGGAGCCTCAGACACGAGTGAGACAAAGACCGTACATTTTTCCTGTAACCTTCTATTAGACTTCAGAGCACACAGGGCTCTTGGTTACATAGTGTAAGTTTCTCAGCTCAGAGAATATTCATGACATAGCCTATAAGAAGCAACAGTGAAAAGCTACGCACCAGTGGTCTGTCAGGGCGCTGTTTATCAATTTCAGGATGAAAAGCACACATTGCAGCTCTTTGTCTTCGAACACATCAACAGTTTTGCTATAAAGCAGCTCTTTCTGGGGCTGCAGGGCTATGGTGCAAAAGTCAACAGGTCCCAGCTCCCCTAGACAGCTACCTGCAGCTTCTGAAAATAAAAACGTGCTAGGAAATGGTTATATTGTCATGTGTAATAGGGTTTTAATGAGACCTACTACAAAACAGCAGAAAAGCAACCCAATGTCCCTATGTAGCCAAAAAACAAATAATCGACAGACAGGAATAATTAGCACAAATTATGTTTTGAAATACTGAACCAAATTAAACATATGGAATTCAGGATGCAGATTTTCTACACGGAATCCAGATTCTAAAAAATGAAATGTTCACAGATTTAAACAGAAAATCTTAAAAAAGACTTAAAGAAAGTGTTCCTTCCCATGCCTTTGTGCAGGTGCAGCCATCTTGGTAGATGGGATTTTCTTACACATGTCAAACTTGCCTCCCAGATAACTGGTGATGGATACATTGGAATGCAGCAAAAACAGCGTAAGAACACAGATTGTGAAAATTATCTGGGGAGAAGAAGCGAGAACTTTACACTGCAGGTCCACAGGTACAGAAGTTTCCCCAGAAATCAGCAAATCTAGTGTGACTAGCAGTTAAAAGGCACAGTACCTCACACTGCAGATATACAGCTATGAAGCTCAAGGCACAGTAGTGCCTGGGCACAGGAAGTGCAGTGTTATTCATTCAGAAGGAAATTTAAGGCGCAAAAGGAAACATTTTCAGGGTTCTACACAGGCACAATTAATATTTGTAGATACTAGAAGAAAGCAAATCTTTACTTTTTGAGTTCAGCACCACTTCAAGGACAGCTTTACCTTTAGTAAAGTTGCTCCTTTGCTACAGTCTACTGTGAGTGCAAGCAAACTTATTTTATACTTACCTCAAGCAATTTTACTTACAAAATGGAGCCAACCTGCTCCTCTAATCAGCACATATGTACTACAGTCTTATTAAAGTGACAATAAAGGCTCTGTTTTTATTAAAATAAAAAAAAAGGTTATATTTACCTGCCCTGTGCAACAATGCTGCAGAGAGCGTTCCTTTACCTCCTCTTTGGAGGTCCCCCATGGGCGAAGTCCACTCCTCCTTCTGAGTGTCCCTCAGCAAGCTGGGTGTTAAGGTGGAGGTGCAAACACCTCATTGGTCCCTATGGGCAATGTTTTTCTGCATAATTCTCACATAAGGGCTAACATGATCAATTTCCTAAATAAATATAAAAAATCTTACAAATAAAACATTTTTCACAGACTTCATTATATGCCACTTACCCAAAACATCTTTACCATTGGCCAGGTGTACGGCATTCTTTGACAGCTGTAAAAGACTGAGAACCAGATTTGCAATGACACTGTCCTGAGGATTTCCTGTGTAACAGAGGTAATAAATACATTAGTGGAATATGTGCACAGACATTATATCATCTACAGTATTGGGGTGCATTGATAGACAATAGTGATTTAACCAACATCAACCGATCTCCAGCAACGTCCACTCAACTTCTACTAAAGCAATGTTCTCATGCTGGCTGATCCAGGAAGATGCTAATCCCTTGCAAGCCAGCAAAGAACCAACGTCCATTATGTAAAGTGAGGTTAAGCCTGGTACACAGTATAAGTTTTTTCATTCAACCCAGCAGGCTGAACGAAAAAGAACTGACAGAGCACGGTCACTGCCTCCCCGCCAGAACACAAAGATCAAAGCTTGCAGCCATTGGCTGCAAGAGATCATCGGATGCCGTTTGGCTGCTGGTTTTCAAGCATGCTCGTTCAACAGAAGCCATTTGTGAGATCAGCTTCTGTCAACTGGGCAGCTGTACACATGGGCTGAAAGTTGTCCAGTTTCTACTTTAATGGTTTTGGCTGATATTTGGCCCGTGGGTACCCAGTATTAGGAAGCCTTCACACCTGTTCAATTTCACACTTCTCAATACATTCAGAAGGCATGATGATTCCTCTGAATGAAATCATACTAATGTTTACACATTTTATGGTAGTGAAAGCATGCACTATATAGGATTAGTATGTAAATTATATTAAATGAAAAAAACAAACAAACAACATTACCACAAGGGTACACAATGGACATAGGAACAATTAAATATATATTACTTACAAAGGTCTCTAATCTTCCAAAATAGAAAATACATGATCGTTTGAAATTCACAACATGTGTTCATTCCTTAGGCATGATTTGTAATCATTAAACTCAAATGTCTGGGCTTGTTGGGAGAGATCAAACACATAAAGCTGACACTGTACCTTGGAAATCATGGACAAGGCCTTTTATTTTATCTTTGTGCTGTTCCAGTTGTTTCCTTAAGTCATTCAATCCTTCCAGTCTGGTCAAAGGGAGTGAATCACAGACACTTACAGACAGAAAATGGTTGATTTCCTGAATTGTTTATAGAAGGAAGAAAAAAAAAAGTAGGGCATTTAATAACAAGTCAGGGGGTTTATTTCAGAATCAGATGAATATAAAGAAGAGCATACTTGTCCTTTAATACAGGATTCCATAATCACTGTACAACAGGGAGCTAATACCTGTAGAAGTGTGAATGGTCCTTGGCTGTACTTGAATTTTTGGTGGGCCTGACGCAGGTCCTTAAATAAAGGATGATCAGGAAAGGGGTCTAGGAGTTTAATAGTGTGGTTGAGGTTTTCATTATTTTGGCTTTCGATTACTAAAAAGGTTAGCAAGTCACACACCTGTAAGATAAATTAAAAAAGTTATCATGATTCCGCATTGACATATTACAAAGGTAACCCTACTTTATGTTTAAATCCCAAATGATCCCCCAGTGTTGATTTCAGTAAAGCAGCCAGGCTTTATACGGGGTATGTCGTGGTGGTAATGTATTCTAATGGTGGGGCTAGGTGAAATATAAATTATTCATAATTGGGCGGTACTTGAACTATAAATAGAATTTAGATACATTGCCTCAAGGTGATCACGAGTATTAGTTGAGCTCAGACAATATACCAACCACAATATAACTCTCCTGCGTTCTTTGGAGCTAATGTGATATTATACCAAATATATAAATATCTGCAAGTTGGTAGAGAATATTTATATACAGTGTATATATAAAGTCTACACACCCCTGTGAAATGTCAGGTTTCTGTGATGTAAAAAAATGAGACAAAAATGAATCATTTCAGAACTTTTTCCACCTTTAATGTGACCTATAAACTGTACAACTCAGTTGAACAAACAGAAATCTTTTAGGTGGAGGGAAGTAAAAATAAAAAACTAAAATAATATGGTTGCATAAATGTGCATACCCTTAAAACTAATACTTTGTTGAAGCACCTTTTGATTTTATTACAGCACTCAGTCTTTTTGGGTATGAATCTATCAGCATGGCACATCTTGACTTGGCAATATGGCAGCTCAGATGGGCACTGATATGTGGCACTGATGTGCATTGGTATGCACCGATATATGGCATTGATGTGGCACTGATAGGCACTGAAAGCTGGCACTGATGGACTTTGACAGGTGGCACTGCTGGGGCTACACTGATCATCAGGGCACACTGATGATCAGTGCCCTGATGATCAGTGTACATGTCCCCTCCGCGGAAAACCGATTACTGGCTCTCCTCTCCTCTCGAGCGGTCAGCGTGACAGCTCGAGAGGAGGGAAATGCCATTAACTGGCATTTCCATGTTTACATGTGATCAGCTGTGATTGGACACAGCTGATCACATGACAGAGCCGACATCTTTGGCCCTTTCCGTTATCGGTGATCCGCTGTGTCCGAGGGACAGAGCGCACTGCCGACTCCGTGCGTTCCCTGAGCCGCGCATGCACGGTGAGAATGGGAGGACGTCATATGATGTCCTCTCAGAACGAGAGAACCACCTTGCGCCCGTCATTGGACTATATGGCGGGCGGGAAGTGGTTAAATGATGGAAGGTGTGTACTGACTCCTATTTAACAGGATTTTGAATGTGATTGCTTAATTCTGAACACAACTACATCCCCAGTTATAAGAGGGTGTGCACACTTATGCAACCACATTGTTTTAGTATTTTATGTTTACGTCCCCCTAAAAGATCTCAGTTTGTTTTTAAATTGAGTTGTACAGTTTATAGGTCACATTAAAGGTTGAAAAAGTTCTGAAATTATTTCTGTCTCATTTTTTTATATCACAGCAACCTGACATTTTAACAGGGGTGTGTAGACTTTTTATATATTCATTCACTGCTTTCTTCATTCTAAAATAACCATTATTTTGCATCTGGCTGACAAACAGTTGTCGGGTCTTCCAGCAAGCAGTATTTGCTAAAATGGAATCTGTTGGTTTCTCAACAATGTTTTGTTTCCTGCTCTGTTTAACAATTGTAAAACTTGAGTTAAATGTTGTGACTTGGTAAACATGAGTGTTTGTGTAAAATTGAGTTTCCAAGGTCTCACCATTGCAAATCTGGTTATCCATTATTTGTTTGGTATGTATTAGGACCTTCTGGTAATGAGTTATTGTTCAGCCAAATTTTCCTGTCTCTTTGGAAGAAGGCATCTTGTCACACCAGTGCAGTTCGCTTTTGATCCATTGTTGTAATGCTTTTTGTATTTCCCTTTGCGTTTTTACTCATGCCTTTTTGCCACGTCTTGCATATTTTGCAGCATTTTTTTTTAAAAAGAGGAAATGTTTTTGTTGCTAGGCAGAATAAAAACAGAAATTGCGGCAAAAACACACAACATGAGCTTCAGCAGCGTCTCCATTGAACTCTATTGTAGGAAAAGCACTGCTTTTGGTGTTTAAAAAAAGTCATGACCCTTTCCCAAAAAAAAAAGCTTATTAAAAAAGGATTTATGTGAATGTGTCCCATAGGAAACCATGTTAATTGGACTATAGTGCGTTTCTACAAAAAGCACTAAAAAACACATTGGTGTGAACTAGGCCTTAAGGATTTGATTCCGTTATTTTTGAATTCATAATTCATCAATTTTCTAATTTTACATAGAAATAACCTGACAGATATTTTAACCCTTGCTGCAGCACTTATCAACTGAAACTACTAATTGAACTACAATTGAAAACTCCAACTGAAACAACAAAAAGAGCAGCATATTACTGTATAATCTGCCTGCCTGCACTTAAGGAATAAATAAAGAGGGCTAAACTAAATGCATACATTTTTGTTAAAACGTGCTGTATTTGCATCTCCAAATTAAGGTCAAACATTTACCTGCTCTTGTATTTTCGCACAGCTGTTTGCCAAAGGGATGAGACTGCCCACAATGACGTGCAGGTGACTATCTAGGGCATCCTTGCAGTTGGTGACGGCTGCTCGGCAAACCCGATGCAAAAGATCAAGACAGAGCATGAAACTGCGAGTTGATACATCATCCCTGGGAGCAGTGGATCTGGAAGAGACCAGAGTTTTTTAGGGAAATTATTTATCTATTAATGGGCCTAACAGGTTAAGTGTCCATTCATATATCACCAAAAACATCAGTGATGGAAGTCCCCATATTTATAACCTGACACATTACTTTTAAATTCAAAAACAGATGAAGAGACTCCACTTTGAATTAAATGATATTTCATTTAAACAATTTTTGTATACAGATAACTGGCTTACAGATTAATTCATTTTGCAAATGAAAAGAAGCATGAGAGAATTGATTTTTGGAAAATAAATGGATGTTTCACATTATTTTAAAATAATTTTTCTCAATCCATTAAGCCAATTTGTTTCTATGAAGTAGTCTTAACTCACTTTCTGGTCTAGGGAGACAATTCTGTTCCTCCATAGATACAGGGTAATAAGTGTGTTACCCTAGGACAAATTATGGCTTCTATAGTCTAGGATTTGGGACCAAATGAGAACCATATAACCATAAATGTTATGGCAAGAAGGGTCTAAAGCAATCAAAAAACCCCTCATGCTAACAAGTGCATAACACAGTAAAGCCTTCTTAAAACAGAAGGTACTCATTCTGTCACATGCCCCAAGACCAACAACATGGAAGCCATGGTTTCCATACACTGCACTGATGATGGCCAAATAGCTTGAAATAGCTGTATGCAGTTTTGAATTAATGGCTTCCTATTAGACTATATATGCACTATACGCCACAGGCTCTGGATGTGCCTCTGGCCAATGGGGTGTTAAGCAATGATCTGCATGGCTCCATACATTGTCCTGAAATGACAAACATGTAAACACCCTCTATTTTAAGAAGGCTTTACAGTGCTATAAACAGTGGTGTGAGAGAAATTTCTTGTACATAGATGTTTTAGAACTATAAAAAGTGTTTTAATACTTTTTCATATGACAGTTCACATTTTTCTTGAACTCATTTACATGTAAAATATAAATAATGATTTGAAATGATGTAAACACAAGTAAAACAGAATAAATATATATATATATATATATATATATATATATATATATATATACACACACAGTTGTGTTCAAAATAATAGCAGTCAGACATCACTAACCTGATCAATCACTGTTTTTGGTAGAAATGATATTTCTACATGGCAAATAATTTACTAGCAGGTGTAGCAGAGTAATAGAAATCCAACAGACCCAACAGCCATGACATGCATGCTGCTGATTCTGTGTAATTGAATCACTAATTGAAAGGGGCATGTTCAAAATAAGAGCAGTGTGGAGTTCTATTAGTGAGGTCATTCATTCTTTGAAAAACAGGTGGCAATTATTGCCCTTATTTGAGCAAGGAAGGCAGCAAATGTTGTACATGCTGGTTACAGTGCATTTCTCTCTGAAATTCTGAGGAAAATGGGTCGTTCCAGACATTGTTCAGAAGAACAGCGTACCTTGATTAAAAAGTTGATTGGAGAGGGGGAAAACATATAAAGAAGTGCAGAAAATGATAGGCTGCTCAGCTAAAATGATCGCAAATGCTTTCAAATGGCAACCAAAACCTGAAAGATGTGGAAGAAAGCCAAAAACTACCATTCAAACGAAAAGAAGAATAGCCAAAATGGCAAGGACTCAGCCAGCAATCAGCTCCAGGAAGATCAAAGAAGGTGTAAAGTTCCCTGTGAGTACTGTTACAATTAGAAGACGCCTATGTGAAGCCAAGCTATCTGCAAGAAGCCCCCGCAAAGTCCCACTGTTGAAAAAAAGACGTGCTGAAGAGGTTATAATTTACCAAAGAGCACATTGACTGGCCTAAAGAGAAATGGCGCAACATTTTGTGGACTGATGAAAGTAAGATTGTTCTTTTTGGGTCTAGTGGCCGGAGACAGTTTGTCAGACGACCCCCAAACACTGAATTCAAGCCACAGTACACTGTGAAGACAGTGAAGCATGGTTGCGCAAGCATCATGATATGGGGATGTTTCTCATACTACGGTGTTGGGCCTATTTATCGCATTCAATACTTGAAGAGGTCATGCTGCCCTTGAAATGGATATTCCAACAAGACAACGACCCCAAATACACCAGTAAACGTGCAACATCTTGGTTCCAGACCAACAAGATTGACGTTATGGAGTGGCCAGCCCAATCCCCGGATCTTAATCCAATAGAAAACTTGTGGGGTGACATCAAAAATGCAGTTTCTGAGGCAAAACCAAGAAATAGAGAACTGTGGAATGTAGTCCAATCATCCTGAGCTGGAATACCTGTTCACAGGTACCAGAAGTTGGTTGACTCCATGCAACACAGATGTACAGCAGGTCTCAGAAACAGTGCTTATACAACTAAATATTCATTAAGTGATTCGAAGGAAAGCAAAATCTTCAAACATTTTTCAGTTTTTATAGTGAATGTTTGAGTTTGTAAAGAAGAATACAAACACTGCTATTTTTTTGAACAGTCTAATAATCACTTTTCTTCCATTTTTTTAGAGGAACAACACAAATTTGATATATTTTTCTTCATGTTTTGATTTGGAATAGAATGTGTAGTGTTCCCAATGCATTTGTGTGTATGGAAATAAAAGCTATTAGAAGAATTTTGAGCTTTATTCACTTTTTTCAACACACTGCTATTATTTTGAACACAACTGTATATATCAGTATTTTTCATACAGATATGGTCCTTTCCTGCAAAAACATTTTACTTCCGTGTTGAACATCACACACAGACCTGCTGTTGATATGGTGTATCAAGGTGTAAATGACATCTCTGAGGACAAATGCCCAAGCTCCACCCAAGCCATCTTTAATTTCTGCCAGAAGAAGGTTAACAAATAGATGATAAATGGTGAGGATTCTGTGTTTCTTGTAGACATTGCTGCTCTCTGCAGCTTGCTTGCATATAGACAACAAAATCTTCTGGAAGGAATCCTGTGAAAACATACAAAGAAAAAGCAGGAACTCAGGCTGCATATAAGACTGCAGTCACATCAGGACCATTTCTAACCTCACATTTCTCCCCTCATTATGGCAAAAAGCCATACCCCTGGGTGCTAAGCTCTGTCCACTAACAAATAGAAATGTATTCTGCTAATATAGAAAATCAAAGCAGCCACATGGTCAAGTGGTATGCCTGAAGAAAACGAATAGTTAAGAACCTTCCTAAAACAACTATAATGAAATTTTTGGACATACAGTAAAATCCATTTCTTGAAGTCCATTGGGGGACACAGAAATTCAGCCATTGGGTAATAAGGCAATCTACAGGATTGGTAACTGGCAAGCAGAAAGGTTATAAGTCATTCTTCTGTATAAAACCCTTCTACCCATGTCTTGTTTTTGTGGAAAAACAGTACTAAGGGAAGAAATAAAAGACAGAGTGGTACATTTTCTTCCCTTTCCATTGAGGGTCTCAGTGAAAACATTCAAAAAGCACTCAACTGGGACCTCAGACCTCACCAGGAGGAAATGGGGATTGCTTAAAGCGGAGCTCCACTTAAAGTTCCGCGTTAAGTATTGGTCCCCTGCTCCTCGTGAGGAATTGGCACTTTTGGGGAGTGGGAGAGGGTGGCCTTGGAGCACTTACCTGATTTTGACAGGCACCCACTCCCACTGCGACCACCTAGGCAGTCGCAAGCAGAAGTTGTGCTCCCTCTCCATAGACTTCTGGGACGTGTAACAGGTGAACAGGTCCCAGAAGATTATGGAACCATTCACAAGAAGCAACGCTACTGTCCCAGCCGGTTGCCCACACTCAGGATGCCTGCGTCGGGGAGCGAGGGCCAGTGAAACCGGATGCATTGAGTAAACCGCTAGATCGTGAGACAGGTGAGTGGCTGTTTTTTTTAAAAGTCAGCAGCTGCAGTTTTTTGTACCTGCTGACTTACTGTTTTTAGGTTTGACTGGAGCTCTGCTTTAAGGCCCAGGAGCCACCTCAAGGTGGCCACCAGTGCCCGAATCTAAATGGATGAGGTTGGGCCTCCCACTGAATATGGGAACCTGCCAACAATACCCAAGGGAAAGCACAGAGGATCAATATGATGTTCCAGGCCAAAGAAGAAGGTCACACCAAGGAGAATAAACCTGAGCATGAGTCAGCGAGAAGCTGATCAAGCTGAACCTACTAACAGCAGGTATAAAAGAAAGAAAAAATTACTTCTAACATGACCAACAACCTGACGAGGTCAACTAACAGAACACTGGGGGAAACCCTGAGGAGAAGCAGGTCCTGGAGGTTTTTAGAACTTAAAGTAAATTTATTGAATTTTAATGTATGAATTTCATGTAATTTCTTGAAATCCATGAAGGGACACATGAAGGAACACCTGGGTTTTACTGCAGTCTATAGGACGACACTGGCAAAAATTATAAAGCAAAATCTACACAGGTTACAACCTCACAAAGCCACCTACTAGACGCTTCTGACAGAGGCCTGAACCTCTACCTGGAAAAACTTAGGAATGGTACAAACTAAAAATCAGGTAGCAGCCCTACAAACCAGAGCTACAGATATTTGATGTTGAAAAGCCCAGGAGGCACCAACACTCCTGGCAGAAAGAACATATACAGGACAGGTTGGGACTCTTCCTTCAAGGCAGTAAGCTTGAGCAATAAGCTAATGAATCTATTTAGAAATGGTATATTTTGAAGCTATGCGATCCTTCCTAGGGCCATCAGAATGTCGAATCAATGCTGTCCACAGTAAGTAAACTTTTACTGCACGACCCACATCATATGAAAAGTTTTGTTCTCCAGAGTCTGTTACCCCTTGATGGTAACTCAAGTCCAAATTCTTGTCCACTCCCGACTGAAATGCCAGAACTCGGCCCATGACATATCTGCAAGGGTGAAGGTAATTTTTTTGATATGGCATCTCAGGGATCGGCAACTTCAAGTTGGTTTGAACTACATTTGTCAGAGAACCAACAAACGCAATTTTAGTCTTAGACAAACCTGTGACCAGGAATAGACTCCTCAGAAGAAAAGTGATCAAACCCAGAGAGGGCACCAGCAAGTTTGTGTTGTAAACCCACAATAGCCAATAAAGATTTCTTCCTTGACAAAAAAAAACTGGAGCAAAGTGCCACAGCAGAAGAAAAAACAGACAATTAAAGGGATCAGAGCCACCCGGAACTAACTGACCCCCAAGGGAAAAATGACTAGGTTCCTCCCTGCCTGATACAAGAATTTGGGAACTCGATTCGCCTCTCTGCTGTCACTCAGACATTGCCGGACGACAATATGTGGGCTTTAGCTGTGAAAACAGTCCACAGTCAGCTCAGAGGGGCAATGGATTTCACATCAGACACAAAGTCCCCAAAAAGGTATGTTGCTTTTACCCTAGGGAGAAATATAAAAGGATTACTGCCCTTATACAGTATAGTCAGCAATTCTGGAAGTGGTGTGCACCGAACCCTAGTCCAAAATGGCGGATGCTCTATAGACAATGACGACGCAGTGTGCATTTGCACTAGCTGCCCACACACCAAGAAGACGGCGGAGAGTAGCGCCAAAAGACTCCAGACCGCTCGTTCTGAACAGATACTGCGATATAGCACCCAGAGCAGCTACCAGGGGAGAAACATGGCAAACAAATAAAAATACAGTGAAAGAAACTTCACAGTGGAGCAGGCAGGGGGAGACACCAAGGTGACATGTGAAAACACTCCAAGCACCAAAAGGTGGCAGCATAACCCTCTCATAGTGAAAATTAGGATGTCCTGTGTCCTTTGATGTACAATAGGTTAGTTTTATTGTTTTTATTCCATTCAGCTGGAGAGAGCAAAGAAAGAGTCCTGTCTACACCTACTTTAGTTCTTACAACAATAACTACATCCTTTGATAAATTATCCCTCATTTGCTCTAGTGAATGGTAGCTAAATGGACTGTATAAGTAGCAAAAGGAAGGCGCATGTGTGCTGCTGAAAGACAGGGTTTTAAGCCTGTTGCTTTGCCCTAAACAACAAGTATGTTATAAACATTGTCACAAAATTAAGACATTCAAATTCGGGTCATAAATTTCCAGATCCACACTGGCCATATTATCACAGGTTGGTGATTGCTGAAGTATAACTCTGGACAAATAAACTTGCTAGCTTATAGAGGAGGGTCCAAAAATCCACAGTTAAAAGCCACCAAAGCTTCTTCTTCCATGCCAGTCACATAAATATGACAAGGTTCAAAAGTGGCAACCTGAGATGCAGGACAGAGTTTAAAGAAGTACAACCAAAGCTCTTTTGGCTGTACCTCTCCTGTGGATCACAGGAGTGCAGTTTGTTCTGCACTCCTGTGACCTGTTTTCAGCTGACAGCAGACTGAAGTATGCTGTCGGCTGATGTCACTCAGCTGCTCCAAGCTGGGGAAAGTCAGGATCTACCCCAGAGTCTGGAGCAGCACCTGGCTCAGGCTCTCAACTAAGTGCTGACCCAGCCGCTTCCTCCCCCTGTACAACCCAGCACTCCAGTGAGCACTTAAAAAGGCAGGCAGGCACACAGCACAGAGCAGCTGTGAGAACTCAGCGGTCAGGTGAGTTCTGAGTTCTCATCCATAGAGCCAGCCGGGAACAGATGCAGCATCGGACCGATGCTGCATCCACCTAGGTAAGTAAAAAAAAAAAAAATGTTCATTTATTATTTTTGGTTGCAGGAGCCTGGAAAACATTGCACCAGTGATCAGCAGATCACTGGTGCCATGCAGGTGTCCTGCAGATCTGTCGGTATATCTGCTTACCCATACGGGATGTACAGGCAAGCAGATATACTGACAGAAAGAATCAATAAACTACCACGGAGCTTCACAGCATTTGTACTTTCTCATGAATGAGTGACGCAGCCAGGTGGGCGGAGCAGCTGCAGTTTTTAAAAAATTTGACAGCTAGAAGATCCCCGCTAGCCGTCAAAGCAGGGGAGCGGGGGCCAGTGTATTCATAACATGTTACACCCTGAATATGGGTGTATGTTAACATGTTATGAAAGGTGAACTTATTCTTTAAAGAGACTTTGCCACTAAGAAAAACACCGGTGTAATTAGGTTCTGATGGAAGCAGTCATATCCTGGCCCTATTATGTTCTATACTAATTCCAACCAGTTACCCAAAACTAGTATGTGGCATAAAAGAAACATCTTTCAAGAAAGCCCCTCAAAGTTTTGCAGAATTATACTGATTAATAAAGCAAATCCAGATCTGAAAATTCAGCTACTTACCGGAGTCTTGGAGAGAATTGCCACAAGGCTTTTTAGCTTGCTGTTATGGCAACTGCTGATATAATCCAAAGTGGCTTTTATGACATAGGAGGGGAAATAAGGGGGGTTTGGAGGTGGATCCAATTCCCTAAAACAAAGAAAGTTTATTGTCATCATGTGAAATTCATGCAAGGGATTGGAAGCACAACAGTCTTCACAACTGAAAGTGAATCTTTGCAACGTAAACACACACAGCAAAAAAAAAAAAAAAAAAAATCTTAAAATAGAAATGCTCTTTAAAAAGTTTAAGTTCTTTATTATTTCAAAGTAATTTTGATATGTAAAGTTAAAACAGGTGAGAACAGGCATAAGTGAACATAAACAAAAATCAGAATCTAAATATAGGGTATTTAGGGTCCTCGCTCACTTCCCGCTATATTGCTCCCATGCTACATGGTACGCGTGACATTGCTAGTTTCTCCTGCTCCAGTCCCCCCAGCTCTGCTGATCTTTTGCCGCTCACTCCTCTCTCTCCAGTCCCCATTCAACTTCTGCTATAGCGTTCCCACGTTGCACACCATGTGTGCAGTCTGTTCCACTCTGGTCCGAATCCCGCTCACCTTCCTGCTGCTCCATGCTACACTCCAGATGTGAAATCTGCACCAGACACTTCCAGAATATATACACATGAACCAAAAGTGACTGCTGATGACAGGCACTTTAAAAAAATGTAGAGTGTTGAAAAAAGGACAATCAGCACTCCTATTACGATCATGGTTTAACATCCCAGACCTTGAAATGAAGGTTGATTTATAGGCTTGAAAAACGTGCAACGCCTAAGGGCTGAAAATAAAAAGAGGCCAGGAATCAACAGTAGAATTTTGGGTGATGGCCGCCGGTCTCAAGCTGAACAAAGTTATTTACTAGAATTATTAGTCTCATTATGGGTTTTTCTTTAAAGTGTATTTAAACTCTAAATCTATTTTCTAGTATGATTGGCATCATATGCCTCACTGTATACAGTTTTTTTTCCTTTTTAAGTAAACAGTTTTTGCTTTTTTTTTTTAAGAAGTAAAATTGTTTTTTACCTGATTATACCGCAAGTAGCATAATCATGTTGCAGGCTGACAAATGTAAACCACTGTCTCTTCAGTTGGACATTGGGCTGCTTATATGATAAACCTGAAAGGCAGCCCAGAAGCCAACTGAAAAAGAGTACATTGCAGACTGAAAACTTTGGAGCAAATGAAGAGGCAGTTGCTTAGCACTGTCTGCAGCAGCAGAAAGTGCTGTTATTGGCAGAATTTCCAGGCAAAAAACTTTACATTACATACACAAAATAACAAATTACCTAAGAAACCTCAAAACAGTGAAGCATAATGCCAAAAAATATTTAAAAAAAAATAGATTTGGAGTTTATGCACACTGTAAAGGAAATCGTAAATACCAGTCTTAGAAGCCTTTGAAGGAAGCAGTCTCTGTGATTTAAAAAATGCATTGTAATTATGAAGGCAGTGACTTGTCTAGACTCACTGAGGTTGATTCATCTGGGGCAGCTGTGCATGGTAGCCAATCAGCTTCTGACTTCTAGCGTGATCAATTGAAGGTTTGACAAAAGAAAAACTTTGTGGGTACTGTGGGGTTTTTTTGGCCTGCCAAACAATGACAATTTGCAACAGTTCAGTATTACTGCAAAATGAAGGGAAAAATTGCCTCATCATACCCATAAAACTGAGGATCTTCATCGTTAGTCGTAGCACTTGCGGATTCATGGAGAGTCATCAGAAGCTCCACAACTATATCTGGCATATTTTGAAGGAACAGGTTGTCAATTTGCTGCAAAAAAATTCAAAAAAGATATAAAAAGTCTTGCATCTCCAATACTGCATAATAAAAGTCCAAAAACTAAAGAGTGCAACACTTGCTGCAAATATTAAATATACAGTCAAGTCAATACAGTAAGTCAAGGCTGATATTGTATAGTTACTAAAACAGGATAATCTAAAACACAACATATTACAAAGATGAAAAATCCATGTTCATTTATATGGCAATGAGCTAAATGTGTTTCAAAATGACCTCATATACAGACAAACCTAAAGATACTTGGCATTTTAATTACATCAGCCATGTAAAGGTGCATCCTCTTATTATATGCTGATAAATATTTTAGGCCAGGTGCCTGTACAATCTATTATGCAATTTAATTTCAATAAAAATGATTTGTAGAGTTTTAAAGTATTATTTGGTAACTATACTGGCGTTGCCAAAAACAATCACATTTTCTGTATCATTTTAAACCCGAAGAGCAACTACATAAAAGCACAGCTAGTTATGGACTCAACCAGAGTATTAGGTTTGTTTATATGTATTCATATTAGAAAAAGCGATACTTAGAAAAGGGGCAGTGGTCAATGGCACACAATCGTTCAGAATTGTTTCCTGTTCTCTCGAAAGACTCCCCGAGTCCAAAGATTAATTACTCATGGTCAGCCTCCCCTGCTCTATGATATGCCTTCGCCAACCATTTCTTTTTATATCCTCGCTTAGTAAATCATTCGCAAATTAGATACTTCCTTCTCAAAGTCCAGGGGATCCGAACAGTTCCTCCGTGCCCTTAGATTTTGTCCTACTTGGATGCCCTGGATCAGGGAGCGGGGGTGAAAACTTCTGGTGTCAAATAAGTTATTGGTCGCTGTGGGTTTCCTAAACAGTCTCGTCTTGATACCTCTGTTTCCATTAAGTTCGATCTCTAGATCCAGGAAGGTCACTTTTTTTTGGATGTTACATTCACTGGTAAACTTAAGATAATGAGGGCTGGGAGTAAGTCCCTCTATGAATTCTTGTGCTTGCTCTATCGTGTTGATCTTGACCTCAGGTAAATCCTAAGCTGATTGGATTGGCCTGTGTATGGTTTTCCAAATCAATTCATGCCAAGGTACATGTTGAGCTTTGAATATCTGCTTGTAGAGAGGTCACGTGGTCAATTTGCATAACTGTTGTCACACGCTGCTGAGTTACTGAAAGTTTCCTACACTACATTTCTAGACAGTTGATTTCAATCCATTAATATTTGAAAAAAATTCCTGGTTTGAATTTCTAACCCATTATTTTGGATTGGATCATTGTACTGTTATTTTGATCTGTTTATTATTTATCATCACCTATTACATTTCATATTGCACTGAATTTTATTATTAATAAATATATATTTTTGCACATTATTGCTTTTTATTTCGTCTTCAAATTAGTGCAAATAAAGAATTCGGATTATCAGTTGAGTTATGAAAATTAGTAGGGAATCTCCTTAATTCCAGATGCCCGCCTGTTTTCATAAATTGTACATTGATTATTTTCTCAGAGCTGAAGTTCATACACAGTGGACTTTTTCTAGCAGTGGCTTCTCAGTTGTCTGCTCATAAGACATTGGCCACTGCATGTCTTTCTTATATTTTGTCATAAGTGTTTCAAATCTGGAAGTTTTAGTTCTTTTGGTTACAACAGTTAGTTATGGCCTGGTGAACTTGTCCCAACCTGAACATACTATATATGTTATAGGTGCTGGTTTATGAGTGTTATTTTACATGCTTATACGGGTGGCCTTGGAGCCTTTAATTACCTATGTGCATACTTTATAGTGCCGGGAGGGGTCTATGTACTCTGCTTAATTGAACCTCTTCCATATAGGGCACTTTTACCCCCTTCCCTCCCAGGCCAATTTTCAGGTTTCAGCGCTCTCACACTTTGAATGACAATTGCCCGGTCATTCAAACATTGTACCCAAACTAAAATTTTAATTTTCTTCACACAACTAGAGCTTTCTTTAGGTGGTATTTAATCACCACTGGGGTTTTTATTTTTTGCTAAATTAACAAAAAAAGACCGAAAAAAACATGTTATTCTTTGTTTCTGTTATAAAAGTTTGCAAATAATTGTTCTTCATAAATTTAGGCCAAGATGTATTCTGCTACATGTCTTTGGTAAAAATAACCCAAATTAGGATGTATCTTTTAGTTTGTAGGAAAGTTATAGATATCACAAACTATGGGATATATCTGAATATTGATCAATCCTGAAGTACTGACAGCCAATCTAACTTCTTGAGGTCCAAGAATGTGAGAACAGTACAGATATCCCCCAAATGACCCCTTTTTCCAAAGTAGACAGTCCGACGTACTTCATAAGAGGCATGGCGAGATTTTTGAAGTTGTATTTTTGTTTGTCATAATTTTTCGGAAAATAAATTAAAAAAATTATTTTCACTATTTTTTTTTTTTTTTTACATACTGTCACCAGTGCAGTACAGCGTCATCATATAACTGGCATGGCGGTGATGAGGGACACTGACTGATGACGGTGTGAAAAAAAATTATAATTTTTTTTTATTTTTTTATAATTTTTAATTTTTTATTACCTTTTTTTTTAAGATTTGTTTTTCATATTTCACTATGACCAAAGTAGTACAATGTTACCATAGTAACATTGTACTACTTTAGGGAAGTGATCAGTATTTTTTTTTTTTACATACAATTTGCTTATAGCAAAGAATTACAGGATTTTTTATTTTTTTTTATTTTGTGCTTAGCTGTGATTTGGCCACGGCTAATCACATGACACAGCTGGGCTGTGATTGGCCTAGCTTGTGCATGTGATCGCTGTGACCATTCACAGCTAGACACACTAATATACAATGGATGGCATGAATGAAGCCATCCACTGTATACAACTGTCATGTGACTTGCTGTGATTGGTCACAGCAGGTCACATGGTACAGGCAATGGGGCTGGTACTCAGATCTGTCATCGGCCATGTTCGAGGTACACGGCCGGTGACAGATCGCGCAGCTCTCTGCAGGCGCAAACTGCGCATGCCCAAAAGGATGCCATATGACGTCCACCCGGAAAGGTGAGGGTTTTTGCCGGCCGCCGTTCGGCCATAGGCCGGGCGGGAAGAGGTGAAGGACTCTTCCCATTGTGCAGTTTTGGTGAAGACTCCTCCGTTCCCAGAACCTGGGTTCTGGACAACTTCACTGTTTTTGTAAATGTGGATAGTATTTTATGTTACTGTGTTACATTGTCTGGGGCTGGGCAGTTCTCGGCCCATGAGTCTCCTGTTTTTTTTTCTTTTCTTCCTCTAATCTTTTTCACTATTTTTTGTTTTTTTTTGAGGGTTACCCAAGTACTCTATTGGCTCTTCGAGAGATTGGTATCTTCGAGCTGGTGGGCGAGTCTGTATGACGATAGTAATGTTTGTTGCTTTCCATGTCCCAGTTAACACGAAATACCATACCATCAGACTGCTCTCCCATAACGTTCAAGAGCTAGGATCGCCTGCAAAATGCACTAAAGTTTTCACACACTATAGATCTTTAGGAGCTAATGTGGTGGCTCTTCAGGAAAAGCATTTAACCTCCTCATTTGCCCCCCAATATGTCCACAAAGACTTTCCCATTTGTTTTTTTGCAAATGCCTCAGAAAAGAAACGGGAGTGGCACTCTGTCCAGATGGCTTTCTTTTGTTGAATCTAAAGTGCTTAGAGGCCAAGAGGGATGATACCTTTTGTTAAAAGGACATTTGGGAGAGAACTTAGTGACTTCCCTAGTTTATTATACACCTAACACAAATCAAGTTTTTTTTTTTCAATCCTTACTTCAGTCTTTGGCTCCTGATATTGAAGGGGATGTTATTTTAGCAGGCGTTTCTAGCCTAGCTTTAGACCATGTCTTAGACAAATCCCATGTCACTAAATTTAGATCTCCTTCTAAACAAAGACGTAGATTTGCACAATTATTATATCAGCATGACCTGGTTGATGCTTGGAAGCAAATGCTACTACTAGAGATCACTCACACTTTCTAGAGCTCATAATCATTACTCCCGTATTGACCATGTGTGTTTCTCCTCTCGGGCCTTCTACCTAAATTGGTATGCCTGGGTCTGATCATGACCCTGTCTTGCCAACACTCTCTATGCTAACGCTCTATACCTTGACACAATGGGCGAACAACACTGGTGACTAAACAAGTCTCTTCTTGGCAATGACTCTTATTGCCTAGATATTACGACCCATTTGAAATATTATTCTGATGTTAATAAAGCTGAAGCCACTACCCTGGCTATCAACTGGACAGCACACAAGGCTTCTGTTAGAGGCTTCCTTATACATTTGTCCTCCAGACTCAAAAAAACTTGCGATGAAATGATCTCTGCCAAAACGAAGAAATATGAGGCTCTGGCTCGTCAGCATAAACATTCCCTATCTTCTGATTTATAAGAAACTGGAACAGGCGCGCCTAGAACTTAATGTTTGCCTTACTACAAAAGCAGAAAAACAACTGCGTCAGGCAAAAGTTCTTGACTTGGCGTGATAGACCTGGCTCTTTATTGACACATAAACTCACACCTAGATATTCTCATTCAGCTCTCCCTAAAATTAGAATGACGAGGTCACATTACACAAGATCCCAAAAAAATCCATCGGGAATTCGATAATTTTTATGCTCATTTATATAGCCAACCCAAGGGTGCTGCTCCTTCTTCCATTCATGCTTTCCTGAAGGCCCTACCTCTCCCATCACTTCAGGCAGCCCATAAGGAGCCTACGGAACAACCCTTTACCTGTGTAGAGGTCCAAAAGATTATAAAGTTGCTGCCTTTACATACATCACCGGGCCCTGATGGGCTCCCTAATAATTATTACAAAAAATTATCTGAACAACTTGCCCCGGTTAATGACATTTTAATTTAACTCGCTGCAAGATGGTAGTCTGATCCCTCCTGATGAAAACAGAGTGTACATCAGTGTTATCCCTAAACCCAATAAAGATTTCATGGATGTTCTCAATTACTGCCTGATTTCACTGATTACTCCTTGCAACATTTTAAGACAAATTACAGACGTCCCCTAGTGAAACCTTTGTATATAACCAAATTGTTTCTTTTGTACGCTCTAAACTTAAATTGCTAGCTTGCCCTCTTACGCTGATGACTTTTGAACATCAGAGAATCTTGTCAATCAGAGAATCCTTTGAAGGGTAGGGTATCTTTGGCGTATGCGTCCTTCACTGACCCAAAATTTAAGCTTTCCTATATGAACCAGTGGGAGCGAGACTTAAATGGCAAGACATTGCTTACGTTCTATCAAAGGTATCTATTAAAACCATATTAATAGATGCTAACTATAAAACGCTTCTACGCTGGTATTTTGTTTCTACTTAGTTTGCAAAAATGCATCTGTCATCATCACCCTCTTGATTCTGCCGTTACAGCCAGCTGGGGACCATGCAACACATCTATTGGCAATGTCCTACAGTGACTAGATTTTGGATTCAGATATTCAATTTTATCTACTCAGTAATGGGAGTAAGCATCCGCAGATCCCCAGAATCAGCCCTTTTTCAAAAACTTCCTGACAAGGTTCCCAAAAAGTCAACAAAATTAAATACGTTTTTGGCAGCTATAATTACTATTGCGAAATATTGGAAACAGTCAGTGGTCCCGCTTCACTACGTCAAGACTTAACTTAACTGGATTATGGTTAACGACAAACTCACCTGCCTTCTTCATAATAATACCAAGAAGTTTACAGGATTTGTGGATCCGTTATATATCTGTCCCTGAGCGAGCACCGGGTTGACCTTCTTTCTCATTCTGGATTTTTCCTGCTTTCTTTTTATGTTCCTTTTCTCATTATAGAAAGTTGACAGATTTAAGAGGTCTTGGGGGTCATTTGTGGCTCTGAGTGTACATACCTTCTCAGACAAACGAACCGTGTTTTTTTTCCTTCTCCTATCTCTCCCCTTTCCTTTCACCGTCCTCCCTTGCAGACTGGGTATGAGTTGTTTAGCTTCAGATAACATTTATCTTTCCCATTGTTTAAGAGAGCATCTGTCTGAGATAGCTCTTTTACCATTGATTGTTTCTACAATTATGGTTTATTCTATATGTACTAATTCTTTGACATATCTCTGTTACATTGTTATATTGTCCACTTGACCTTGGACCTCTGTTTGAGTGATATCATTGTCATGGTTCAGATACTTCAAGAAAACAATCAAATATAAAAAACAGTCAGTTGTTTACATTCTCCAAGCTCAAATTTATGCACACAACCAACTCAGTAAGTGACTTATACACTGCCCCTTTTGCTTTTTTCAGGAGAACCTCTGGCGTTTCAACAGCTCCAGCTGTGCTCTTTGAAAACATATATATATATATATATATATATATATATATATATATAAAAGAGAGAGAGAGAGAGAGAGAGAGACTAAAAAAAAACATGAGATATCAGTTTAACAACACAACACAAATAACCATTACAGTATCCACATTACCTGTTTACCAAGGCAGTTCTCATCTTGTAGCAAGTCATAGACTTTGCTTGCAACTTCCCTCTTCTTTTTATCTGAGTCTCCAGAGCAATCAGAAACAAAGTATGGGAGAATATGTACCAAAATTCTGGGAAAACAAGCAGCCAACAGGACCTTACAGTCCTCTTCAATGCACTCAGCAATGGCCTTCACTTCTTCAAAGTCACTCCGAATGACGAGATGTGGAATCAGCACTTTGTAGCATGACCTGAAAAATTTGTTAGAGGCGTCAGTTCACTAACAAATAACAATAAAATGGGAGGGGGGCCGATTCCACTGCTCTCCCCTCAGTCTCTCTTCATCCTCTACCCATCCTGGATTTGTTCGAGCTAAAAAAACAAAACAAAAAACCACTGATCCACTGCCTGAACATCCAGCACCCCACTGCTCCTAGGCATGGTGAAAATAGGGCGGGGAAATAGAAAAGAATGAATGACCAGCTGGCCACTTCAAGCAGTCTTCAAGATGCCGCTCACAGCCATGTGGCTTCCTCCTTTACATAGAACAGGGAAACCAGTGCCATCCTCCAGCACCGCCTACTGAAACAGCTTCCACATCCTCTGATTTCCAGGAGAAGGAAGAGACTGCTGTCTCTAATGTACCTCCTACTGACATTAACCCTGAACAGCCAGAACCTACACTGTCACAGAATATTGAGACAAAATGTGATTACCTTAGTATAACAGATTAAAAGTGTCAAGATTGACCTGCCCCTGCTAAAACAAGATTCTCTGAATTTGTGTGAATGCAACTCACATGCTGAAACTCTTATCAGTACTGTTGAGGACACTATTTCTACTTTGGTCACTGATACTAGATCATTACGAAGAGATTTCTTAGCCTACCAGTGTGAACTAGATGATTAAAAAAATTGTTCCAGACAGAAGATTCCCTGGGTTTCCTTGAAAAGTGCTACTTCTGATCTTCTCTCTGGAAAACTGGCTAACGAACTTAATATCTCCGGTACTCTCCTCTTCTTTTATCACTGACTGGGCTCACCAAATGCCTCCACAACCTCCTACGGTTGGGAGATACTCTAGGCCAGGGTATCGAATTAAAACTCATGGAGGTCTGACCTGTAAAATTTTCTTCCAACAGAGGTCCGAACCGCATTTTTTTTTTCAGCCCTCTCCTACTGTATATCACAATCCCTATACTTCAGGGTCCTCAATCCCCCCCATACATCACAATCCCCAACTTCACATCAGTTTCACCTTCACAGTAGTGCTCTCAGGCCCCCTGCACATCACCCCCACCCACTCCTTTACAGTACACCCATTTTCAGCAGTCCTCAACCCCCCTTCAAATCATCACACCCACCCACACTACGGTCCTCTGCCCCATTCACATCGCTCCCCCACACAACTGTCCTCTTCCCCTTCACATAACCCCAGAAGACCTGTGCAACCTTCAAATCCCCCAAAACCATGCCCTCCTTTACACATTCTCATATCACAAATCCCCCCCAACAGTAGTGTTCTCTGCCCTTTTCACATCAACACCCCCCCCCCCCACATACACACACAGCACTGCCCCCTTCACACCCCACCCCAGTAGTATACGCTGCCCTCCTCACATCAACCCAAGCCGCCACTTCCCATCCCTACCCCACAGTACTGTCCTCTGCCCCTTCACATCCCCCCCCCCCACAACACTGCCCCCCTTCACATCTACCCCTCCACAGCAATGCCCCCCCCTCCTCACATCACAAATACCCTCACCACCACCATATGCACACAGCACTGCCCCTCTTCACATTTTGCCCCCCTTTACATCACACACACAGCCAGAGTCATGTCCCCGGGCCCCCCTTCACTCTCCTACCTTAGAATGGAGAGCGGGAGGCGGAGCATTTCTGGATCGGGTGTGGGAAGCACAGCATATCATTGAATAGAGCCGCTTCTTTCCCCCCATCCTCCGCCACTATTATAACCAGCAGAGTGGACAGCAAGAGACAGAATAGTTCTAAAGCGAGTGTGGAATAACAACATAGAATTGAACAGAGCGCAGGAGAGGGAGCTTTCATAATATTTCTGGATCAAATGTGGGAAGCACAGCACTGCATTGAATAGAGCATGGGAGCTGCAGGGGTTAACTTTTTGTATTAACCAGCAGGTGATTGGCTGATAGTACTGCCCTGCCTCCAATCAGCCGCTGGTTAACTTAAAAAGTTAACGCTGGCAGCTTTCGCGCTCTATTCAATGCTGTGTTGTGCTTCCCGCATCTGATCCAGAAATGTTATGACAGCTCCCCCTCCCGTGATCTATTAATTCTGTACTGTTCCACACTCGCTCCAGAAATGTTTTCTCCTGCTGTGCGCTCTGCTGTTATAACAGTGGTAGAGAATGAGGGGAAAAAAGCGGCTCCTAAATGGCGTGATTGGGTCTGGATAAACCAGTGGCTAGGTCTGCATCCGGCCCGTAGTACGCCATTTAGCAATGCCTGCTCTAGACCCTTAAAATAGAGTGTTTTAAACTTCTGAGACAAAGTTGCCAGGGGGGCTCTATCACAGTAATTGGATCACCATTTCTCAGATTTTTCATCTGATGTGCAACTATGTTTCTAGAGGTACACGAGAAAGGAATACCTTACGCCATGATATACCCAGCCAAGCTTAGTATCTAAATAGATGGCAGGTCCATCTTCTTTACATCCTCTGCTGAAGACTCAGACTGAATGGATCTACAAGGAGTCCTACCTCAACATGGACATCATAGTTGCCGGAATGCTTCCCCAGATGACAGATATTTTGCTATATATCCTCACTGTAATAGTGAACTCCCGGTTGCTCTGCATTCAGCTTCAAGAACCACCTAATCCTAATTTTGATTTTTCAATCCATTTCAGAATTACATGTTAATGGAATAAACTACACTAGTTCCAACAGTTTTTTTTCATTTGCATTTTATACATTATCCTTGTTCTACGTTTCTACACTAGGTGCTGCTATTATCTTCTGAAAAAATATTTTTTTCTACCAGACTAAGACTTTATCTCAGGTTTTTCTGACAGATATATCATATTGTAGTACTGTGCACCCCCGATACCTACCTGATTTAACATTTCACAAAGCCAGAGACAAAGCCACTTACGCCTACAGGACTCAACTCTGTCAGTTCCAAGATCACCTATGTCTGTCTACATTCTACATATATTTCGTTTTAGAGTAACATATCACCTCTCCATATACAACATATGTGAGCTCTATCCTTGTCCTACCATTGTGTCTCTGCTGTTTTACAATCATAGTCCACATTCCTGGACTTATTAGTAATGGAGACACTGAGCTCAGGTTGCACAAATGATACCTGATGAGCTTCACTAATGCTAACATTTCTTTTGGTTTTATCGAGGGTTCCTAGGCTCATTTATGATGGGGCAAATAAGCAGGGAAGGCAGGAAATTGTGGTATGATTTCTATGTTCCTATTTGCTGTACATAATATTTGGATTCTATAGTTGGTGACCCGAATCCATCCATTCAGCATTATTACAGAATTGTAGCAACGACCTGCCAGGTGAAAAACCTCTCTTGGAACACTAGGAGATTGAACTCTTCTTGAAAATAGTCTTTAATGTAATGAAATTCAAACTACTGTTGCCTAAAATAGCATGGGTTGTTAAAAAATTCCACGCACTGCACTTACTGATGTAAATCCTAACAGTCAAGTAATTGCATTTTAAAGTACTTGATTTAAAGTCAATGTAAAGGTTCTCTTATTTTTAAATTAAAATAACAACGAAGAGGGAGAAAGGAAGTGCAATAATCTCGTTGAATACTCAAAAAAAAAAAGAAAAACCTTTGACAGTGTAGTCTGGCTCTACCGTCAACAAATTCTTCAAAAATATGTGCTTGTCCAAAACTTCCTAAGATGGCTGGAACTATTATACACAGCCCCTCAGGCAAGGATTAGGGTCAACACTTCTAGCTCTGAAGAAGGCTGTCCTCTGTCACCTACACTTTCTAGCCATGGAACCACTTGCTCTGCTATTAAGGAACTCAACCAATATTAAAGGTCTATACCAAAAATCCACAGGAAATATGCAGAGTAACTCCCTTAAGCGCCAGCAACATATTAACACTTTTACAGTAAATATTCTAACAATTGGATTGACTCTATTAATACCCTAATATGGAGTAATCTGCTCCTTCCTAAATTCCCATTAGTGCCCAATGCAAGATATTAGACCCCAAGGGCCTCAGGTTTATATATCAATTATTCCAAGAGGGTAAAGTCATATTTTCAAACCATACAACTACAATTTGAAATTCCCTCCAACCAAAGGGTTCTTCTATCACCAGCTCTAAAATGGTATACAGTCCATTTAAATCTGCCCAGGTTACAAACGTACGTCTCTGGAAAATCTATTATATCCAGATGAGACAAAACAGAGCGCTATCATCTTGAACTGCTTGCTACAGAAAAAATATTGTACTCCACGAGTGGCATGTTATATCACAATTGATGATGAAGGCGTGGGAGGATGTTTAGGAAACCTACATGACCTCAGTCATCTTCTCTACAGATAAACTTATCCAACTTATACTTTACCATCAAACGCACTATACACCTATAGGGTGATATAAATTAAAGTGGTTGTAAAGGTTCAAGGTTTTTATCTTTATGCATTCTATGCATGAAGGTAAAATCCCTTCTGTGTGCAGCAGCCCCCCTAGTACTTACCTGAGCCCCCTCACGACCCAGTGATGTGCATGAAAGCCTCGGCTTTCTGGGGCCTCCTCCTTCTCATTGGCTGAGACAGACTGATGAGACTGAGGTCAATCACAACCAGTCAACCAATGAGGAAAGAGAGGGGTGGGGCCATGCCGCAGCTTTGAGTGTGAATGGACATGCAGGGCAGCAGCTCAGGAGTGAGCCTGTTTGGTTGCTCCCTTAGCAAGCTGCTTTCTGGGGCAGGACGAAGTAGCCAGGAGAATCAGGGCTTTTTTCCCGCAATTGCCTTTAATATCACATTAAAAATTAGACATTCTTCACTTTATTTTCTCCTCTGTGGTCATGAAGCTGATTTTTATCATGCAATGTGGTTATGCTCCAAGATAAAAAACATTCTGGGCACAGATGTGCAGCTTTACTGAATCAGCATTAGGTCTTCCAAGTTTAAAATGCCCCAAAGCAGTCTACTACGGCTGGTAGGAGATCTCCCTATTAACTACCATACCAATAAACATTTAAGAATATTATACTTCCATGCATAAAAAAATGTATTTTAATTACCTGAAAAAGACCTGTCTCTCCGATTTTATTGGAGTGGAAAAAGTTAATCAATTTTGTCCTTTCCTTGAACCAACTCACATACACTACCATAGGATCCCTAAAAATCTTTGACAAGATTTGGGGTCTATGGACTAGATCTACTATGATCACCTAACCACTGTTCAGTCTCAGGTAACCACAATTTCCAATCTATCTCTCTTCACATATACCTTCTATGTGAGTATATTAAATCACACGTAATGCCGCTACTGTGATTGAACAATACACTGTAAAGATTTATGTAAGTACATAAAAAGATAGTACAAATTCTTTATGTTTTGTGAGGATTGTTGTATGTATTGCAATGGCACAGTATTATGTAACAAGCTTAAAAGCAATAAACAGGATCTTAAAAAATGTATTTAAATTATCTCACAAAACATATCATATCAAATTGCTGAATCCACATAAAAAAAATACAGCAAAACAGGCGTAATTGTTATATATTCTTTGTTTGCGCAAAAACAGTTACTTTAAGTGTAATTAAAAGAAAAACTTTCTAAAGTTTTGGATAGAGTGGAGAGGAATTACACCTGTCAGTTTTTATTGCTGTCTGTATCCCATTAGGGAGATTCACCCTCTTTATTTGTCCTGCATAACATTATCATAGAAAGTAAAAGCAAAGGAAAATCCCAAGTTTTGGGTTGACACAAACAGCAATAGAGAGAAAATCTTCCAATGGAGACACTAGATCTGGTAACATCCTCGGATTCCTTCACTTTGGAGGGATATTCCTTCACTTCTTGTTTTGGCTATGGGACAGGAAATGAAGGGAAATCTCTCCTATGGGACACAGATGGCAAAAAGCAGACAGGGGTTATAACCCTTCCCTTCTCTGTCCAAAATGGAAAAAAAATAAATGTTGCCTTTAGTTCTACTGTAAATTGTACTTGTCTCTGGATCATTTAGCATAAGTTGCAAGTTTGCACGGCATACTTGCCTCCTAGTTTGGCATCATCCACTAATGTAAGATCCACACTAGCTCTCATCACTCCATCATGCACACTACTATCTTCTCTTTGTCGTCTTCTTCTGGCATGTTGTGTACCTTTGTCAGCTATTGGGCTGCCACTAATAAAGCAACTCCCATTTATACACATAAAAGTGACATCATCTTTCCACGTGGCTTACTCTTAGCATCTTACAGTTTATGGGAATGCATAGTGCACTTCGAACACACAGTTGCCAGTAGACAGGAGAAGGCAGCGAAAAGATGGAAGTTTGTTTTGGCAGAAGAGAAAAACAAATCTTTTACTACAAAATTCTACTTGGTAACAAAAAAAATTAAAAGACAACAAACCATTTTTTGCCATCATTATTTTTACACATTTTCTTTAAATTGGTTGTAAAGGCAGAAGGTTGTTTACCTTATAGCATTCTATGTAGTAAGATATTATATTATTATTATACCGGATTAATATAGCGCTAACAGTTTGCTCAGCGCTTTACAATATAAAGGGAGACAATACAGCAACAATACAGTTCAATACAAGAGGGATAGGAGGGCCCTGCTCCATGGAGCTTACAATCTAGGAGGGAGGTAAAAAAACCTTATGCATGCAGCTTACCCCCACAGCCCCCCTAAATATCACTTGATCCTGAACTCTATCCAGAGACGTGCACAATACTCTCTCACTCCTCATTGGCTCAAATACAGCAGAAACAGAAAGAGCCATTGGATCCCACTCCTGTCGATCAAAGCCAGTGACAAGAGCGGGGGGGGGGGGGGGGGGGGGGCTGAGCCCCATTCTATGTGTCTTATAGGCATCATGGGAAGGGGGGGGGGAGCCATGTGAGCTGGCGGGGAATCTGAGTAGAGGAAATTTGGGGGGCTGCTCTGTGCAAAAAACCCATTGCACAGAGCAGGTAAGTATGACATGTTTGTTATTTTAATAGAAAAAAAAAAAAGAAAAAAAACCTTACAGTCACTTTAATTTAGATGACTGAATATTTCATAACCGCTTATCTGATTTCTTTTGTCTAGCTTGTATTGGAAACATAAGTAGGAATCCGTTTGCCTATGAGTAACATAGCAAGCTCCCCTTATACATAGCCAACTATCACTTACCTATAAAAATCCCTTAGTGTTGCATACTGTAACAGAGTGTAGGGAAATGTGGACAAGTTGTAGCCAGGAACTTTCAATCTCAACCACTCAAGAATCAAGTAATCTAAATGAGAAGTCATGAAGTCTTTCACACTTCTATAACCCAGAGTGGAGGACACTTTCTCCAAAACCTAGACGAAAAGAAAAAAAAAAAAACGGAACAGCAAATTAACTATTTTACCAAGGAAAATCAATGAATAACCATAAATTTAAGGGTCAATTTCTTAAAAAAAATTATTTTGTTTGGGTTGACCTCAAAGACTTAATGGTAGAGGGTGTCACATGAAAACAAAAATGAATCATCGGACACAAATCTCTAAATAACTGCTCAGTCATACACGGCACATTGCAAATGACATAAAATGCCTTAGGTAATAACCAAGTGCTCTTGGAACACAGGAGGACAGGAGCAAGAACAGGTAAGACACTGAAAAGGAAATGTGGTGGAGTTACATATATTTAAAGGGTATTTTGACTTTTAAAACCAAATTCGAGTACAAAATGGTGGCCGTCTGCACACAGCCACCAACTCCCAGTTGCATGAATGTGAATATGACAAGAAGATTGATTTAGCTTCTGTTCTCCACCTAAAGAGAACTCCTCAAATGCATTTCGCCCTTTTTGGCGCTTAATCGCCGCCACTTCGATCAAGCCCTGAAAAGGGCGAAACTTGTCTGAGGAGTTCTCTATAGGTGGAGAACAGGAGCTACAGCCATCTTTTACTTATTTTTGTCACATTTACGGAACAGGGAGTCATTGTCTACGTGCAGATGGCCAGCATTTTGCCGAAGTCTACTGTAGCGTAACCAGCTGATCCTGTCTGTATGGCATCAGTCATACAACATGCTGATCTGACTGATACAGGTTTGGGGGCTTTCAAGAGGTATTATTTTCATTTTTTAGGGCTACAATTTGGAATACACCCCACTTTATATTTGTTACATGTTCTAATTTACATAGCACAACACAAAAAAAAAACATAAAAAATACAAAGCAGTGTGCTTACAGTGTAAAGCGCACACACAGCACACAGTTAACCCTTTGATCGCCCCAGATGTTAACCCCTTCCTGCCCAGTGTCATTAGCACAGTGTCAGTGCTTTTTATTAGCACTGATCACTGTACTGGTGTCACTGGGGATGTCAGTGACAGTTAGTCAGTCCCCTCCTAGTGTCAGAATGCATCCCCCAATCCTGCTATAAGTCGTTGATCACCGCCATTACTAGTATTAAAAAAAACAAAATTCCAGTATATATACCGCCATTTGTAAATGCTATAACTTTCACGTAAACCATTTAATTTACACATATTGGATTTTTTTTTTTTCAGTAAAGACATGTAGCAGAATATATTTTGGCCTAAATTTTTAACAAAATGTGATTTATTTTTTTACTGTACATGTTTAATAGAAAAAAGTGAAAAATATTGTTTTTCTCCTAAAATTGGCAGGTTTTTTTTTTATAGCATAAAAAATAAAAACCGCAGGGCCAAACCAATACCACAGAAAGAAAGCTCTATTTGTGGGGAAAAAAGGACATAAATTTAATTTGGGTGCAGTGTTGCACGAGTGCGCAATTGTCAGTTAAATTAACGCAGTGCCATATTGCAAAAAATGGCCTGGTCAGGAAGGGGGCTAAATTCTCTGGAGGGCAAGTGGTTAACATGTTAATGCAATTACAAAAATAATTTTCAATGTGAAGCTTTTATTGAAAATTCTACCAGAAAAATCCCTGTTCAGGCACTTCCTGTCATCAGGTAAAAATGCTTTGTCCTCATCTCCCAGTTGTGATACTGCATTGTCACCCTATGAACGTCAAGTAATTCTACAATAGGTTCTGCCTATGCTTACTGTACAGGCTTGTTTCATCTTTGTTACCATCAGTGAACCTACCTTGTGCAATGACATGCACGTGGTGCTGAAGCACATGTTAACAGGAAGTGGCTAAAAGATGAGACGCAACAAAAGGAAGAAAAAAGGTGACATCGAACATAAAACCAATGGTAACCATTTATGGTTCATGATACTTTGACAAACTAAATGTCATCCAGGCATGCTTTACATCTACTGTATTTTAAGTTCTTTTTTGTATAGAGAACCAATGAACCATTGACCACATCCTCCATTTAGAAATCTCCATATGTCTGAAATAATTCAGCAGCTCATATCTGAAAAATCATTCTGCAATAAAGTTTACTAAAACATATACAAATATACCATAAGTAGCCGGTATGTGTATTTGTGTTGGGGGCATTAAATGCAAGAGTTTTACATTACTCTCCAAAAATGCATTTAATTAATTAAAAGTATAAACAGGAAATAGGAATTTGTAGAAACTAGCCTTTTTAAGGAGAGCAGGATCAAGGCCATTCACTTTCACAGACTGACAAATGGCAAATAGCGCTTGCTTCTCACATACAGGACTGGACAGGAGAATCACTGAAACCAGCATTAGCAATGTAGAGTTTCTATTATACTTCTCATCTGGAAGCTGCTCTGGATCCTGATTACTGCGGGACTACGTACAAAGGGGAACAGAAAAGTCTTAGTATTAAAAAAAATAAAAAAAATGTTTAAAGGATAAGCATATAACAACAAAATTCACAAATCCTTCTTGGCCCTGTCCCCTGATCGAATCCACCCTGACTCCCTCCACAGATGCTTACAGTGACTTATAGGGGACGATCTCTGATCATTTCTGACCTGGAGATTCAGCCCCATAGAATTCCATTGGGTAGTAAAGTGCAGGGGCAGCTAGGGGAGAAAAGACTTGTGATGCTGGATGTAAACTAAAAGTAGAAACCGCTGCCAGCAAACTCAAGGTAAGTATGCAATTGTGGAGGGGAAAGTGAGTTAGGTCAGGGAAAAAAAAAAAAAAGAAGACACATGCATTTTTTCCAAATGCACTTATTCTTTAAAGTGGAGTTCCACTCACTCTGTGAAAAAATAAAAGTCAGCAGTTACAAAAACTGTAGCTGCTGACTTTTAAAAAAAAAAACAGCCACTCACCTGTCCCACGATCCCGCATTGCCCCCGCAGCAGCCCGTTTCACCGGCCAACCTGTATTCCAGGAGGCCGGCATCTTCAGTGTGGGCACCCGGCTGTGACAGCTTGTGGCTTCACAGCCGGGTGCCCACTGCGCATGCGTGAGTAGTGCTGCACTTCATGAATGGCCCCATCATCTTCTGGGACCTGTCACTTCTGTTTCCGATCGCCTAAGCGATCGCAGCGAAGTGGGAGTGGGTACCTGTCAAATTTGGGTACCCGTTTCCCCCCCCCCCCCCCCCGCTCCCCCAAAGGTGACAATCCTTAATGGGGAGTGGGGGACCAATCTTTAAAGCAGAACTTCCCCTTTTGGGTGGAATTCTGCTTTAAGCAATACGTATTAGAGGCAAGTCATCTCTACAACTAAAGTATATTCAAAGTCAGGTCGTCTTGTTTTTTTTTGTTGTTTTTTTAGGCAAGAATTGAAACCCATCAGGTTTTTCACACCTCTGAATCATTTAAGAGTTTTCTCTTTACTCACTGTGTGCAGGAGTAGAGACGAAATCTCTCTAAAGTGAAAGAAATTTCCCCTTACACCATTCTCACAAGAAAAGGTTCCCAGCAAGAAATGTCTCTTGTTGTTCAGAAAACAACTTAACCTTTTGTGTTTTCCTCAGTCCTAGTGACAATGATAAACAGGATAGAGGGTAAAGAGTCACAGGTTGCAATAACCTGACTGGGGTTCTAACCCTTCACTACTTATGGGTGTTCTGAGCAGAATAATGAACAACAGTATAAGTACAAAAAACAAACATGAAAAATGTGTATTATTACCAAGTAACTCATGCCTTCTTGCACCTTCATGTAAACTTTTTCAAATGCTGCCTTCTGCAACTTCAGAGGCAGAGCGTGAGATTTTGTGTCTTGAAATAGTCTAGAAATGACAGATGATCTAGATAATGATATGTAATCATCTAATGCAATGATAATCATTGTACAGTAGTAACAATAATTATTTCATGGGACACAGTACCAGTTCTGCTTCCCTAGCACATTTAATATATGAAAGAGAATTGTGTTACCTGTTTGTAGTCTGAGCAGTGATCAGGCGGACCTGATGGTGTGTATCTGCAAGGAATTCAGAAAAAGCATCTTGCACAGATATATCAGTCTCGCCTACACGGAGAATGGCCCATTTACCCTGGGGATCAACCTGTGGTAAACAGAAAACACGCCTTATGGTTTATAATTCAGCAAAAAAGCAACAGAGTTCGGGTTTTAATTTGAACTTAAAAAGTGAAGAGTTTCTGTCTTCTAGGCAATATCTAGAAATTGTGCCTAAGTAATGGCCTAAAAAACTGCCGGATTCATCCTGAAAAATAGCAGCGCATTTTCCATGTTAACACTTCTGTGCCTTTTAGCGTTACAGTCGTATATCTACAGAGTGAGATCTGAGGTACTGCTGCCTGACTGCTAGCTTGAGAAGATTTGGAATAAGATTTGGCGATAACACTACTGTGCTGACTGCTGGAAAAGAAGCGAACTGGGGAACCTACAGTGCAAGAATGCCCCTACTTCTGCTTCATTCATTCTGTAGATCTGTGGTTTCTGGGACTCTCCTGCTGCTTTCTAAATATGCCTCAATCAGTATCAAGATCATTAGTCAGGAGTGCAGATTTAAAGGATATGTTCACCTTTTCTACCAGATTACACCTGTATTCTAGGTGTAAAATGTTACTGCTACAGTAGTCCACCCCCATCCCCCAATTCCCCATTGTTACACCAGGCTGAGGATCCTCTCCTCACACCGGCTCTCACAATTTAATAAAAAAAACGGCCATGCAATCTGCTGATCGCGGGTGCAATGCTTTACAGGTTCCAAGTTAGAAAAAAAAAAATACACTTTTTTTTTTACCTTAAAAATTATGTGTATTTATTACTATTATTTATTTTTTTTTTACAAAGGTGAACTTATCCTTTAATATGAGCAAAATCCTGCCTCCACCAAGATGGCTGCTCTACAAAGACATAGTGTGGATCAGGACACGGAAAGTCAGCTGAAGATAAGGAATAATGGTGACGCTGCTTAGTCTTCGTTTGCCTTTTTTGGCACAATTGTTCACTTTAGGTCCTCTACTAAGGAAATAGGACAAAGTGATGGTCATATACAGAAGCCCATTCATGGTCTATCAATGTTTCTGTATAGGAGGCAAAAAATATCTCCCACAGCAAATCAACACAAATCAGTTATCAAATGAGTATAAAGAAAAATCTGGATGTGAAATAACTAACTATTTCTGGAAACAACTGCAGGTAAAGTGTACCTCAATTAACGTTCTCATGCAGTTCACAAGGGCCAGTCGCACTAGTGCAGTGTGTTTCCCTTCCTTAGTCAGATGCCTGAATGACAAACATGGTGATTAAAAACAAGCAGCACAAGATTCAAGTGTTATGCTTAAAAAGAGTAAAAAAAAAAAAATATATTTACCAGAAACCCTGTATGACACTTAGCACCTGTCCCTCAGCATCACACTTTTCATCTGTTTCGTCTTGGTCCTGCCCGAGGCACAGCACAACCGGGAGAAGGCTTTTCAAAATGGCTGCACACACTTCCTGGTCACGCCGGTAGGACAAGCAAACATCACTGTAAAGAGCAGAGGGTGTGATACTGACACCGTGCATCCAGTTGCAAGAAAAGGCCAAGAACATACTTACGGAACAGGCTTCAGCAGCATGCTAATATCATCCACAGGCAGAAGAACATCTTTCACAGGCAGGTCGTTTAGCAGCTGTAAGTACTAAAAAAAAAAAAAAAAAAGAACTAAATAATATATGGCAATCAATATAATAAGCATTAAAGGCTTGTGTAAACATGAGGTTGGAGGGCAAGAAAATCATGCAGGTGAGGCACACTTACACCCCCCTTCCTTCCCCCCCCAAAAAATGCTACCTCCTTTAGCTGCAGAAGCAGCTGTCAGGGTGTACACGTGCTGCAGCGGTACTTTGCTTCATGGCAGGATACATACCCCCTGATGATGTCAAGTGAATGGACCCACTTTGAAAGTTCCCTGCAGCTGCATGCAATCCACGAAATTGCAGCACTAATGTGGCGATCAAGGAATTAAAGCAGGGAGGTGAGGAGGCTTTACAACAGCTCCACACCACTTGTAAAAGCGTGAACGAGCCTTAAAGTGTTATTAAACCCACAGCAGTAAAATCAGTCTGTATATGCAGTAAAGAATGCTTGTTATACTCTGTGGAACCTAAGGGGTTAATCCTCTACATTGTGTAAAAAGACCATTTTATGCAGGCCATAGACGGGTCATCGGCCGATTTTTCGTCCGAACAAATAATCGGCCGATATTCACACCGTTAGTGGGGCAATGTAGTCGGCCGATTTTCGTGGTTCTTCTCGTTTCTTTTCGTAAGCACTGGTGGTAGCAACGACCGATTTTTCAGTTATCGGCCGACACTTCGGCTGATAAACGACCCATCTATGGCCAGCATTACTCCTCTTGTTCAAATGTCCACGTCTTATCTCCTGATAATACAGACAGAACCTGTAGCCCTTCTGCACATGCTCAGTTTAGTGTGAATTGCTAGAGCGTTTTTTTTTCTTGGGAGAGTGCATGTGATCAGCACAGGGCCAAGCAGCACTGCCTAGACATAGGTCAGGGGTTTTGCATCCTCCTAGAGCAGAGAGAAAACTCCTCCTACAAGCTTTAACCAGTGCTCTGCTGAAGTCACAAGACTGCTCTAACTACCGATGAGAAAAGGTATTTACCAGCTTATATTTACTAGAATAATTGCATTTCCATGTTCTGTGTACTGTGGGAGACCAGATATAGTGAATGCAGGGTCCTAGGTGTAGTAACACTTTAAGAGAGTTAATGTGACCATGCAAAGGCCAGTTACCTTAAAAAAAGATGCACATTTATTATTTTTTTTTTTCTTTTAGAAAAATGTGAACTTATTCCATCGGTTTTTAGGTGGAACATGTAACATGTTCCGACTCCTACAGCTCTCCCTCCACCCCCTCATCCTGTGACAGAGGGTTGGGGATCTACTCCCTGCACCCACTGTCACATTTTGAAAAGAGCGCTGCTGAGCAGGGCTCTGCCCACATGGCCATGTTATTCATTCACAGAGTTCTGTTAAGGAATTCATACAAGTACCAGCAACGTTTGTAGCTGACAGCTTGTCATTCTAAATGAACTGTGAAGGAGCAGGTAAGCGCTCTCATAGTCTATTGAGCTTCTGGTCATTCAGTAAATGCCTGCCCATATCAGAGGTATGGGCAGATAGCTACACTGGCAGACTGTAGGAGCGTGACACTATGCCCGAGATCTGCTGATCGCAGGTGCAACGCTTTCTAGGCTCCTACAGAAAAAAAAAAAAGTAAATGGACATTTAACTGCAAAAACATGTGCATTTATTATTTTTTTAAAAGGCAAACTTATCCTTTAACCTCCTATATTTGCTTAGCACTAACATATAATAACAATAATTATCTCACCACACGAAGATGAAGAGGTTTGCTAGTGTCCAATGAGGTTTCAATGAGGTTGAGGAGTTTTCTTCGTATGTCAGAGGGTCTGAAATTGACAGAACGATTGACAGCAGCTGATGCACAGAAACACAAGAACTGCAGGGACTGCATCAACACCATCTCTGATTTGCTGAGGTGATCCTCTGACAAAGGGTTTACTGCACCTACAGAGAAACACATGTGTGACCTCCTCATACCAAACTATTAGTAATATTAACCTAATCAAAACACATTTTGACTTCAGATGATTATTGCCTAGGAAAACAATACCTTTTTAACTACTCAGAAAGGTCTGGGCAGGTTAAAAATTGTATTTGTATGTGGCCTGCTTAAGGGTAAGGGCACTGCTAAGCAAAAACAGTGATTCTGAGTGTTGGGGAGCTGGCAGAGTGAACAGCAAAATTCTGAAAATGGTTGGATGTGGTGGTGCATACACTTTGCTAATTAATTCCCTTCTGATGGCAATATCTTCCTGCAGTGACACCATTAGTTGAATTAATCTATTTAGCAACACAGAAACAGAGCCGTCCAGGCTGGGGAAAGATCTCAACTTTAAAGTCGGGATCCACCCAGATCGCTGGACCAGCACAAGGCTCAGCGAGCCGCTCCCACCCCCTTCATAGCCCAGAACTCCAGTGTTGAGAACTGAGCGAACAGAGGTTAAGTGATCACGTAGTTGTCACACTTAGAGTCGGCAGGGGACAGATACAGCATTGGACTCCACCTAGGCAAGTATGATTTAAAATAAAAAATAAAAAATCCCATACTTCTCTTTTAAATCCTGCTCAAGCATGTAATCAGCAAATCAAGGCTAACCACTGAGTACAGAGATCCAATCTATACACAGACAAAAGACAGGATGCAACCCTGAATGATAGTTTCCCAGAGAGAACACTGGGCTGCAATCATGCTTTATACTATATAGGAATATTATATATATATATATATATATATATATATACACACACACATACATACATACACATACATACATATACACACATACTGTACATACATACAGGTGAAACTCGAAAAATTAGAATATCGTGCAAAAGTTCATTTATTTCAGTAATGCAACTTAAAAGGTGAAACTAATATATGAGATAGACTCATTACATGCAAAGCAAGACAGTTCAAGCAGTGATTAGTCATAACTGTGATGATTATGGCTTACAGCTCATGAAAACCCCAAATCCACAATCTCAGAAAATTAGAATATTACATGCAATCAATAAAACAAGGATTGTACATAGAACAATATCGGACCTCTGAAAAGTATAAGCATGCATATGTACTCAGTACTTGGTTTGAGCCCCTTTTGCAGCAATTACTGCCTCAATGCGGCGTGGCATGGAAGCTATCAGCCTGTGGCAGTGCTGAGGTGTTATGGAAGACTAGGATGCTTCAATAGCGGCCTTCAGCTCTTCTGCATTGTTCGGTCTCATGTCTCTCATCTTTCTCTTGGCAATGCCCCAGAGATTCTATATGGGGTTCAGGTCAGGCGAGTTTGCTGGCCAATCAAGAACAGTAATCCCACGGTCATTGAACCAGGTTTTGGTGCTTTTGGCAGTGTGGGCAGGTGCCAAGTCCTGCTGGAAAAGGAAGTCAGCATCCCCATAAAGCTAGTCTGCAGAAGGAAGCATGAAGTGCTCCAAAATCTCTGGTAGATGGCTGCGTTGACCCTGGACTTAATGAAGCACAGTGGACCAACACCAGCAGATGACATGGCTCCCCAAATCAACACAGACTGTGGAAACTTCACACTGGACTTCAAGCATCTTGCAGTGTGTGCCTCTCCATTCTTCCTCCATACTCTGGGTACTTGGTTTCCAAATGAGATGCAAAAGTTGCTCTCATCAGAAAAGAGGATTTTGGACCACTGAGTAACAGACCAGGTCTGTTTTTCTTTAGCCCAGGTAAGACGCTTCTGACGTTGTTTGTTGTTCATGAGCGGCTTGACCAGAGGAATACGACATTTGAAGCCCATGTCCAGGATCCGTCTGTGTGTGGTGGCTCTTGATGCACTGACTCCAGCCTCAGTCCACTCCTTGTGAAAGTCCCCAACACTTTTGAATGGCCTTTTCCTGACAATCCTCTCCAGGCTGCGGTCATCCCTGCTGCTTGTGCACCTTTTTCTTCCACATAACTTTCTATTAATGTGCTTTGATAGAGCACTTTGGGAACATCCAACTTCCTTTGCAATTACCTTTTGAGGCTTTCCCTCCTTATGGAGGGTGTCAATGATGGTTTTCTGTACAACTGTCAGGTCAGCAGTCTTTCCCATGATTGTGATTCCTACTGAACCAGACTGAGAGACCATTTAAAGGCTCAGGAACCCTTTGCAGGTGTTATGGTTTAATTAGCTGATTAGAGTGGGACACTTTGAGCCTAGAATATTGCACCTTTTCACAATATTCTAATTTTCTGAGATTGTGAATTTGGGGTTTTCACGAGCTGTAAGCCATAATCATCACAGTTATGACAAATCACAGCTTGAACTATCTTGCTTTGCATGTAATGAGTCTATCTCATATTAGTTTCACCTTTTAAGTTGCATTACTGAAATAAATGAACTTTTGCACGATATGTGTGTGTCTCGCTACAGGGACACACTACTAACAACATAAATCTTGTCTAAAGATTTATACAGTTTTGAATGAGACTAGCAGTACTGAGCTGGAAACCTCGAACATTTCTTACACATAATATTATTATTATACAGGATTTATATAGCGCCAACAGTTTGCTCAGCGCTTTACAATATAAGGGGAAACAATACAGTAACAATACAGTTCAATACAAGAGGGATAGGAGGGCCCTGCTCCTTGGAGCTTACAATCTAGGATTCTGTGTTAAGACATTTTTGGGTAAGGATGTGATTGACATGACATGTCATTTACTTTACTAAAGTATAGGATGTTTATTTGCAAGTGAATGTTTTCTAAGCTTATTAAACATGGCAACACTATGTTCACTTTATTCAGCTAACCAAAAAAAATATTTTTTTTTCCCTCCATCTAACTTACATACGATTGGGTATTCTAAAACTGGCAATAGACAAATTGTTTCCTGCTGCACCGGCCGAATTTCGACATATCTATGGCAAGCCTGGTTGTACTGCAGTCGATACATCGTCAAGGTCAGGTTTTTCTTTCACCCGATCATTCTATTCTACTGGTGGGCAAGGCTCCCTGTGCTCCCTTCCGGCAGAATACAAAAACACTGCTGGAGGGATTCCCTCATCAACACTGAATTTTCTTTCGTGTTGCTGAACAGACTATTACTTTAGTAAATCAACCCCATGTGTTAATAAACAGTATATTTACCATTATATTTGTTGATCCTTTTTAATTTTTTTGTTTTTATGAAAACTACTTTAAGTATTTCAGCACAAAAAGGAGGATAAATGTAAATATAAAGTTGATTTCTTACCTAGATCTTCCTATGTGAAGAAAAGTATCTAAAGCCTCGGTGTTCAAGGTCCACCCCACCAGACTCCAAACCTTGCCATACAATTAACCTGGATCTGGTTAATGTACTTACCAGTGACATTTTGCAACTCTCCATAGTCTGCGCTTTCTGTAGCTTCAGGAGAAGAATGATCATCAATAAGATCTACAGCACCTTGGTTTTCTGCATCCATCTTAGCTTCTATGTCACCATCCATAAAATCAACCTCCATTGCTTCCACTGTAGTGCCGCTGCTCGTTATCTGAAATTGCACAGCCACACTGAAGCATTAACAGATTGCAATATCATTAAGCCCATATATGAAAATTGTAAACATTGTTAGCGAATTTTGAACATGGATTCAGTCAGGCTACAGAGCTGGTGGTTATGGTCTTGCTCCCCTCAGCTAACCTAAACTTGTAAAGAGCTAATAAACAAGAATGTGTGGATGTGTGGAAACTATAGATTATGCAGGAACAAGTAACAGACTATGGGACATTCTTGGGTACCTTGATCTAAGTAAGCTTGTCATCTCCAAGCAATGAGACTGTCTTCTGGAAATTCACTAGATTGTTGATGTCTACAGGGAATACACAACTCTGACGGCCGTTATGGGGGTATGTCAAGTGATAATCTGTTTCTTTGCATAAATAGTCAAAATGGTATAAATATATCCTAGAAATGTAAACAACCAAGCACTTTTCTTTTGACATGTATTTATGTTTAAAGGCAGCGCACCTTTTTTCTTTCCCGCAAACACGGGTTTGATTCCCCCATCAACACAGTCAATGCTGATGGGGGAATCCCTCCAGCGGAGCTTTTATGGGGGAGGGAGGAGCCATCCCTGCTGGGAGAACACAATAAAATGGTTGTAAACCCCATGTGCCAAAAGTATTAAAGACCAACATCTGTTTACAGTTTGCACAATAAACTTGAAAATCACGATGTATACCTGTTACATCCTGCTGAATATCTCCTGATCTGTGGGCATTTCCTTGTCCCGTAACTCAGGGGGCAGGAATCGTGATTTCACCAGACTCCCCTCCCAGCTGTACAAGCTTCCTAAAATATCATAAGTGCTGCTTAGCAGCATGTATGGGTGGATTTGTGGGAGACACGTTCCCTTCACTCATGCCAGCTAAAGCCTCTGGCAATAATCGCATGAAAAATCTGACATTCTGGTTGTACCAAAGTCATACAACAATCGAATTGGGTACAATCAGCATGCCCAAAGATGGTTCAAATCTCAGCCGGTCCATGCTGAACTATCTATGGCAGGCTTTACAACTCTCATGTGCTATGAAAAATGTGTCTGTCTGTCTCTAATGCTGTGTCTGTGAATGGATGCACCCTTTTGTCTGCATGTGTGTGAATACAGGACACAGCTGAAGTAGTATAAATGAATGTGGGATGATTCTGTAACCATACCAATTTCTCCTTCATTCACTTGCACTAGCTCTATTTAACAGCTATTTAGCGCACATGGATTGGGGATTACTTATTGTCAGAGCACTTAAACACCTTGCCATAGGGAGATGTTAAAATAGACTGGGAGAGCAGTTTTTGGAGATTTAAGCCAATGCTAGCAATCGAAGCATTCATAAAAATAAGTCACACACATGTGCAGGTAAACATCAATGCTTCTGTAACACAAACATCGGGGTGTACACTAATTAATTTCTATGGAGTGCTGTACGCCTTCCCTGAGGCTCCACGGGCACAGAAAAACACCGTGTTTTTTGTGCTATGCATATATTATATCCTGCAAGCATCCAAGTGCATGAGGCCTTAAAGCAAATGTAAACCCAATGTTTCACACATTCCTGATATGTACCTGCTGTACCACGTATGAAAACAAATCCAGGTTCTATTTGTATTGCTTCCTTTGTGTGAAATATCTGATATTCCTGCCAGTCCCTCTGCTGGCACAAAACTTTTAAAAAACTGACCACACCACAGGCAGGAGAACACAATTTGGTCAGTGTTCTGGTTGTGCTGGAACTCTGCCTGCTCTTCTCCCTGCCCCCTGTGGCCGCACAGCCACTAGGAAGACCAGTGCAGTGCTGCTTCTCAACCCCCCTTGTGCATCTGAGAGCAGAGTGTGTGTGATCACTAAGGGGAAAAAAAGATATTAATGTTTTATATGTTTACACAAATGTAAACAATTGAGTCTTTCATTTCTATTTTAAAATGAATAAGTTGTTTTACAAAGGTAAGGGTTTAGATATAATTTACATTAGTTCCTTTTTACTGTGGCAAGGGTCTTAAGAACTGCATGCTATATGTGTTTTGGTTTGAGTAAACTGGAGTCTGGTTATTAGTATTGAAGTAGGCAAAATTCTGCTGAGTGAGTGTGAAGTTTGTGATGTGTCTCACTAAGCTGACAGCCCACTTCCCCCCCCCCCCACCTTTGATTATTGAGTACACACTGTTTACTACATACACTGCTGGCTGGGTTTTCAAGAGTTACTGTAACCTTCCTCATGACAGCAAAAATTGTAAAGATGTGTTGGGTTTATTAATGTGATGAAAACTGATGTGGTTTAATAATGTGGAGTGTTTTATTTGAATTGCTCTATTTAAAATTAATCATTTTTACGGAAGAGAAACAGTATACCATGTGAAATTAAAAGGGGAAAAATCCATGTGGAACTAAATTTATATGAACTTATTAAACATCTTTTCGTATTAGGAAAAAATGCACTTGATCCTTCTACTTCAACCAGCATATGTATATTTGGTGGCAGTGGAGGTTTTACACATTTATTGCTACAGCAGCCGGGAGTGTGTATATATATGACAAGCTGACTGTTGGCTCTCGGGCTAAAGAGATCAAAGGCTATACACATAATAGGTGTCAGGGAAGGAGGAGGAGGAAAGCAGAGAACACTGGTTTTACTGATCTCCACTAACTTGTAGTAACCTGCATGCGACAAGCAATTTCCCTGGCTGCTGTGGTTGGGGAAGAAGCTAATTGAGCATGATCTGGATTCCTTTAGTTTCAGAGGGGTGCAGGGGAGAAACATTAAAGAGAAACCGTCACAGTAAAAAATGCTATCACATAGGGAGCTACTGGTGTTATGTGATAGCAATAAAGTTAACCGAAAAAAAAAAAGAATGAAAGGTACACTCATCCACTTAAACCCTTCCCCCAAACAATTTTGAGTCCACCCTGCCCTGCCTCCACATGTGTTGGGGGTGCCTACATAAGAAAACATTGATTGCATTACGCAATACGCATTGCCATGCACGAGTGAGAGCAATAATGCTACAGCCATTATTCACAGTTAACTCTAAACTAATGACATATAAGGGTGTTTAAAGCATAATCTATGGAATATTTTGGGTACCGAAGTTTGTCATTGATTCACAGGTGCACACAATTTCAAAGACTAAGTTTACCTTTAAGGGGAAAATAATAAATGCACATTTTGCAGGAAAAAAGTGTGCACTTATTTTTCCCAACAGGAGTTTGCAAAGCACTGCACCCAATATCAGTGGATTGTAGGTGCAATGTCAGGCTCCTGCACACACTTCCCTAGCTTTCTGTCTGTACTCTGTACAGTCTTTCATTTAGAAAGTTGGAGGACATGCGAATGGACTAAGAGCACACTGATTGGCATGCTAGTGGTACATTGAGAACTGCAAGCAATCCGCCACGGTGGAAGAAAGGACTTGTAGTTCTTTCATTCACAGATATTAACAAATTAACAGAAAGGTAAGCCCAACACTGTAGTAACAAAGTTAAAAATAACCATAAAGTACAAAAAAGTATACAATGTAAAGGATTTTTTTTAATCACAGAGAACATCAAACAAGACTTTTCCCATTCAAAAGTAATGTGAATTAGCATATGCAATTCATCATTCTCACAGGTTAAGAGATAATGTTTGTATCGGATACACAGTACAACAACACTGAATACAAAGTCAACTTACCAAATTTCTAGAAATGTCACACAAATCATTTAACATCCTCGATGTAAAAAGACGAAAAAATAGATCTGTAAAAGCTGGACGAGACTGCAAAGAAATAAAAAAAACAAATCAAAGAATCAAATTAAAAACCTCATTGTTTTTCAAAACACTGTCAAATATGTATCATTTATTTGCTGCAAAAGGAATTTATTTTGACTAAAAATGCACACAACTACTGCATTCTACAATTCGCACAGCTGCAATCATTTTTTCATTATCACAATGTACAGAGATGTACAAGTATGTGAGGACATGTGACATCTAATGAGAGAGTTTGAAGGAGGTTATATAATTCAGGGATCAAATGAGCCAATATACGTCTTAACTTCGTATTGATATTGTCTCAGCACACTTCAGAATCTGCTTCTAGTCAGACAGGTGAACTGCACAACCAGAATCACTCATCACTTTTCACAGACAATTGCTTCAGACTACGCATCTTTAAAATCGTCTTATTTTCAAGTTAAAATGATTGCAAAGGTTCACATTTTATTTAAATGAACAAACATGTTATACGTATCTTCTCTGTCTCTATGAGAAGGGAGAGAGCTGCTGCTCACATGCACAGTGCTTGATTGGGATGGGGCCCAGGTAAGTATAAGATAAGGGCTGTGGGGGAGCAGCACTCAAGTTTTTTTTACCTTAGTGAGGAGAAAATACCTACCAGATCTTGTCCGAAATCCTTCCTGAGCACTGAATAGATATCTCAAATATGGTTATGAGTCTTCCAAGTTCGTATCTTTCTGTAAACTATAAAACATCCTCCCCGTTTTGGAAAAAAGGAGGAGCTCTGTAGTTCTGTCCGTGGGGGCAGAACTGTTACTCAAAAGATACAGCACAGTGAGTGATGGTTGAAAGTCTAGTACAAGAAGTGACCACCAGGACCACCAGGTAAAAATAAAAAACATAAAAAAAAAAAAAAAGAAAAAGCAGTCACCACATCTAAGGTCTAGTAAGATGCTATTTTTTTGTTCTTGGATTTAGATGCACTTAACCCATTTTATAACACTCTTTAATACTATTTTAAGCAATATTAGCAGGGAAACTGGTTATATAGTCATGAAACAATTACCTTTGCACAATTACACACACAGCTTACACAATGGGACATTATCATTCCTAAAGAAATAATTTTGGCTTCCTCATGTAGCTTTCCCTTTAATAATGCTGTCGTCTCACCAACACATTGTATCAACATCTACAAAAAAAACACATAAGACATAAGCTATAAACAAATGCAATGCAATTTTTTTTTAACATACCATGTTTTTTATGCATCAAGGTATTCAATATAGATAAAGGAATTTTACATCATAATCTCAAGGTGCAGCAGAATAGTATAATGTATTAATTCAAACCTGGTTTAGTGGCACTCGTAGGTCTTGCAGAGGAGACCTTGAATGCCTCTAAACCAGTTTTGGATTTATATGGATTTTGTTGTGGGTGAGCACCTGGGCATTTACTTCAGAGTGCCTTGGCTACCCTTGTATTATCCATGAAAGAATGAAAATACAGTTTAAATGTAAATGAGTTACTTGTAGTTATTTTTAAAGCATAACTTTGATTTACGGAATCTTTTTTGTATCATACGTGCGAGTAGTGAAAATACATAGCATGTAGTTGGGAATGCTAATGATTATCTATCCTAAAAATCTGAATGTCTAAATAGTTTGTTTGCTATTAGAATGGGGGTAGAAGCTTAAAACTGTTTAGTGCACATGCCGAATCCTCTCAAATTTTTGAGAACTACCTCTATGGGCAGACAACCAATGTTGCGCATAAGTGTTTCTGGTCATGAATAATGTTCTGGTTACTTATATACTGGGGTCAGATGGCAGGTCCATATCTCCATCCATCGAAAGTTTTTCTGGTCATGAATAACGTTCTGGTTACTTATATACCGGGGTCAGGTGGCAGGTCCAAATCTCCATCTGTGGCTCAAGAGGACAATTAGGTTGAAATGTGAGGTTATTAATGTTAAAAATCCCAGACCAGTACTGGACCATTTTTGTACAGCTCCAAAACATATGGATGAGATCCCCTTGTCAAGGTACATCTAGAGTATAGCAGGGAGTCTCTCTAGGAAAAACAGTACATTCTCAGGGGGTCCAATATACTCTATGCAAGATAAACAATTTTGTACTTCTGGGATATTCTTTGCAGATATTTAAAGTGTTACCAAACCCATGACCCTGCATTCACTATATCTGGTCTCCCACAGTACGCAGAACATGGAAATGCAATTATTTTAGTAAATATAAACTGCTAAATACCTTTTCTCATCAGCAGTTAGAGCAGTCTTGTGACTTTAGCAGAGCACTGGTTAAAGCTTGAAGGAGTTTTCTTTCTGCTCTAAGAGGACGCAAAACCCCTGCCCCTCTGTCTGGACAGTGCTGATTGGCCTTGTGCTGATCACATGCACTCTCCCAAGAAAAAAAAAAAACCTCTGTAGCAATACACACTAAATTGAGCATGTGCAGAAGGGCTACAGGTTCAGTCTGTCTTATCAGGTGGACATCTGAACAAGAGGGGCAGAGAAGACAGGATCAAATGGCCTTTTTACACAATGCAAAGGATTAACCCCTTAGGTTCCACAGTGAGTATGACAAGCATGCTTTACTGCATATACAGACTGATTTTACTGTTGTGGGTTTAGTAACACTTTAGGCCATCGTCTGTCAGACATTGGACCAACATTCTAATCTAATTATCTTTGCCCGCTAGTGACTGTGAGTTGTAGGGCCTAGTAAGCAGGGTGTAATATTTAGATACAAGACCTCATGTGAGCAATAAGAGAAACTGGCTTCATTTTGTATAGTGTGAGATCTCAAATCCATGTTTTACTCTATAGGTTGGAGCCCAAGCTTCCACATTGAGAAAGTCAGTATATACATACACTATATGGCTACCAGTGCGTGAACACCTGACCAATATGAATTTATTGGATATCCCATTCCAAACCATGGGTATTAACCTCTTCACGCCAGCCGCATACAAATGTGCGGCCCTCCCGGCGTCTGGGCCTATGTGCTGAGAGTGTGCACCCTGTGCGTTCCCAGCACACGTCCTGTACTCACGGAAAGGTCCTGGTCTGCTCTTTTGATTGGGACCTTTCCCGATCATGTGACCGCCGTGACGACGCGTCACGACGGTCACATGATCCCCAAACCCCGCCCCCCCGCCTCCTGTCTTCGGAAACTTTAAAGGGCCGGGAGGCGCTGGCGGAAAGGGGTTAATAAAAAGTTTGCTCCCAGCCATCGAACACCACCTGACATGTTATAGTACATATAATATACAAGTAAAGGAATTTTTGTGTATGGCAATTGAATTTTTGCTTAAACAATTTCTTTATGTTTGATTTGAAATATTACATTCAATGTCAAGGGGCATCGATGGGAGCGAAGTTTTCCCCCTCATTAGCTAATCTATATATGGGATGGTGGGAGGATACCTTTTTATTTTATCACATTCTCACATTCCTCCTATTACGTTTTATTGACGATCTGATTCTGGTCTGGACTGGCACAGTTTCTGAGTTGAAACATTTTGTTGCATACAGTTGTGGCCAAAATTATTCAACCCCCACTGAAATTGAGTGTTTTGGCCAGTTTGACATTGCTTTTGATCATTCAGTCATCTTGCTTACATTTACATTAAAGAGGCACTTGTAGGTCAGACAAATATAACATAACAGTTATAATGAAATAACCACAAATGTCTTTTCTGTGCTCACAGCATTATCAGTTTTATTCAACCCCCAAGTGACATTCAATCTTAGTACTTAGTACAGCATCCTTTTACAGTTATAACAGCTTTTAAACGTGAAGCATAGCTTGACACAAGTGTCTTGCAGCGATCTACGGGTATCTTCGCCCATTCTTCATGGGCAAAGGCCTCCAGTTCAGTCACATTCTTAGGCTTGCGCACTGCAAACTGCTTTCTTTAAGTCCCACCAGAGGTTCTCAATCGGATTTAAGTCTGGTGACTGCGATGGCCACTCCAAAATGTTCCAGCCTTTCCTCTGCAACCATGCTCTAGTGGACTTGGAGGTATGCTTGGGATCATTGTCCTGTTGAAAGGTCCAACGTCTCCCAAGCCTCAGGTGTGTGACGGACTGCATCACGTTTCCATCCAATATCTCCTGGTACTGAAGAGAATTCATGGTACCTTGCACACGCTGAAGCTTCCTGTACCTGCAGAAGCAAAACAGCCCCAAAGCATGATTGACCCTCCACCATGCTTCACAGTAGGCAAGGTGTTCTTTTCATCATAGGCCTTGTTCTTCCTCCTCCAAACATAGCGTTGATCCATGGGCCCAAACAGTTCTAATTTTGTTTCATCAGTCCACAGAACACTATCCCACAACTTTTGTGGTTTGTCCCACATGGCTTTTGGCATACTGCAGTCGACTCTTCTTATTCTTTGGAGACAGCAAGGGGGTACGCCTGGGAGTTCTGGCACGGAGGCCTTCATTACGCAGTGTGCGTCTTATTGTCTGGGCTGAAACTTCTGTACCCACATCTGACAAATCTTTTCTCAGTTCCTCAGCAGTCACACGGGGACTTCTCTCCACTCTACGCTTCAGGTAGCGCACAGCAGTCGAAGTCAGCATCTTCTTTCTGCCACGACCAGGTAGCGTTTCAACAGTGCCCTTTGCCTTGAATTTGCGAATGATGCTTCCTAAGGTGTCTCTTGGTATGTTTAACATCTTTGCAATCTTCTTATAGCCATTGCCCTTCCTGTGAAGAGAAATCACCTCTTCTCTTGTCTTCCTGGACCATTCTCTTGCCTTCACCATGTTTGTAACCACACCAGTAAATGTCTAGAAGGAGCTGAGTATCACAGTCATTTTAAAGCTGCCTAATTGGTGCTTATTATGCTTGATTGCTGCTCGGTGACATCCACAGGTGTTTTCAATACCTGATGGAAAGCACCTGTATGAACCTCTGTTCTTCAGAGTGGTAGTCTTTAAGGGGTTGAATAATTGTGGCAATGAAGAAACCACATAAGAACCATTTACTACTGTATTACATAAACAATTGATGTCATTTTAGTTGCATTTGGGTAGTTACAACGTCCTTGTAGGATTTGATTCTGAATACAATTCCAAATGTACACTATAGTCCCTAAACCCCTTTACAGCATTGGGGGTTGAATAATTTTGGCCACAACTGTATTTCAATAATAATAGTTCAAATTGGAACTTACATATAACTGCCATCCCATCACTATTGATTATCTGGATTTGACCTTAACAGGACATGTGGATAGTGCAAAGTCACTACTAAAACTTATAGAAAACAGTCTATGGGTAATTCCTTATTACTCGCCTCTAGTTGTCATCCGACACATACTATTAAAGCATTACCCATTGGTGAGTTTGTGAGAGCGAAAAGAATTGTTCCATTCAAAGTGATTTTTAAGGGAATGTGATATAGTCTCAGGTAGACTTAGAGAGCGGGGATAAAGCCAGTATCTGGGTAGATTGAGATATGATTGCAGCCCAAGAAAAACATTGGGTTAATATAATTATAGAGCCTTTGAAGAAAGATAGATTCCGCAAACGAACATCATGCAACAAAGTTCATTTTGTTACTACATATTCTATGCAGTACAATCAAATTGTCGCCATAGTTAAAAAAATGTATGCCAATTCTTTGAGCTGACAAGGTGTATGATATTTTAAAAAACGGATGCAATTTTTCTGAAGAGCTCCTACATCAGGCACATTATCACCAGTTTGTTTTGTTCAAAAACTAATGGTCAAAGTAGTGAATGTTGAGAACGAAGTGTTCTTATCCATGTGGTACAAACACATGTAGACAATACAAAAGGCATAAAAAAAGTACTACATTTACTTTGTTTTCTACCGAGGAAAGTATACGCTTTAAAATGTTACATCAATTGCAATTGATGGATGGTAGTTTATACTACAAAATGCAGTGCTTGCCATCTCCAACATGTGGGATGTACTATTCGTTCATTACGCGTTAGAATATCTGAACACTATAATGACACTAAAAATCCACATGCTAAAAACATTTCTAATGTCTCTAAACATTTCAGAGAGAAGCATGGTGGGAACCTTGACTCTTTTTCTTTCCTTGGTTTGAAATATGTAAGAAAACCTTTTAAGAAAAGACGTAACGCGCGAAGAGCGGTGGAATTATACGTTCAATACTAGGTCCCTTTTGGTTTAAATAATAGAATGGATGTTAATCTTTTTTTTGTATTGAAATATGACTCTTATTATTCTCACATTCAATTTGCAGGCATCCATGTTGAGGGCAGTTTTATTTTATTGTGCTGCTCTTGTATTAGGATGCTTGCAGTTATATTAGCATTAGATGAAGTTTCCTCTTTTTCTTCCTTTTCTCTGAAATTCTATTGCTTCACTTTCACCTGCAATCATTTAGACTGAACAATGATTTTAATTATGTATGTACCTCCCCTAATTTTGTAGGCTGTTATGTTATAGAAGTCTGAATTTTAGTTCTTTTTGATGTAAGCTTTGATAAAGGCTGTGACCGAAACGCATCAGCTTTTATGGATTCCATGTCCTCTACTGTGTGCCAATAAAGCATATATGATAAGGATATGATTTGCCAGCTATTCTGTCTTGTATCTTGGATCTAAAAAACCAGCCTGAGCACCACTCAATTTCTTTGATGAGCAGTAGAGTTTGGGTGAGTTGTTGACTAAAGTTTGCTCCCTACTCTGTAGTTTCAGCACAGCGCCCAATCTTTTGGAAAGGCTTTCCACAAGATTTGGTTCTTTAGGGTTTCAAGTTATGCTATGGAAATGTGAGCCAATAACATAAGTAGTACTTCCTGGCACCATATGACATCTGCTCTTCTGCATAAATGTTAGTTTTAAAAATGTTTTTTCAATAAAGGTTTGCTAAATGGACATGATGCATAGATAGGGCCACCCAACGTTTTATTGACGATCTGATTCTGGTCTGGACTGGCACAGTTTCTGAGTTGAAACATTTTGTTGCATATTTCAATAATAATAGTTCAAATTGGAACTTACATATAAACTGCCATCCCATCACTATTGATTATCTGGATTTGACCTTAACAGGACATGTGGATAGTGCAAAGTCACTACTAAAACTTATAGAAAACAGTCTATGGGTAATTCCTTATTACTCGCCTCTAGTTGTCATCCGACACATACTATTAAAGCATTACCCATTGGTGAGTTTGTGAGAGCGAAAAGAATTGTTCCATTCAAAGTGATTTTTAAGGGAATGTGATATAGTCTCAGGTAGACTTAGAGAGCGGGGATAAAGCCAGTATCTGGTAGATTGAGATATGATTGCAGCCCAAGAAAAACATTGGGTTAATATAATTATAGAGCCTTTGAAGAAAGATAGATTCCGCAAACGAACATCATGCAACAAAGTTCATTTTGTTACTACATATTCTATGCAGTACAATCAAATTGTCGCCATAGTTAAAAAATGTATGCCAATTCTTTGAGCTGACAAGGTGTATGATATTTTAAAAAACGGATGCAATTTTTCTGAAGAGCTCCTACATCAGGCACATTATCACCCAGTTTGTTTTGTTCAAAAACTAATGGTCAAAGTAGTGAATGGTTGAGAACGAAGTGTTCTTATCCATGTGGTACAAACACATGTAGACAATACAAAAGGCATAAAAAAAAGTACTACATTTACTTTGTTTTCTACCGAGAAAGTATACGCTTTAAAATGTTACATCAATTGCAATTGATGGATGGTAGTTTATACTATAAAATGCAGTGCTTGCCATCTCCCAACATGTGGGATGTACTATTCGTTCATTACGCGTTAGAATATCTGAACACTATAATGACACTAAAAATCCACATGCTAAAAACATTTCTAATGTCTCTAAAACATTTCAGAGAGAAGCATGGTGGGAACCTTGACTCTTTTTCTTTCCTTGGTTTGAAATATGTAAGAAAACCTTTTAAGAAAAGACGTAACGCGCGAAGAGCGGTGGAATTATACGTTCAATACTAGGGTCCCTTTTGGTTTAAATAATAGAATGGATGTTAATCTTTTTTTTGTATTGAAATATGACTCTTATTATTCTCACATTCAATTTGCAGGCATCCATGTTGAGGGCAGTTTTATTTTATTGTGCTGCTCTTGTATTAGGATGCTTGCAGTTATATGCATTAGATGAAGTTTCCTCTTTTTCTTCCTTTTCTCTGAAATTCTATTGCTTCACTTTCACCTGCAATCATTTAGACTGAACAATGATTTTAATTATGTATGTACCTCCCCTAATTTTGTAGGCTGTTATGTTATAGAAGTCTGAATTTTAGTTCTTTTTGATGTAAGCTTTGATAAAGGCTGTGACCGAAACGCATCAGCTTTTATGGATTCCATGTCCTCTACTGTGTGCCAATAAAGCATATATGATAAGGATATGATTTGCCAGCTATTCTGTCTTGTATCTTGGATCTAAAAACCAGCCTGAGCACCACTCAATTTCTTTGATGAGCAGTAGAGTTTGGGTGAGTTGTTGACTAAAGTTTGCTCCCTACTCTGTAGTTTCAGCAGCGCCCAATCTTTTGGAAAGGCTTTCCACAAGATTTGGTTCTTTAGGGTTTCAAGTTATGCTATGGAAATGTGAGCCAATAACATAAGTAGTACTTCCTGGCACCATATGACATCTGCTCTTCTGCATAAATGTTAGTTTTAAAAATGTTTTTTCAATAAAGGTTTGCTAAATGGACATGATGCATAGATAGGGCCACCCACATCCATTGTTATTTACTTTCCCTATGTTCCAACGCCACTCACAGGTATGGGGGTGCATGCGGTTTCCTTACTTTCCTGCCACTCAAGCTGCCACGCCAAAACACTGTCACATGAGGAAACCAAGAAGATAATTCAAACTGAGTAAACTCTGACACAGAGCTGATACAAGGATTAGAATCAGTGCTCCCAAGGATGAATATCAGTGAGTGGGGGAGGGTGTCCTACCAAGAGAATCTGTCCTGAAGCTGACAGATTCTCTTTCTACAAATAATCTATCCCACTTTTCTTTTCCCTTCCCACTTATGAGTAGGATTATAAAGGGGAGACACCCGGGGGGGGGGGGGATACTCAGCCTGTATCCTGTACTGTATGATTAAAATCAGCATCTTTATTTATATACATAGCTGAACCAGTTACCTTGGCTTTCTGAAACAGCCTAGATTTGCAGGCTTGCTCTTCATTGATGACCTCAGTGTGACAATAACACGACAATACACCAATCAGAAGGCCGGCACACTGGACTAGACTATCTGGAGGAGTAGTCTAATGAAAAGAAAACAGATGACATAACATGGTTACTTGGATTACCTATTTTGACCTTGATATACAATAAATCACAAATATTGCTCCCTGTCTGTATTACTCCAAAGCCCTCCATAAACTACTGTGCAATTATGTCATAGCAAATGGACTACGTATCATATTGGTTTACTGCAGAAGACAGACAGTGGTGAATATATCAAATGATCTTCTATTCTATTTGTATGTATTAGTCCCCATGTACAAGGGACACTTCTGTACGATGGAAACGGATTGCTGGAAAACGTAGGTTAAAAAAAGTCTGTTCAGACGCGTTTGCATAATGTGTTTATGCGCGTTTGCATTTAGAAGCGTTTTTTAAAGATAAGCACAGGAGAACCTCCCAAATGCCCAGAATGCACTGAAAAGTGGTAAATTATTAACTGTTTCAGAGAGTAGAAGCAGAGGCAGCAGTATGTGTTGAGATAATTAGGTGTGAGTTGCTCATTACCATTTCTTTTGTTTCCAAGAGTGGGAAAGGTGTCTGGTGGAGTGAGTCACCTGGCAGGGGGTCTACACGAGGAATTTGAGGTGTGAATGGTCATTAATATATCTTTTGTTTCCATGGGTGGGAGAGGTCTGAGGTGTGAATTGGTCAATACAATGTGACGAGCTTGGTAGGAACATCCTGTGTTCAGTGTTTTGTCCATCTGAGTACCTTGAAAACGCCTTGCGTGCATTTTTCATGATGAAAAAAGGCTCTGGACAGCATTGGGAACTGGAAGAGTTAAAAAAAAAAAATTTTCAAACACAAATGCTTATAAATGTGATTTGCTGCGTTTACAAGCGTTTTGCATTTAAAATGCTGATAAAATCATCTGCTGAACGCAAGTTTTCTGAGTTCAAAAAAACTCAAATGCCTATAAATGAAGATGTGTACATGGACACACAGGAAAACATTAGGATGAGTTCAGGGGCTGCTGAAAAAAACGCTGAACAGCTCCTAAACGTGAGTTTTTCAGCTGCAGTGTACACGAGCCCTTATATGTACTTGTTGTGTCAAACTCCTTTTGAAAAAAAGCAGTGCACTTACTGTGCTTTAAGCCTTATAGTTGTATATCTGCAGACTAAGATCATCTAAGGCAGGGGTCTCCAAACTTTATAAATGAAAGGGCCAGTTTACTGTCCTTCAGACTTTAGGGGGGCCGGACTGTGGCCAGTGAGAGAAGAAAATGTCCTGGCATCAGTGGGAGTAAACAATACCTCATCATTGGTATGAACGGGAGATATAGTGCTGCATCACTTATATCAATGGGATGAATAGTTTTCCATTGTTGTTGTCAGTGGGAGGAACAGTGTCCCTTCATTGGTGTCAGTAGAAGGAATAGTGCCCTATCATTGGTTTCAGTGGGAGAAATAATACCCCATTATTGGTGTAAGTGGGACGAATATTGCCCCATCATTGGTGTCAGTGGGAAAAATAGTTCCCTATCATTAGTGTCAGAAGGAGGCATAGTGCCCCATCATTGGTGTCAAGTGGGAGGAATAATGCTCCATTATTGTTGTCAGTGGAAGGAATAATGCCCCAATATTGTTATCAGTGGAAGAAATAGTGCCTCATCATCGGTGTCAGTGGGAGGAATAATGCCCCATTTATTGGTATTAGTGGAAGGAATAGTGCCCCATTGTTGGTGTCAGTGGTGAAAACTATGCCCCACTGTTGGCGGGGGGGGGGGATAATGCCCTAAGGGCCAGATAAAAGCAAGCAAAGTCCCCCTGGGCTGCACTTTGGAGACCACTGATCTAAGGCACTGTGCCTCTGACTGCTAGTCTCATGAATGCTGGAGTAAAATATGGTGATGTTACTACTGTGCTGCTCATGGTAGATAGAGAGAAATCTGTACCTGAGAACCTGCAATGCAAGGATCTTCTTGCGTCTGATTCATCAGTTCTGTGGATCTGTGCTTACTACAGCTGTCATTGTGCTGCATGATTATTCTCAAATCAGTCATCAGGGGAGCAGCCCTGATTTGAAGGACAAGCATTGGTGACATCCCTGTTGTCCTACTATGTAGATTGCACAGGACAGTTTATACATGGATTATGGAGTACAGATGGTTAACTTGTTATCAGAGTACAGAGGCAAAGTACAGAATGGTAAAATTAATGTATTGCAGAATACACCAATGTAGCAGACACTTGAGGGTGCTGAGTACCTCTGCGGAGTAACTATTGAGTAGCTGGTCAGATAAAGAGAGCAGGTCGCATTCCAATTTCTCTTTAAGACAATGATGCACAGTCAGACAGGAGGAGCTGGACTGTCCACTGGTCTCCACAGCAGCAGCATTTGAAGTTGTAACCATTTCGTTAAATGAGGATAGAAGGTAAAGCTCTTCGGTTTCTGAGAATCTGCTTCCTTTTCCTCTTTTATGATGCAAGCTGGAAACAGAAAAAATATATCTAGAATATAGAAAAAAAAGTGTGCCTATACATTGGTAAAAAAATTCTCTCCCTTTTATAGCTGGTAAAGAAATGTTGATACCAGAAAACATTAACCAATATGATTTCCAAAATAAAAAAGAAATTAAAATCTTGAAAATCGCAGGTTCAAGAAGCATTGATTCGAGCTGCAGCTGTCCCCCACCAGCTCTACACCAAGAACTGATCGCTCAGTTCTCAGGTTGACTCTGAGCATAGAGCAGTGATTATCAGTCACAGCTCAGGACTCTGCTCCTCCAGTGGTCACTGGAGCACTGGGCTGTGGAGAGGGCAGGAATGGCTGACTCAGGCTCTCAGCAGAGCGCTGAGAAGCTGAGCCAGCTGCCTGTCAGGCATCTGGGTGGATCCCGTCATTATTGTCGGGTTCCCTGCAGAGCCTGGATCAGCTCTGTGTTGTCCTGTGACCCACAAGAGAAGTATGAGGGCTTTGGCCATATTTCCCCTTTTAATCTAGTTTAGCTGATTTTGAGATTAGCCCCAACCTAAAAACTCTCATTTTAGACGAAGCTTGATTTGTTAGTCACCACTGACAGCATCCTGAGATTTTCTATATCAAATGAACAAAAAGGCAACAAATGGGTTTTCCTTCTCCCTCTTCAAAATTCTATTGGAACGTATAATAATCTCAGGTACACCCCAAAAGGCTGTATTCATGGTTAGTGTCCAAGATTCTTGTCATGTAAACTAGCCGAAAGTAGCAACTAAAATTTACAAGGACTGGACCAGTGAAATGGCTGTACTGAGCAAAAGTAACGTCCGGTTATATTTGAGCAGCCCATCCATTCTGTGATCAAAGAGTGACTCACCGGTTGCTCAAATGCAAACTGTTCTTAAATTTTAAGAGGAAACCTTGTCCTTCGCAGTGATTATTTTTACAGCAACCTTACTTGAGCTAAGAGCTGCTAAAGGGGTTGCAGCTCAGTCGGGCTATGTAGCCTCCCTAGCGGTCTCATTATGTCCATATTTCTGTGCTCAAAGCAGTACATTTTTTTGCATGGAAATGTGTATTATTTTTTTTATTGTAGGCCTGTAATTTTTAGGAATAACTCAATGAAATCTGTTCAAACAAGAGTCTAGTAAACATCCTGGGTATGTTAAAATTTTAAACACGAAATCATAAATTATAATTTAATAAATAATCATAAAAAATATAATAATAATAAATTTAATTAAATAATATAATCAAACCAAAAACACTGAAATTTGAAATATAGCGCCAAGTTCGCACATCACTGAGCAAAGTCGCAAAATCGTTTCAGTGTCTGATGACGAATTTCCCCACGAATCATTATCACTCAATTCTGCGATTCTAATTTACCATCGCTGTTCTCTAGCTGGTCTAAAACCTCTTTTGACCTAAAGGGACACTTTTTGGACGCCATGGACATTTCTCAGTTTCCAGGCAGAAAGAACAGTAAAAATGCAGGCAGGGCACAGGACAGAGCACTAGGGAGAAAATGTATGTGAAATGGTTTGATACAGTAATGTATTACTATGTGATTTTAGTGAATATACTGAAAGTCACTTTTACAACTTTCAAATTTCCCGCCAGTTCCGTCCCCCGTACGTCCCGACATCACAGGGAAAGGAACCCAGAAGACAGAAGCCAGCATCCGCCGGAGGACATTACAGGGAACACTCCAGGAGGGACATTGTGGGATTGCAGGACAAGGTAAGTGAAGAAGAGATCCCGAAGCAGCGCTGCAAGGTATTCCTGAGTGTAGCTTGGGGTTACCGCTTGTGGTACTGAAACTTTACCCCGAGCTACACTCGGGAATACCGCCAGGGAGGTTAAAGTCCTATTGAAGCCTCAGTTAAAAAATACCCTGTGCTAGTAACCACACCTCACCAGTCCGACTGTACCCTGCACAGTGCTTCAGTAGTGCTGCTCTTGGAGCATGAGCACTGTACAATGAATAAGAAATGACCGCCTAACGCCAGGCAAGAACAGGAAGGACCCGTAACGATACAAGACTGCCCATGTTAAGCTGGCATAAAAAATGGATGTCTGCTTGAGGGTTCTTTGAATAGACAATATGGAGAGGCAGGGGAGTGATATCACAATCTCTACCTCATCCAATTAGAGAGTGCTTTGCATTCATTGAGAAGATGCAGTGTTCTCTGAATGGTGCCTGTGCTGACTATATGACCCTATGCTAACAAAGCAGCAGAGCAGCTGCTCGGCATGGGACCTGGAAGCTAGCAACGATCACTGTAGTAGTGATGCATACTACACTGATTTCCAGCTTCCACAAAAATTGGCCAGCTATGACCCACAACTTACATTGGTCCAAACTGGAAAAAGAGCCATACCTAAACTTCAGCTTCAAAGGATATTGTCACGGAGTGCCTGTGCCTTCCCCACCCCCCTTTGCCTGCTCTTCCTCGGCCATATCCCTCCACCCTTACACATTCCTCTGTCCTTGTAGCTTCCATGAATGGTGCTGGGCCAGCCATTGCCGAGGCAACCCAACAGCGTCCCGCACGGCTTTTAAAAAGACTGGCACAGGAGGAGCTTTTTTTTCTTTGTTCCTGTGCACGCTGCTGGAATCATCTACCTCCCTGGAAGCTGCTGGGAGGCTTGGGTGGGTGGACCGAGCCTCCGCAGCCATCCCCGCTGCGCACTCTGCAGACACCCAAAAGGTCAGGACTGTAGCCCTCTGCAATACCCCAGGGTTGAGAGTACCTGCTGCCCTCCGCTGAATGTCCCAGGGTGAGAGTCTCCGCAGCCATCCCCGCTTACCGCTCTGCAGACCCCCAAAAGGTCAGGACTGTAGCCCTCTGCAATACCCCAGGGTTGAGAGTACCCGCTGCCCTCCGCTGAATGCCCCAGGGTGGGAGTCTCCACAGCCATCCCCGCTGAGCGCTCTGCATGAGCCCCCTCTTCAAAGGTCAGACCCCACAGCTGAGACCCTGCAAGCCTGTCTACTGAGCACCGCTGCACCCTGTCCGCTGCTGAGTGCCCTGAGAGCTGCTGCTGAGGGACCCCGCACGTTGTCCGTGGCTGCGTGTCCCTGGAAGCTGTCTGCTGCTGAGTGCCCTGGGAGCTGCTGCTGAGGGACCCTGCACACTGTCCGTGGCTGCGTGTTCCTGGAAGCTGTCTGCTGCTGAGTGCCCTGGGAGCTGCTGCTGAGGGACCCTGCACACTGTCCGTGGCTGCATGTCCCTGGAAGCTGTCTGCTGCTGAGTGCCCTGGGAGCTGCTGCTGAGGGAGCCCACACACTGTCCGTGGCTGCGTGTCCCTGAAAGCCGTCCGCTGCTGAGTGCCCAGGGAGCTGCTGCTGTCTGCTGATCGCTGGTTGTCCCTGGAACGCTGACTGCTGGTCGTCCCTGTCTGGAGCTGCCTGCTGCTGAGGGTCTGAAAGCCGCTTACCGTGAGGGTCCTGAACTGTCCCTGTTGTGCACACCGACCACCCGTGTCCTGAACTGCCCCTCTTGTGCGCACCGACCGTGTCCTGAACTGTCCGTGTTGTGCGCACCGATCACCTGTGTCCTGAACTGTCCCTGTCGTGTGCACCAACCACCCCCTGAACTGTCCCTGGTGTGCGCACCAACCACCCGTGTCCTGAACTGTCCCTGTTGTGCGCACCGACCACCACCATGTCCTGGACTGTCCCTGTCGTGCGCACCGACCACCCGGGTCCTGAAGTGTCCCTATTGTGCTAGGCCAGACTCCATAGCTGGAGTCCCGTTGAGTCCCCATGAACCCGATGTCCCTAGAAATCTGGGCGGGAGTTGTGCTAGGCCAGACTCCACAGCTAGAGTCCCGTTGAGTTCCCGTGAACCCGATGTCCCTAGAAAGCTGGGTGGGAGCTGCGCTGAGGCCAGACTCCACAGCAAAAGTCCCGTTGGGTCCCCGTGAGCCTGCTTACCGTGGGTGTCCCTACAAGCCGCATGTCGCGGAGTGCCATGAACTGTCCGGATTGAGTGTCTTTCAGTGTTCAATAAGGTTTTTGTGTGTTCCCCATTTTCTTTACGTGTTCTGTCCTCTGCCTACGCTTCCGTCACAGATATGTTCACCATTTGGGAAAAAATAATAAAAGCACGCATTTTTGCAGAGAAAAATGAGCATTCCAGATTCAACTTACCATTCTAGTGGATTCCCAAAATATAACATAGCAGCATTGGAATCCTTCATTGTAAGGCTTACAAGAACTCTGTGGAAGGCACGGTGGTGGAAGTACCTGAAAGCGTGGACATTAACAAACATTCAGTGAGGTATTATATTTTACCATGCATACACAGCGTATATTATTAACTCACTTCCTGAACTGAAACCATGTGGACTTTTAATTCACTGACAAGTTATAGTTTTGGTCATCAGTTTGGTGATAGGAGATGTGTCTGACCTTACTGGAATTACTGCAATGTCATTACCCTGTTGCTGTTTACTCAGATTAAGACAAAACATATGCATGATATACAAGGCTCCTTCTTTGAGAAGGGACCATTGAGAACAACCTGTAATTTTTCTGATTCCAACATAATGGACTGATGACAATCTAAAACTGTGGATCTCCCATTGTTTTCTGTCTCAGTGATAATACACACCAGGACAAATTGAGTAGTGGGTCTACATAATAGACACAGATGAAGCAGCAAAAACTAATACTATCCTACTCTATTCAAAACTGAAAAAAAGTGAAAGGTTTGAGCTACGCATACAAACAAAAGCTTGACTATAGCCAAAGTTTTTATTTTTCTTTAGTTTTTTTTTTTTATAGATTAAGTAAGGAAAGAAACATGAATAAGGGATGTTTGAGATTTCTTCAGACTTTCCAGCAAGATAGGAAGTGATGTGGAATCGTTTTACTATGGACAAGGAATGCAACAACTTTTTAGCAAAATGGGGAAGGTTTAGAAT